TTTCAAGTGTTTCTCTCTCAGTGACAATGACCTCTTCCTCAGGTCCTACAATTTCAACCTCTTCTTCAGTTACAGTTGTAGTTTCTGTAACCTTTGTCACAGTTTCGGTTATTGTTTTGTCAACAGTGATATCTAGTTTGACCTCTTCAAAGTCTGGTTTCTTTTCAATTTCTATTGATTCCTTTAATATTTCTTCAGGGGCCTCTTCTTCTGGTTTTAGTTCTATTTCTGTCCTGAATTTTTCTTCAGGTGTCTCTTCAACCTTCTCGATTGGTTGTTCTTCTGGTTGTTCAACAATAACTTCTTCTGTTTCCTCTGGTTTCTCACTGATTTCAAGTGTTTCTCTCTCAGTGACAATGACCTCTTCCTCAGGTCCAACAATTTCAACCTCTTCTACAGTTTCAGTTGTAGTTTCTGTAACCTTTGTCACAGTTTCGGTTATTGTTTTGTCAACAGTGATATCTAGTTTGACCTCTTCAAAGTCTGGTTTCTTTTCAATTTCTATTGATTCCTTGAATATTTCTTCAGGGGCCTCTTCTTCTGGTTTTAGTTCTATTTCTGTCCTGAATTTTTCTTCAGGTGTCTCTTCAACCTTCTCGATTGGTTGTTCTTCTGGTTGTTCAACAAAAATTTCTTCTGTGTCCTCTGGTTTCTCACTGATTTTAAGTGTTTCTCTCTCAGTGGCAATGACCTCTTCCTCAGGTCCAACAATTTCAACCTCTTCTACAGTTTCAGTTGTAGTTTCTGTAACCTTTGTCACAGTTTCGGTTATTGTTTTGTCAACAGTGATATCTAGTTTGACATCTTCAAAGTCTGGTTTCTTTTCAATTTCTATTGATTCCTTTAATATTTCTTCAGGGGCCTCTTCTTCTGGTTTTAGTTCTATTTCTGTCCTGAATTTTTCTTCAGGTGTCTCTTCAACCTTCTCGATTGGTTGTTCTTCTGGTTGTTCAACAATAACTTCTTCTGTTTCCTCTGGTTTCTCACTGATTTCAAGTGTTTCTCTCTCAGTGACAATGACCTCTTCCTCAGGTCCAACAATTTCAACCTCTTCTACAGTTTCAGTTGTAGTTTCTGTAACCTTTGTCACAGTTTCGGTTATTGTTTTGTCAACAGTGATATCTAGTTTGACCTCTTCAAAGTCTGGTTTCTTTTCAATTTCTATTGATTCCTTGAATATTTCTTCAGGGGCCTCTTCTTCTGGTTTTAGTTCTATTTCTGTCCTGAATTTTTCTTCAGGTGTCTCTTCAACCTTCTCGATTGGTTGTTCTTCTGGTTGTTCAACAAAAATTTCTTCTGTGTCCTCTGGTTTCTCACTGATTTTAAGTGTTTCTCTCTCAGTGGCAATGACCTCTTCCTCAGGTCCAACAATTTCAACCTCTTCTACAGTTTCAGTTGTAGTTTCTGTAACCTTTGTCACAGTTTCGGTTATTGTTTTGTCAACAGTGATATCTAGTTTGACATCTTCAAAGTCTGGTTTCTTTTCAATTTCTATTGATTCCTTGAATATTTCTTCAGGGGCCTCTTCTTCTGGTTTTAGTTCTATTTCTGTCCTGAATTTTTCTTCAGGTGTCTCTTCAACCTTCTCGATTGGTTGTTCTTCTAGTTGTTCAACAATAACTTCTTCTGTTTCCTCTGGTTTCTCACTGATTTCAAGTGTTTTTCTCTCAGTGACAATGACCTCTTCCTCAGGTCCAACAATTTCAACCTCTTCTACAGTTTCAGTTGTAGTTTCTGTAACCTTTGTCACAGTTTCGGTTATTGTTTTGTCAACAGTGATATCTAGTTTGACCTCTTCAAAGTCTGGTTTCTTTTCAATTTCTATTGATTCCTTGAATATTTCTTCAGGGGCCTCTTCTTCTGGTTTTAGTTCTATTTCTGTCCTGAATTTTTCTTCAGGTGTCTCTTCAACCTTCTCGATTGGTTGTTCTTCTGGTTGTTTAACAATAACTTCTTCTGTTTCCTCTGGTTTCTCACTGATTTCAAGTGTTTCTCTCTCAGTGACAATGACCTCTTCCTCAGGTCCAACAATTTCAACCTCTTCTACAGTTTCAGTTGTAGTTTCTGTAACCTTTGTCACAGTTTCGGTTATTGTTTTGTCAACAGTGATATCTAGTTTGACCTCTTCAAAGTCTGGTTTCTTTTCAATTTCTATTGATTCCTTGAATATTTCTTCAGGGGCCTCTTCTTCTGGTTTTTCTTCTATTTCTGTCCTGAATTTTTCTTCAGGTGTCTCTTCAACCTTCTCGATTGGTTGTTCTTCTGGTTGTTCAACAATAACTTCTTCTGTTTCCTCTGGTTTCTCACTGATTTCAAGTGTTTCTCTCTCAGTGACAATGACCTCTTCCTCAGGTCCAACAATTTCAACCTCTTCAACAGTTTCAGTTGTAGTTTCTGTAACCTTTGTCACAGTTTCGGTTATTGTTTTGTCAACAGTGATATCTAGTTTGACCTCTTCAAAGTCTGGTTTCTTTTCAATTTCTATTGATTCCTTGAATATTTCTTCAGGGGCCTCTTCTTCTGGTTTTAGTTCTATTTCTGTCCTGAATTTTTCTTCAGGTGTCTCTTCAACCTTCTCGATTGGTTGTTCTTCTGGTTGTTCAACAATAATTTCTTCTGTTTCCTCTGGTTTCTCACTGATTTCAAGTGTTTCTCTCTCAGTGACAATGACCTCTTCCTCAGGTCCTACAATTTCAACCTCTTCTACAGTTTCAGCTGTAGTTTCTGTAACCTTTGTCACAGTTTCGGTTATTGTTTTGTCAACAGTGGTATCTAGTTTGACCTCTTCAAAGTCTGGTTTCTTTTCAATTTCTATTGATTCCTTGAATATTTCTTCAGGGGCCTCTTCTTCTGGTTTTAGTTCTATTTCTGTCCTGAATTTTTCTTCAGGTGTCTCTTCAACCTTCTCGATTGGTTGTTCTTCTGGTTGTTCAACAATAACTTCTTCTGTTTCCTCTTGTTTCTCACTGATTTCAAGTGTTTCTCTCTCAGTGACAATGACCTCTTCCTCAGGTCCTACAATTTCAACCTCTTCTACAGTTTCAGCTGTAGTTTCTGTAACCTTTGTCACAGTTTCGGTTATTGTTTTGTCAACAGTGGTATCTAGTTTGACCTCTTCAAAGTCTGGTTTCTTTTCAATTTCTATTGATTCCTTGAATATTTCTTCAGGGGCCTCTTCTTCTGGTTTTAGTTCTATTTCTGTCCTGAATTTTTCTTCAGGTGTCTCTTCAACCTTCTCTATTGTTTGTTCTTCTGTTTGTTCAACAATAACTTCTTCTGTTTCCTCTGGTTTCTCACTGATTTCAAGTGTTTCTCTCTCAGTGACAATGACCTCTTCCTCAGGTCCTACAATTTCAACCTCTTCTACAGTTTCAGTTGTAGTTTCTGTAACCTTTGTCACAGTTTCGGTTATTGTTTTGTCAACAGTGATATCTAGTTTGACCTCTTCAAAGTCTGGTTTCTTTTCAGTTTCTATTGATTCCTTGAATATTTCTTCAGGGGCCTCTTCTTCTGGTTTTAGTTCTATTTCTGTCCTGAATTTTTCTTCAGGTGTCTCTTCAACCTTTTCAATTGGTTTTTTAACTTCTTCTACAGTTTCTGCATATTGTTTTATCAGTTTTTTACTAATTTTCTCTTTTGTTATTGTTTGTCTTTCGATTGTTATTGTCTCTTGAGAAGGAGCCATTATTTCAGCTTCCTTCTCAACAGAAATCTCAAATACTGGTTTTTCCTCTGATTCTACTTCCTCTGACACTGATTCTACATCCTCTTTAGATACTTCAATCTCAGGAAGTTCTAAGATGAATTAATATTAAAATACTTAAGACATAAGCAACTTACCAGACCTTAATAGCTATATTTTCATATGTAAATTTATTTTGTTCATACTTTTTATATTCATCTTATTTAAAATTAAACTAAATTTGATAATATACTGAATCCTGATCACAAAGTATTTTTTCCTGAATTTTAAGAATGTTTTTGTTTAACTGTCTCCTGTTACAGCATACTGTGGATCATTAATATTTGTGGGATACCAATTTTGATGGATTTCGTGGGTACAGGTGAACCACGAATTTTTAAATCATCGCAACAAAATAAATTTTTTCTTTATGCTTCTACGCAGAATTTGGCAAAACCACGAAATCAAATATCCACAATTTATTTTTTTTACTCAGTCCACAAAAATTGGTACTCATGAAAATAAATGAATCCACAGTATATCATTTATAACTTAACTAATTTTCTTGCAAAAGGTAACTTTATCAAAGACCTTTCTTAAAATGGTAAAGATATTGACATATATATTCAATATTTTTCATGAGTGAAAGAGAATATTCAGGTGATTTTTCCTTATATTTACCACAAGTTTTTTTTAACATTACAAAATGTAAGTCTCATAATAATTTCGAAGTCATTCAACTGTAAAATTTGAAATGCTCATCAAGGATAACAAAGGAAGCATAACAATTGGTTGAACTTTATTTCACTGCACATGAGGTATGACTATACCACAAAGGTAACTCAGGGGAATGTTTGAAAGGAGGAAAAACTTTGGAGTGATACAAACTTGGGATTCAGAACGTTCCTTTTAAGACATAGGACTTAGGTCAAGACTCATAACGAGGAGAAATTTAAAAGGTAAAACACAGTCAAAACTTATAAATGGTACTTAAATATTCTAAAAAAAAATAGTGTAATTGGTTTAAGGATACCAACCTATCATTTTACTTTTTCAACATTTTGAAGATATGAAAATAATAGTCATCTTTCCCATATATTTGATTGTCCCCAACTGTTAAAGTATCCCATGCTATAAATCATTAAAAAAATGATAATTCTGACTAAGGAAAAACACAGTTAGCTATTACAGCCCTTAAATGCTTTGAAAAAAATCATTGATCAAATTTTAATGTTTTCTTCTATACTGATATTTTCAAATGTGTTTTTAATAAAAACCCAAATGATATTGGAACCTATACTGTAACATAAATACATACCTTTCAGTGTCAAGTTTGCTGTTGTTCTTGCTGAACCAAATGAATTTGTGGCTTTGCATATGTATTCTCCTTCATCCTCCTTAAAGGTTTCTTCAATTTCTAAAGTGCAAGTACCATCAGGAAGATATTCTGTCTTGTATGTAACAGCATCTGTGATTGGATGATCGTCAAGGATCCATGTGACATCTGGGCGGGGTATTCCTTTAACAATACAGATAAATTTAACTGTCTGTCCTTCAGGAATGGTGAAATGTTCTAATTTTGTGGTAAATACTGGAGCCTCCCCAGTGAGCGAGGTAGGCACTTCCTCTTCCTGTTCAATTATTTCTAGTTTCTCCTCCTTGGGAGCTTCTTCGAACTGAGGAAATTCCTCCTTGGGCTGAAACAGTTGTTCCTCAATAGTTATATCCTCTTTCATGTCTTCTGGTTTGGTTTCCTCACTTATTAAGATCTCAGTCTCTTCGGTAATAGTTTCAGAGACTTCTGGAAGTGTAGTTGTGAGGGAAACATCCTCTGGTTGAGTTTCTTCGCTTATAAATACCTCAGTCTCCTCAGTGAACGTTTCGGAGACTTCGGGAACTGTCGCCTTGAGAGGAACTTCCTTCTCCTCAGGAAGAGGTGTCTCTTCTATCGTAAATTCTTCTGAAACAGTCTCTGCTGTTTCCTTTGTTACGATTTCGAAAGAAACTTCCTCCGTCTCAGAAGTGATGATATCACTTCCAGTAGTGTCTAATGTTGTGATTTCTGTTGTAGATGTAATCACTTTATCAGGTACTTCAATGTCCTGACCCTCCAAAACTTTTGTCTGCTCGGCAGGCACTAATTCAGCTTCTTCCTCTGGTTGAGGGGCTGTTTCTGAAATTGTGAAAAAAAATGTAATTAAATAACTTAAGTATAATTACTTTTCAGTTAATCTTTTTTAAAGATAGTTACATATGATAGCATAGTATCAATATTTAAAGTTTCATTGCCTCTCTATCACATGAAAGTGTTTTCAGAAATAAACAAGAAGTTGTGTTCAATATTTTAGACATTAGCAAAAAACTTCCATTTCAGTGGGGATTCTACTGATCTAAAACTTGCTAACACAATATAACTCAATATTATAAAATTCCAAAACAAATATCAAATCATCCTCAATACATAAGCTAAGTAATATGTAACGAGATTTATGGACAGACAGACCAAAGGACAAATCCACACGACCGTGAAGTTGAGGTATAATAAGTTGTACTGAGTCACTTCCTTCTAGTATGATGCTTAATTGATGACGGACAGGAAATACAACCAAAAATTGTAGAGGTGCATTACAATCAAAGAAACAGTTTCTTAATTTTGAGTGTATTTCGCTTATAAAGACTCTAAATGAGTTTGAGATTGGCATCACAATCGATCATGAATTTAATACAGGATCATATTGTCATCCATGCATAATGTAACTCAACTATGTGAACTGGTATCCCAAGAAGAATGTTTTACATGGTTTTAGTGCAAAAGAATTTACAAGGGGTGAGAAGTAATGAGTAAGTAGACATGTATATAGTGTAAAACAAAACTCATTTGTTATTGCTGAGAAAAAGTTATTCAAATTTTACCCTTTGCATTACATTCAAAGGAAATAATGGATATGTATATAATCTGCACACAGCATTAAAACATATGTGAAATACATCCCACCTTATGGTTTACCCAGCTGGTACCAAATATCATTGTATCAGTATTTGAAGAGAAATATGAGCTATTTTCACATATTTCCTTTTAGGCCCCAATGTGTAACTGATATCCTGGTTGGCTGATTGTCATATAGTAGATTCAACACTAATGGTTTTAATCGTTTTTTATTGGTGGCGGAAGGCAGAGTGCCTGTAGAGAAAAACTGCCCTTAGGCAGGAAAACTAGCAATCCTAGTCAATTAAGATTGTAATAAAACGAACCTGCACGTCGTGGATCAAATGCACAACCTCATTCTTGACAGGCTAGTGATACAGTAGATGAAATACTAAGACCACTCAGCCACTGAGGCCCCCATCTTATAGTAGATATATTCAAAGAAATTCTTTCATATTTAGTTGCAGTTGGTAGTGCATTAAAATTCAATCGAAACAGAAAGGCCTTTCTTCTGGGATGCCATGAAAGAACACTTGGAATAAACTATGAATTTAGGACTATATTCTGTTTGGGTTTATTGTTTACTGTCAACATGTATTGTTTTCCACTGACCCTTTGAACTGCCAAGCTTGTTAACTGGTTAGTCCTGCTGCATTTAAATCAGCTTGTCCAAAGACAAGAATTTAGGCATCAGATTAGAACAGTATATAAATGTTCAACTAGAGCTCACAAAATGAAACCAACATCCTACATAAAGCAATAATTTAATTAATTGATTGATTTTTGGCGTTTTAACGACATTTTCATCAATAATAATGGCTACTTCATGGAAGCCAGAGTGCCCAGAGAGAACTACAGACCCTCTTGATTTAATTAGGGGATCCCCTAAAAATAATGGCGACGGAAAAAAAAAGATGCACAATGGCATTATAAAGTTAAATTTCTGAAAAGGTTTTAATAAAATTTGATGCTGGGTTAAGGAGGAGTTGTGGATTCAAAATGGGTACCACAAAGATAAAGCAAATGTAAAATTCCTGAATTGCTTAGGATAACCCCAAAAATAATTTGGATAAAAAATAGAAATGGGAGGTGCAAAAACACATAGTCAGTAAGATTTTGTGAAAGTGTCAAAAGATTCTGTAAAGTAGACACCTCATCACTATATAATGCTGCTTTAAAAAGCTTGGTATAATACTGTGGATTCATTATTATTCGTTGGATACCAATTTTCGTGGATTCCGTTGTAACCCAGGAACAACGAATTCAAATTTCCAACGAATAACAAATTTTGTATAGGAATTTATGAAGATTTTTGAAAAACCACGAAATCAAATATCCACGAAAATGCAAGTTTTCCTCAATCCACGAAAATTGGTACCCACGAAAATAAATGAATCCACAGTAAGGGTAATATGTAGGCAATGTATGCCAGGTTGTATATAGCTGTATATTTGTACATGGAAACCAAGGCTATCAAATCCTCTTTCAAAATTTGTGTTATATATCCAAAACAGCATTTTAAGGAAATCTCAAAAACAATAACTTATCCTTTAATGGTAATAAAGAGCTGCACCATGAGCGCATGATATGCCCGTTGCTTTTTCAAAGAATAAAGTTCAATAACTCCTCAATGTCATATCATTAATTTATAAAAAAAAAAAAAATAAAGGGTTTTTTTTTAATAGATATAAATCAGTCACCAAAATTTCAAGAAAACTGCTCGAAGCACCTTAAAGATATTGTCTGAAAACTGGAAAATCCCCCCTTTTTTATGAATAAAATTCCATAACTGGGAAATGTAAAATCTAAAATTCATAAAAATCAAAAAGGGAGCTTACATCAATAGATATAAACAATTCACCAAAGTTTCATGAAAACTGCTCAAAGCATTTTTGAGTTATTGTATAAAAACTGGAAAATCCCCCTTTTTTAATGAATAAAACCCCACAACTCAGAAATGTAAAATCTAAAATTTATAAAAAACGAAAGGGATCTCATGTCAATATATATTAACAATTCACAAAAGTTTCATGTAAATTGGTAAAAGTGTTTTTGAGTTATTGTTCGACATGTTGACGACGGACGGACGGACAATGGTATACCATAATAAGTCCCGTAAACGGGTGTATAAAAATCAAATGTGGATTCTTACTCAAAAATGTATTGGATTGTTTAAAGTATAAAACTTCCATTTCTGAAGTATCAATCAAACTTCAATGAATTGAAAGGTTTAATTTCTAATCAAAAATGTCTTCCTTGAATATGTTATATTTTCTGTCTGGCATTTGGTATACAATTCCCCTTGAAGATTTATTTCTTTACTCATATGAAGCATAATTAATCCAAGAGTTCATTTAAACAATCATTCTGAGGTATTGCAGATACAATACACTGTCCCCTACTGGTAGAAACAATGGACTAGTTAACACATATATGAGACAAGCATTGAATTGTGAGTGTGATCTGGTGAATTTGCAATGTACCTATCAATTTGGATAGAGTTATTGTTGATATAATTAGGAATTTAATATTATTAACAAAACTCCTCATCCAGAACTCAATCTGTTACTTATGATATGACTACATCCCAAATATATAAGCAATAGATTGAAGCATTACAGAAATAAGTGTGGAAAGTTAAGCATGATCAACTATCTGATGGACTTTGTGTGCAAACCTAGTCCCCTATATATTAGCTAATAAGGGACTACACATATGAGAGAAGTAAGACCAGTCAAGTTTAGCTTTACTTATACAGATGATGTGCTTTGTTCAAATAATACGGTTTCAAAACCAAAAGACCTAGAAATACAAGACACTAAGTAAACAACAATGAGGCAGCAACCCAACAGAACTAACCAGAATACATCTAGAGGTCAAAAATAGATAGGAAGATACACAGACTGAAACAATGTCTGCTTATACTTACCAAAAGACAGTTAGATGTTTGAACACAAAACTTTTTAACAAGCATAATTTCAAAATAGTGAATTTTCCTTTTATGAGTGGCAGGAAATTTTAAACTTTCTATAGCCCCCAGCATCACTCCAGATTTTGATAGGAATGTGTATTGCCCAAAGCTTTGGTTTTAAATGTTTATTGTTTGAACTGTTCTGTGTTTTTCATATAACATTCTCATTGCTTTTAAATGTTCTTGTTTGTGCATTGTCTCCTACTTATTCCCCTTTTAACAGAATAGGCTACCTGTTATTTACTACACCAAAATCAAAATCAAACATAAAACATTGACCTACTATACTTGATAAATGACATATTCCCTGAAATGAATCTCACAACAGTTAATGTTGTACATCTGAACTGCCTACCAAGCAGACTGGAGCTGACATCTCAATAATTCAATGAACATTTTTTCATATAAAGCTCTACTTTATGTGTGTCGTTTTTCTTTACTAGTTGTGTGTACATTTTGGTAAATTTAGAACATCTGTTCTTCTAATTCATAAGATAGATCACAAGCATTTTTTGTTGTTTCATTTGACTGATTATACTTTATTTGGGAAGAAACTCTTGAAGGCAGGTTACCTTGACCACACAAGAGAAACCTTTACAGCGATTATTCACCTTTTCGACCTTTTTACATCAGTCTTTTTCTTCTTTTTTGTTGTTGTTGAACAATTTTCCAGGTATATTTTCAATAACACTAAAGGGTTACTTTATACTGCTATAGTATTTATGTTTATATGGTATTTTTTGTAGACTTTGGGGTTCAATGCAATCACCAAATTAAATAACCTGCTAACCTCAATTCTTTGTTTTACACTGCAAATTCTCAAACAATGAATAGGCAAGCAACAATCAATCAAACCAACATTTCAAAAATCCATGAACCGCTACCTTATTTTGTATTCAAGAAAACCGCTAGCAATCAATATGAGTACTTTTAGAATATCTCAACACCATAGATACACGACCATATTTATGACAGTTTACAGGGAAAATGTCTTTTACTCCATGTCTTCATATACAATAATAATTTATGGTAAAAAAACTCTGCAAATTCAGCATTTTAAGTCTTTAATTATGTAAATGTCAATATTTTGTTATAAATGTCAGTGGAGTGCTGTCTCTTCGATATATACCTCATTTCCCCTTTCAATGATATGTAGTATGTCGTGTATTGTTACTGTGTCAAACTAAATACTTTCATGAAATACCTAAGAAATTCAAACTTGATTTTTTTTTTATAAAGAAGGATAAAGATCGTAGTTTTTTGTCAGCCATAGAGTCACTGATAGTTTGCATCTTATAGAGTTTGGTTTTTGCTAATTCCAATTTTTTCTGTGCAACACTTCTACATACAAGTTGTGAAATGATCTTTTGTTTTGGTTTTGTTGTTGTTCAATATGTATATACAAAAATGAATCTAATATTGCTTGTCGAAGTTCTCAGAAATAATAAAAACATTCTGGGTTTCAACCATGTTTGTTTATGAAACCAGAAATAGAAATCTTCAAAAACTTGTTTTTTTATGTGGTGTAATACCTTCTTTCATTTCACATGGTAATTCTCTGCCAGAACAGTTTACAACAACCAACAGCAAGTCCAACCAAACAGCTGAATAATTTGCATCATCTATTGGCTTTTTTTTTTAGCTGTTTCAGTTGCGAATATAATTTGATCAGAAATATATAAAATTTCTCTCTTACCATATACAGTGGGGACAGTAGCATGCTTGGTGACAATTTTTCTCTTACCACATACAGTGACGACAGTGGCATGCTGGGTAATAAATTCTGAAGCTAAAAATACACATGCATCCAGACAAAAATATTAATAAGTGGCAAATGGCTGACATTATTTTTAAAAGTTCCACTATCAGAGACATAGAAGTTAACTTTTATCTCTCTGATTGGATGAAACTTTATCCTAAGCAAATACTCTTCTGAATTTGAAAATATTAAATCAACTATTTATGCCTTTCTGCTGAAAACTCAAAATAATTTTATTATAATTTATGACCGGCGTTTCGCTTTACCTATGCAAAATATAAAAATCATATATCATCACTTTGAACTTTGAACTTTGATCCTTATTCTGAAAAAAATAATTAGATGAAAAAGTGTTGAATTAAAGCAAAAGATGGAAATAGGTCTTGTGGTTAGTCTGAAAAAGAAAGAAGATGCAATGTCATTCAAATAAAAAATCACACAACATAAAACATGCAATGTACAACAAGTAAAATTTACTATACATTTAACTTTTTTTTAATATATCAATTTCTGTAACTTATTGTAAAATCCTCAGAAGAAAATGTCAAGAAAAGATAAAATTAAAAAAAAAGCTGTGAAATGTCTACAAATTAAATTTTGAAAAAAAGATTTTATATGGCAAAAAAACCCAAACCATGAATATTTCATCAACTTAATTTGTTACTGAATGTAAATGCTAGTTTTGCTTACTGTTGATGGGGTAGGTCAAAGTCAAGACATAATGCAAAACATAAAAAGAAAGCACAATGACAACTAAATCAAAGCTAATATAACAATATACTTGCAGGTGAGCTATAGTTCAGCTAACCTTGACAACTTGTGTTGGTAATATTATTTTCAATTTAAGATTTACAAAAAAAATTGAAACAAGGACCAAAACGTTATAACACAACATTTTTTGAAAAAACAACATTTAAATTTTTGCTAATTTAACATTTAAAATAGCATGCTTTAAACCTATATATCAATGAGAACATTGGGGGAAAGAAAACATGCGATAAAATAGTGAAAACGAGATATCAGGTTTTTCAAATTTTATTTGGTCCTGTCTATAAAAATTCAAAGTTTTAACAAAGCAAAATTCACACGTCTATACAACTTTTTCCTACAAATTTAGTAGAAAAATTGAATATTACAAATGAATATTCATTAACCAATTTAAATAATTCAAAATATCACAGATTATGCTCACCTGCCCACTGAATGTCATCTTACAATCTTTTGATCATTTTACAAAATAAAAACTTCCAAAATTTAATTGAAATTAGTGAATTATTTATTTTTTTTATTTTGTTAAATTTGGTAAATAAAATAAATAATTAATTTATACTTTTTTCATTTTTATCATTAATTAATTTATGAAAGCATTTAAAACTGAAATATTAAAAAAATCCAAAATTTGACAGATGAAGATGACATGCAATGAATGAATATTCCACTAGAAATTTTACATCAGCGTTTCCAGTATGATGAAATATATGCTGATATCAAATTCCTTTACAATAAATTCTTTTCATTCATTCATTGCACAATTAGCCATAACTCAAAAATAACTATTAACTCTTATCATCAAACTCTCTATAAAAATTCTATAAAATTCCCTGAGGTTTTCCTAAGAAACTGAAACTCTACATACTAAAAAATATGAACTCTTTAAAAAGATAAAAAATGCCTATTTATAATAAGGTATATTGAGTACTGGCTAATTAAATATCAACTAAAACAAAATGAAAAATAAAGAAAATAAAAAGCAACAAAAAAGCATAATAAAATTATAAATAAAATAAATAAGGCGTTAAATCAAAATTCTAAAAATAGTACATTATGTACTTCTTATATGGAAAGCCCATAAAACAAAGCAAGTAAACTAAAGCATGTCCTATGCATATATTGCAGTCTACAACCACTACTGAAATATGTCTTGATTTTCATTTTTACGTTTATCATGAATGCTTAATTGCTAAATTGAAAAAATGTGATATTCAATATTGGTTGTAGACTTATATTAAATGTTCCAATCATTTGCTGTATTAACATTATTTTAAGACAGAGACATTCATAGGTTAGGACGAGATGCTTATTTTAGATCATCAGTAGAATAAGAATGACTATGGAAGAATTCAAAGGGTCAAGCTAAAGTTTTAAAGGTCTAAAAATTGCAGTATTAACTTTTCATGTACTTTTCTTAGGTTAAAATTAATTGGTTTTCATTTTTTTTATTAATTGTAAATGTTAATGATATTGATGACAATGATAGCACTTATCTGATTCTTCATTTAAATAAAACAGATTGTAATTAATGGTCCCAAGCATCTCATTCTCACCCATGCCAGAGACAGAAAAGTAAACAAGACCAAAAACAACTTAAGACTTTCAATAACCATGAACAAAAGGGGCACACAATCATTGCCAGGACAAAGAGTATTATGAAAAGTTGCATGCATTCATCACCAAAGCACAAGTGTTCCCAACCTATTGTTAATTGTTCCTCTTCTGTTATTTCTTGTGCAACCTGAGTGCCAACAATGTCTTGTTCACTTTCAGCAGCAATATGAGGTTCTAAAATGAAATATTTTGATCATTTACTTTTTTTTACTTTTTTTTTTTCAAATGTAAATAAATTTGCACTAATTAACTAGACTAAAATACTCAGCTACATTTGGCATGCTGTATTCTAAGACTAATTCATACATATGCTGCTGCTTGTGAATGCTCCAAGACATTGATTACACCAACTGTTACATTATACCCCTACTCTAAAATATTTGCCCTCACATAAATCTTTCTAAAGGAAAACATCTTAACTTGATTATAATGCTGTCCACATATTTGTCTCTGGCAAATGTCTCAAATTTTACCATATTTTACAGTCAATGCAAAGATACTAGGAAGCCAACTCTTAAGGGGAAATATTTTTAGCACTGTTGGAATTAAAATCTTCTCAATTGACTAATTAAACTATGTGTTTGCCAGGAAAACACAAAGTCACCTTTAATTTTACCTTAGAAATATGTGTTCAATCTCTGAATCCTAAATTTTATATTTTTACTAGTTTCCCCTTAATGTGTGCTTCTTTTTTTTGTAAATATAAAAATAATAATAATTTTATATATTAATGTCAATTCCAGGTATAAAATGTCAGATTTGAGAAGCATGTCTATAACAGTTTGAAGTCTTCTTTTCTGTAATACAATTCCAATTCTACCTCTATTGTGACGATTTCCTCATGCAGTAAGATTTCGGCAGCATTCCGACACTCTAGGTGAATATGAGAGAGAGAGAAATTTTATAGTTAATTAACTGACAAGACAAATCAAGTACAAACAGTCATTTAGCCATATACAATTCTGTCCTTACCTCTTTCAATGTTTCATGTGGAATTTTTTAATTGTTTAAGAATTATTTTGATAAAGATGACAATTTCAAAAAGAATATGATGACTAAACCATCACTTTAAAATGAAGAGACCGTTGGTTTAATGTTTGAGGATGTGATGAATGGAAAGAAAATTAGTTTTCACCATGATATAAGAAATGTTATTTATGGTTTATAACACTAAATTAGCAGGTAAAGATTATTTGGATCAAAATAATTTTTTAAGCTAGACCTGTAGCAAAACTACTCATACAGCCATTATATTTTATAAACAAACATCAGTTTCAGAAATGAATTGATATATTGCCTGATGATTGCTAATTCAAAATGGAAGCGTGGAATAGCAAATATTAAAGCAGCTCTACAAAAAAAACAAGGAATTAATCATTTTCAATTAAAATTTTTATATCTTTAATCTCAAGTCATCATAGATTAAAGACAATTTTGAAGCTATTTAAAAATAAAATTAAATCTAGTAATTTGTTTAAAATAAATCACTGTACAACATTGACTTCAGTTAGTTTTGAAGAATGTTATAGGGGGTAACCAAAGGGAGGTAATTGGGGTATAAAATAATTAAGCTATTTATATAACAGTACAATAAGCCACATTATACATCACGCCACACTTATATATTAAAATAGACATTCCATTTTCCTGCATGCTACTGATTGAGACGATAAATGTCTTGTAAATTTTATTGGTGAAAGTAGCAACCAATTACAAATGTGCAAAAAATACAAAAATATAGTAAATAACAATAGTTTGCCTTTTATCAGAAAAACACTGTACTACATGTATAATGTGGCCTTGTACATGATATGTGGTATATTTGACTCAGTTATCTCCCTTTAAAAAAACCTTCATGATGAAGGCATATTTATTTTGAGACAGTAGTTATCAAAAATATTCTGGTTAAAAAATATACTTTACAATAATAACATTCCTATCATCAGAAGCAAGGAAGCTTGTTAAAAATCAAACATGATCAAGTTTAAACACAAAATATTTTCAAATGTTTTAAAACTTATGAAAGTTCAGCACTACATGAAATACTTTTCAATTTTTTTCCTAAATATCATAATATTCAATAACTTAATATGCTTTTTCTGATGTTTATGTTATAACTAAAAATAACCTTCTAAAATTTAAAAGAGGGCCATCAATCAATACTCTAAAAGTTTAGTTTTAATCACCCTTAAACTAAGCAATAAAACCAATAAAATATTTTCAAGGATTAGAAAAAATAAAAAAATTTAGAGTAAAGTTGAAATTTTAAGTTTTAGATGGTTGTTTTTGACTGTCAGGGTCTTATTCTCTACATATTAATAAACTATTCTACTAAAGCATGATGTTTGTAATCTTTCTCTGTTGAGATATCTAGCTACTCTAAAGCATTTCTGATGTGCTAATTCTAATCACTATCTCATTTATATATCACATGAGGAACTTAAAACTTGATGAATTTGAATAACTAAGAATTTCAGCATTAGATAATTAATCACATGAAATATAATCCAAAATATATAAAAATTGTTGATTTAAAAACTATTCAAGAAATAATTTTTTTCATTGCAGTTATAATTTAACAACATTTGATCAAATTCTGAAATTTCAAAGAACTATTCCTCATGTAATCAAAATAACATGAATCTACAGGTCTAGCTAATGATATGATAAAGTTCAAGATTTCAATGAGAGTCAATTGTTTTGGTGACAGGAAAGATTGTATGATACTTGATTTCTTGGATGATGTCTTACTTTCAACGAAAAGTTCAACAATAGTACTGGCACTGCCAAATTCATTAACTGCTGTGCATTTATATTCAGCTTCATCCTCCAGGAATATGTCGCTAATAGTTAAGCGACAAACACCACTGTCAAATTCCACAACAAAATGGTCGCTTTCTTCGAGTGGCTCATCATCCTATAAAATATTCAGGTAAATTCCTTGAAACTAAATTTCTTTTTCAAATTTCCAAATTTTTTTAAATGGTAAACAGAATTATTTATAAATTCAAACGTTATCAAAGGTCCACTCCACTGCATTTTAAATAATTATTTCATCTCTTATAAAGGAGAAGGTAAGATAAGTAAATCAAAAAGTAATATAAATCTATGAAATGTCACAAGACATCAGTCTGTCAGGTATAAGTATTTATATGTTTTAACTGTGTCTTTAATAACTATTTGCATTAAGACTTTTCTTATTGTGACTATTGCAGAACTGCAAAAAAAAAGTTTCATTATGATATCTTGTCATTATTATTTAGATAGGAGCCAGTGCCTTACCCAAAAAAGATATTTTGCTACAAGATATCTTTTAACGAGATGTTAATGTAAAATGTCTTTTTGAGTAAGACTTTATGTAAAATGACCATTTCAAGTGTCCAGATTATATCATCTTATAAATTGTTCAATGTAACTAACAAAATTTTGAAAGGATTGAAGGATTTTCTTGGGTTTTTTTTGGAATTTCAGGGGCAAATAATGGCTTTCATACCTCTTCCTTTCTGATTGCAAGTTCAACCTTTTGTTGCTTAATGAGCCGATGACAAGAAATCATATTGAGGATAACCAGTAAAATCAGTGAATAACACTTATCAACATTATGAGTCAGTAGGTATATATTCTACAGAAATAATTTCAATTACTATGTATTAATTATGTCACAATTATAAAGAAAGATGTTTTTCCTTTCTTGATAAGAGTTATTTGCCCTTACCTGGTACCATGTGACAGTAGGTTGTCCCACTGTGACACATTGTAATGTGACAGGTGTGCCTTCCATCACATCTATATGTTGTTGGAGGGTCTCTATGAAACGGGGAGCTTCAGGGACCCCTTCTTCGACCTCTTTGGGGGCCGGAGCTATCTCCGGAATTACTCTTTCTTCTGTATCTATAATAATGAAAATATCTTAACATGTCATGAGTTGGAAATGCCAAGTATTAAATGCATATATAGTATTTGTTTTAACTAACAGAAAATATTTACATAAATTTCAATTATTTTAATATTTCATTAACCTTGACATATCAAGCAACTAAAATTAATGCAATGGAAAGGTTCACTAATTAATAGTACTGTTTTTGTTTTTTTCATTATCAAATTATAATTATGTTTCTGAAATGAAACAACACAAGAGCTTTCCTAACTGCAGCAATTAAATTTCATTCTGACATTTATAAATAAAGCAACTATTTTTTCGTATGAATAAAATGAGACATCAAATGTTCATAAAAACTTGATTACAATTTTTTTTTAAATTGTCATTATAATGATGTGATAAAAAGTACTATTCCATTAAAATTTAACATTTCCAAACATTTCATGGTTTTATAATGTTCATCCAATTCAATTTAACTGTATTATGAAATACAATAAGCCTTGTAAAGTTTTTTGGTATATAAAGGAACAGAAATGTATTATTTCATATAGTTAAGATACAGCAAGACCTGACGTTTACACACTTCTCATTTAAATGAACCCGTACCTGGTTTGGATGGTTTTTCAACTTCAAAGGTTAGGGTAGATTCTTCATCTTTAGTAACATGGATTTCTGTTGTGACCTTTTCAGTAGGTTTCTTATCGACTTCAACTTCAGTGACACTAATTTCTGATGGCTGTTCTTCAACCTCTATCTCCAAGGAAACAGTGCTTTTAGGTTGATCCTTGACCTCTATTTCAACAGTTGTTAGGTCTGATGGTTTCTCCTCCTTCACTTCAATCTCCATGGATACAACCTCTTTTGGTTTTTCTGTTACCTCAATCTCCATGGCAGTGACCTCCTTGACCTCAATTTCTTCTGTAGTTTCTTCAGTTAGTTTTGTTGTGATTTCAACTGTAGTCTCTTTTGGTTTCTCTTCAACTTCAAAGGCTGTTTTTAGAAGATAATTCAAAACATAAGTAAATTTTTGTCAGGCATAATGTGATTTATCATATAATTACCATAAAATATTACTATGTAATAATTCAATTTTAAAATAACATATTCAACAATTCAAAACTTTAATTATATCTATTAAAATCAAGAAATGATTTATTTCACTGTCATCATTTTTTTTATGTACAAAGGAAACATTTATATTTAGAAGAATTATGTCAATATAATGATGACACTCATATTTGCCAAATATTTCAAAATGATCTGAATTAATTGATTTTTTATCAGACGCATGCAAATAATATGGTAAAAAGTACAGGAATGCAAGATTTAGGTAAACCCATTACTGGAAGGACTAGTGGCAATATTCTTCAGGAGGAGAAGTTCTGGTAAACGGACCTTTTGGTAGAATTTGTAAGGATAAATGATGGAAAAGTTCTTAGGATAAAACACTGTATCATAAATTTGTTTAAATACAAAAAATATATATATGTAAAGCTACCTGAATGCCTCAAGCTGCAATTGTTCATTTCATAACTTTGATCAAGTGATTTTTTTAGCAGTCAAAATTTGAAGTAACACTGTTCAAACTCCAACAATCTCAGAAAAAAATGTTAAAATATGCTTCATAGGGGTTTTAATGTACTGTGCTTAAAACATTATAAATATTTGAACAATACTAGAGCTAAGAATGATAAGACCTAATCATCTTGCAATACCTGTATCCTCTTTATCTTTATTACTTACGTATGACCTGTACAAAACAGGTGGTGGTGGTTTGACCAATGTCATTCTCTACAACCACCTTGTATTCCCCTTCATCCTCAGGGGAGATCTCAGAAATGACAAGAGTACTAAAGGTCTTCTCAATTGTGATTTTATACTCTGGTTGCTCTACCAATGGTTGTTCCTCAACAAACCAAGTAACTACAGATTTTGGCTGACTGATATACTCTACAGTCAAAACCATTTCTTTTCCTTCAGGAATTTTGATACTTGTAAGATGTTTGATAATTTCAGGAGCTTTCAACTCTGCCACAGAAATGTCAATATTAGCCTCTGCCTTTAAAGCTTCTTCAACATTAATAGAAATAGTTGTTTCAACTTTTTCAGGTTTACTTTCAATTTCTTCAACTGAAACAATCTCTGATATGGTTTGTTCTGTTCTCTGTTCAGTTATTTCAACAAAAGGCTTTTCTGTTTCTTCTTTTATGATTGTCATAGTTTCCTCAAAAGTAACAGGAGTTTCTTCAGTTGGAACCTCAGAGGGTTTCTCTTCCTCAACTTGAGGTTTGACAACAATTTCAACTTCAGTTTTCTGAGAAGGTGTTTCTGTTTCCTCTGTTGTGATTTCAAGAGTTTCCTCATAGATAATTAATGATTCTTCAGTTGGGACTTCAGAAGGTTTCACTTCCTCAACTTCAGGTTTGACAACAATTTCAACTTCAGTTTTCTGAGATGGTGTTTCCTCTGTTTCTGTTGTTATTTCAAGGGTTTCCTCAAAATTAACAGGAGTTTCTTCAGTTGGGACCTCAGAAGGCTTCTGTTCTTCAACTTCAGTTTTGACAATAATATCAACTTCAGTCTTCTCAGAAGGTGTTTCTGTTTCCTCTGTTGTGATTTCAAGAGTTTCCTCATAGGTAACTATTGATTCTTCAGTTGGGACCACAGAAGGTTTCTCTTCCTCAACTTCAGGTTTGACAACAATTTCAACTTCATTTTTTTGTGATGGTGTTTCCTCTGTTTCTGTTGTTATTTCAAGAGTTTCCTCAAAAGTAACAGGAGTTTCTTCAGTTGGGACCTCAGAAGGTTTTTGTTCTTCAACATCAGGTTTGACAACAATTTCAACTTCAGTTTTCTGAGATGGTGTTTCCTCTGTTTCTGTTGTAATTTCAAGAGTTTCCTCATAGGTAACTATTGATTCTTCAGTTGGGACTTCAGAAGGTTTCTCTTCCTCAACTTCAGGTTTGACAACAATTTCAACTTCAACTTTCTGAGATGGTGTCTCCTCTGTTTCTGTCGTTATTTCAAGAGTTTCCTCAAAGGTAACAGGAGTTTCTTCAGTTGGAACCACAGAAGATTTCTGTTCTTCAACTTCATGTTTGACAACAATTTCAACTTCAGTTTTCTGAGATGGTGTTTCCTCTTTTTCTGTACTAATTTCAAGGGTTTCCTCAAAAGTAACAGGAGTTTCTTCAGTTGGGACCTCAGAAGGCTTCTGTTCTTCAACTTCAGGTTTGACAACAATTTCAACTTCAGTTTTTTCAAAAGGTGTTTCTTTTTCCTCTGTTGTGATTTCAAGAGTTTCCTCATAGGTAACTATTGATTCTTCAGTTGGGACTTCAGAAGGTTTCTCTTCCTCAACATCAGGTTTGACAACAATTTCAACTTCAGTTTTTTGTGATGGTATTTCCTCAGTTGCTGTTGTGATTTCAAGAGTTTCCTCATAGGTAACTATTGATTCGTCAGTTGGGACTTCAGAAGGTTTCTCTTCCTCAATTTCAGGTTTGACAACAATTTCAACTTCAGTTATCTGAGATGGTGTTTCCTCTGTTTCTGTTTTGATTTCAAGAGTCTCCTCAAAAGTAACAGGAGTTTCTTCAGTTGGGACCTCAGAAGGCTTCTGTTCTTCAACTTCAGGTTTTACAACAATTTCAACTTCAGTCTTCTCAGAAGGTATTTCAGTTTCCTCTGTTTTGATTTCAAGAGTTTCCTCATAGGTAACTATTGATTCGTCAGTTGGGACTTCAGAAGGTTTCTCTTCCTCAACTTCAGGTTTGACAACAATTTCAACTTCAGTTATCTGAGATGGTGTTTCCTCTGTTTCTGTTGTCATTTCAAGAGTTTCCTCAAAAGTAACAGGAGTTTCTTCAGTTGGGACCTCAGAAGGCTTCTGTTCTTCAACTTCAGGTTTTACAACAATTTCAACTTCAGTCTTCTCAGAAGGTATTTCAGTTTCCTCTGTTGTGATTTCAAGAGTTTCCTCATAGGTAACTATTGATTCTTCAGTTGGGACTTCAGAAGGTTTCTCTTCCTCAACATCAGGTTTGACAACAATTTCAACTTCAGTTTTTTGTGATGGTGTTTCCTCAGTTGCTGTTGTGATTTCAAGAGTTTCCTCATAGGTAACTATTGATTCGTCAGTTGGGACTTCAGAAGGTTTCTCTTCCTCAACTTCAGGTTTGACAACAATTTCAACCTCAGTTATCTGAGATGGTGTTTCCTCTGTTTCTGTTGTGATTTCAAGAGTTTCCTCAAAAGTAACAGGAGTTTCTTCAGTTGGGACCTCAGAAGGCTTCTGTTCTTCAACTTCAGGTTTTACAACAATTTCAACTTCAGTCTTCTCAGAAGGTATTTCGGTTTCCTCTGTTGTGATTTCAAGAGTTTCCTCATAGGTAACTATTGATTCGTCAGTTGGGACTTCAGAAGGTTTCTCTTCCTCAACTTCAGATTTGACAACAATTTCAACTTCAGTTATCTGAGATGGTGTTTCCTCTGTTTCTGTTGTGATTTCAAGAGTTTCCTCAAAAGTAACAGGAGTTTCTTCAGTTGGGACCTCAGAAGGCTTCTGTTCTTCAACTTCAGGTTTGACAACAATTTCAACTTCAGTCTTCTCAGAAGGTATTTCAGTTTCCTCTGTTGTGATTTCAAGAGTTTCCTCATAGGTAACTATTGATTCTTCAGTTGGGACTTCAGACGGTTTCTCTTCCTCAACTTCAGGTTTGACAACAATTTCAACTTCAGTTTTCTGAGATGGTGTTTCCTCTGTTTCTGTTGTTATTTCAAGGGTTTCCTCAAAAGTAACAGGAGTTTCTTCAGTTGGGACTTCAGAAGGCTTCTGTTCTTCAACTTCAGGTTTGACAACAATTTCAACTTCAATTTTCTCAGAAGGTGTTTCTTTTTCCTCTGTTGTGATTTCAAGAGTTTCCTCATAGGAAACTATTGATTCTTCAGTTGGGACTTCAGACGGTTTCTCTTCCTCAACTTCAGGTTTGACAACAATTTCAACTTCAGTTTTCTGAGATGGTGTTTCCTCTGTTTCTGTTGTTATTTCAAGGGTTTCCTCAAAAGTAACAGGAGTTTCTTCAGTTGGGACCTCAGAAGGCTTCTGTTCTTCAACTTCAGGTTTGACAACAATTTCAACTTCAGTCTTCTCAGAAGGTATTTCAGTTTCCTCTGTTGTGATTTCAAGAGTTTCCTCATAAGTAACTATTGATTCTTCAGTTGGGACTTCAGAAGGTTTCTCTTCCTCAACTTCAGGTTTGACAACAATTTCAACTTCAGTTTTCTGAGATGGTGTTTCCTCTGTTTCTGTTGTTATTTCAAGGGTTTCCTCAAAAGTAACAGGAGTTTCTTCAGTTGGGACCTCAGAAGGCGTCTGTTCTTCAACTTCAGGTTTAACAACAATTTCAACTTCAGTCTTCTCAGAAGGTATTTCAGTTTCTTCTGTTGTGATTTCAAGAGTTTCCTCATAGGTAACTATTGATTTGTCAGTTGGGACTTCAGAAGGTTTCTCTTCCTCAACTTCAGGTTTGACAACAATTTCAACTTCAATTTTCTGAGATGGTGTTTCCTCTGTTTCTGTTGTTATTTCAAGGGTTTCCTCAAAAGTAACAGGAGTTTCTTCAGTTGGGACTTCAGAAGGCTTCTGTTCTTCAACTTCAGGTTTTACAACAATTTCAACTTCAGTCTTCTCAGAAGGTATTTCAGTTTCTTCTGTTGTGATTTCAAGAGTTTCCTCATAGGTAACTATTGATTTGTCAGTTGGGACTTCAGAAGGTTTCTCTTCCTCAACTTCAGGTTTGACAACAATTTCAACTTCAATTTTCTGAGATGGTGTTTCCTCTGTTTCTGTTGTTATTTCAAGGGTTTCCTCAAAAGTAACAGGAGTTTCTTCAGTTGGGACCTCAGAAGGCTTCTGTTCTTCAACTTCAGGTTTGACAACAATTTCAACTTCAGTCTTCTCAGAAGGTATTTCAGTTTCCTCTGTTGTGATTTCAAGAGTTTCCTCATAAGTAACTATTGATTCTTCAGTTGGGACTTCAGAAGGTTTCTCTTCCTCAACTTCAGGTTTGACAACAATTTCAACTTCAGTTTTCTGAGATGGTGTTTCCTCTGTTTCTGTTGTTATTTCAAGGGTTTCCTCAAAAGTAACAGGAGTTTCTTCAGTTGGGACCTCAGAAGGCGTCTGTTCTTCAACTTCAGGTTTAACAACAATTTCAACTTCAGTCTTCTCAGAAGGTATTTCAGTTTCTTCTGTTGTGATTTCAAGAGTTTCCTCATAGGTAACTATTGATTTGTCAGTTGGGACTTCAGAAGGTTTCTCTTCCTCAACTTCAGGTTTGACAACAATTTCAACTTCAATTTTCTGAGATGGTGTTTCCTCTGTTTCTGTTGTTATTTCAAGGGTTTCCTCAAAAGTAACAGGAGTTTCTTCAGTTGGGACTTCAGAAGGCTTCTGTTCTTCAACTTCAGTTTTGACTATAATATCAACTTCAGTCTTCTCAGAAGGTGTTTCTGTTTCCTCTGTTGTGATTTCAAGAGTTTCCTCATAGGTAACTATTGATTCTTCAGTTGGGACCACAGAAGGTTTCTCTTCCTCAACTTCAGGTTTGACAACAATTTCAACTTCAGTTTTTTGTGATGGTGTTTCCTCTGTTTCTGTTGTTATTTCAAGAGTTTCCTCAAAAGTAACAGGAGTTTCTTCAGTTGGGACCTCAGAAGGCTTCTGTTCTTCAACTTCAGGTTTGACAACAATTTCAACTTCAGTTTTCTGAGATGGTGTTTCCTCTGTTTCTGTTGTAATTTCAAGAGTTTCCTCATAGGTAACTATTGATTCTTCAGTTGGGACTTCAGAAGGTTTCTCTTCCTCAACTTCAGGTTTGACAACAATTTCAACTTCAACTTTCTGAGATGGTGTCTCCTCTGTTTCTGTTCTTATTTCAAGAGTTTCCTCAAAGGTAACAGGAGTTTCTTCAGTTGGGACCTCTGAAGGCTTCTGTTCTTCAACTTCAGGTTTGACAACAATTTCAACTTCAGTTTTCTCAGAAGGTGTTTCTTTTTCCTCTGTTGTGATTTCAAGAGTTTTCTCATAGGTAACTATTGATTCTTCAGTTGGGACTTCAGAAGGTTTCTCTTCCTCAACATCAGGTTTGACAACAATTTCAACTTCAGTTTTTTGTGATGGTGTTTCCTCAGTTGCTGTTGTGATTTCAAGAGTTTCCTCATAGGTAACGATTGATTCGTCAGTTGGGACCTCAGAAGGTTTTTGTTCTTCAACATCAGGTTTGACAACAATTTCAACTTCAGTTTTCTGAGATGGTGTTTCCTTTGTTTCTGTTGTAATTTCAAGAGTTTCCTCATAGGTAACTATTGATTCTTCAGTTGGGACTTCAGAAGGTTTCTCTTCCTCAACTTCAGGTTTGACAACAATTTCAACTTGAGTTTTCTCAGAAGGTGTTTCTTTTTCTTCTGTTGTGATCTCAAGAGTTTCCTCTTCAGAGACTATATCTTGCTCTACCTCAACAAGCGAAGGTTTCCTTTCTTCTACAGATGGTTTTGTTTTGGGTGCAGTTACCTTCTCTTCGGCAAATTTTATTGCAGTAGTTTCTTCAGTGATAACGGATGCAATAATTTCTTTTGTGAATTGTTCAGCATATTTCTCAATTACCTCTGAAGTGATTTCTTCTGGTTGTTCAGTTTCAGCTTCTTCTAATATTAGGTCAGTATTCATTGGTGTTTCCTCTTCAGCTATTACTTTTTTCACTTCTTCTTGTTCTTCTACATGTGGTTTGTCCTCTGTTAGCTCTTCAATTTCAATAGGTGTCTCCTCCAGCTCAAGTTGTTCCTCCTGAATAACTTGTGTCAACTTTCCTTCCTCTGATATAACAGATTCCACTATTTCCTTTACAACTTCTTCTGCATATTTTTCATAAACTGTAGTAGATATTTCTTGTGTTACTTTTTCTTGCTCGATTTCAATCTCAACCTCAGTTACAGACGGTTTAGTTTCCTCAACAACTGGTGTTTCTTCAATGAGTTGAGTTGTTTCTTCAGAAATTTCTTCAGGAATTACTATTGGTACCTCTGTTACACTTTCTGTTACCTTTTCTGTTTCTTTTACCTCAATATCTGAAGGTACTTCCTCTTCAGTGACAACTTCAGTTGTAGTTGTAACTGTTTCAATATGTTCTGAGATAACTTCTTTAGTTTCAATGTCAATTTGACTTATGACATCAGAAGGTGTGACAGCTTCCTCTGATGAGATTTCAGATGGAAGTTCTTCTGTTGTCATTGGTTTCACTTCAATTGAAACTTCCTGGTATTCTGTTGGCTTAGTTTCAACAATTTCCTGTATTTCTGCTACGACCTCAGAAACTTTTTCTTCAGTAACTGGTGCAACAGTTGGGTGATCTTTTTCAACTGTAATTGTTTCTGTTATTTCTTCAACAACTTCTTGTGTTGGTTGTTCGACTTCCTGTTGTGGAAATTCCTCTGGAACAGATTCTTGTTTTGTTGTTTCTAACTCAGAAACTTTGGTTGGTTTGATTTCAACTGAGACAGTTTCTGTTACTCTTTCAGGTAATGTCTCTTCAGGTGCAGTTTCCTCAACTGACTCTGGTACTTCTTTTACCTCTACTACTTCTGAAACTTCTTCATCTACTTGGGATGGTCTGACATCCTTAGAAATCTTCACTGTCATATCAACAGTAGTGGTCTCTGTTGGTTTTTCTTCAATGGTGAGAGTTTCTTCGAATGTCTCTGTGGTAATCTGTTCAGTAACTGTTTCTGTCTGACTAACATCTTCTGGGATAACCTCTTTTTGAACTTCAATTGTTGTTCTTGTTTCCTCAACTGTTTCTTTAACAGGAGCAGCAGATTCTATTATGATTTCAGTGTCCTCTGTTTTATCTAATATTGGAATTGACTCTCTTTCAGTTACAACAACAGTTTCTTCAGATGGAACAGGTACATCCTGTTCCAAAATTTCTTCTGTTATTTCAGAAACCTCTCTGACTGAAGTTGTAGTTTCTTGATATCCAACCGTTATTTGTAATTCAACTTCTTCCTTTTGGGTTTCAGGCTGAATTTCAATAGTTTCCTTAAAGTGTTCCACTTCAGTAACTTCCTCAGGAATGTCTTCTTTTTCTTCTGTGATTTCAATAGTTTCTCTATATGTTTCTTCTGAGATGATTTCTTTTGGGATTTCTTCCTCTTCTGTTGTAATTTCAACAGTTTCTTTGAAAGTTGCTATGGTTTCTTCTTTGTGCAACTCAATATCAATTTCAACTTCTTCAGTTGGTATCTGAGACAATTCAATTGATTCTTTAAAGGTAGGTTTCTCAGGACGCTCTTCCTTTGAAATTTCTACTGATTCAACAAACACTGGTTGCTCTTCGAACACTTTTTGTTCAACTTGAACTTCTTCCTTATAGGTAGGTTTTTCTTTGTGAATTTCAATGCTTTCAACAAAAGTTGGTTTTTCTTCTTCTGGTAATTCTTCCTTCTGAACCTCGATTTGTTCTCTGAATGAAACATGAGTTTCAATTTGAGGAGCTTCAACCTCAGTAATTGTTGGTTGTACTGTTACTTCAATACCCTCAGTGAATACTTTTTCTTCCACTTTTGGAACGTCTTGTGCTTCTTTAGTAAACTCCAAGGTTTCTCTGAAAGTTATTTCCTGTTCTTGATTTGGAGCAATAGCTTCCTTTTCATCATCTGTTTCTTTATGAACATCTTTCTCAATTTCAGCAATTTCCACTGTTTCTTTCTTAGGAAATTTGATATCAATTTCAACAATTTCAGGTTTCTTCTCAGTTGTAATCTCAACTGTTTCTTCAAATGTTTCTGTGGTTGGAATTGTCTCCTCACTCACTGGCTTTTCTTCTTCTTTTGTGACATTTATTGTCTCCCTAAAGGTTATTTCCTCTACTGTCTGAGGGGCTGATATATCTCCCTCAACAACACTAGGTCTTTTTGGCATAATCTCTACACTCTCAGTATATGTTGTATCTTCTGTTTTTTCTACAGTTTCAATTGTTTTGTCCATGGTAGTTGTAATTTCTACAGTTTCTTCGAATGTTTCCTCTTTAGGTCCAGAGAACTGAATCTCAACAGCAGATGGCTGTTCAATGTCAATAGTTTCAACAAAAGTCTCCTCTGAAACATCTTCAGGTACTTTAGAAACCTCAATAGATTCCCTGTAGGTCTCAAGTTTGTCCTTAGGAAATTCTAAATCTATTTCAACTTCCCCAGGCTGCTCTTTTACAACTGGTTTCTTGAAAGTTTTTGTTTCTTCTATTTCTGGTAATTGTTCCATTTTTGGTACAATTTCAGGTTTCTTTGGTGTTATTTCAAATGTTGTTTCATGTAGTTCTTCTGGTTTCCCCTCAGTTGTTATTTCAACTGTTTCCCTAAAGGATTCTGTTGGTTTGGGAGCTTCAAACTCAATTTCAACTACTTCTGGTTTTTCTGGAGCTATTTCAATTGACTCCTTGAACTTTGAATCTTCTGTGACTTCTTCTTCAATTTCTTCTGTTTCCTTAGAAATTTCAATTGTTTCTCTGAATGTTTCTTCTGTGATCTCCTGAGCAAAAGGAACTTCAACTTCAACAATTTCAGGTTTCTTTGGTGTTATTTCAATTGACTCCTTGAATTTTGTATCTTCTGTGACTTCTAAAATTTCTTCTGTTTCCTCAGAAATCTCAATTTTTTCACTGAATGTTTCTTCTGTGATCTCCTGAGTAAAAGGAACCTCAACTTCAACGATTTCAGGTTTCTTTGGTGTTATTTCAATTGACTCTTTGAATTTTGTATCCTCTGTGATTTCTTTTGGAACTTCTTCTGTTTCCTTAGAAATCTCTATGGTTTCCCTGAATGTTTCTTCTGTGACCTCTTGAGAAGCAGGAACTTCAACTTCAACAATTTCAGGTTTCTTTGGTGTTATTTCAAATGTTGTTTCATGTAGTTCTTCTGGTTTCTCCTCAGTTGTTATTTCAACTGTTTCCTTAAAGGTTTCTGTTGGTTTGGCAGCTTCAAACTCAATTTCAACTACTTCTGGTCTTTTTTGAGCTATTTCAATTGACTCCTTGAATTTTGTATCTTCTGTGACTTCTTCTGGAATTTCTTCTGTTACCTTAGAAATTTCAATTGTTTCGCTGAATGTTTCTTCTGTTTTCTCCTGAGTAAAAGGAACTTCAACTTCGACAATTTCTGGTTTCTTTGGTGTTATTTCAATTGACTCCTTGAATTTTGTATCTTCTGTGACTTCTTCTAGAATTTCTTCTGTTTCTTTAGACATATCAATTGTTTCCCTGAATGTTTCTTCTATTACTTCTTGAGGAGCAGGAACTTCAACTTCAACAATCTCAGGTTTCTTTGGTGTTATTTCAAATGTTGTTTCATGTAGTTCTTCTGGTTTCTCCTCAGTTGTTATTTCAACTGTTTCCTTAAAGGATTCTGTTGGTTTGGGAGCTTCAAACTCAATTTCAACTACTTCTGGTTTTTCTGGAGCTATTTCAATTGACTCCTTGAATTTTGTATCTTGTATTACTTCTTCAGGAATTTCATCAGTTTCCTTGGTAATCTCAATTGTTTCCCTGAATGTTTCCTCTGTGACATTTGGTGTTATTTCAACTGTTGTTACCACTGGTTTTTCCTCAGTGGTATCTTCAACTGTTTCTGTGACAGTTTCCTTTGGTTTTGGAGCTTCAAAAGTAAGTTCAACCACTTCAGGTTTTTTAGGAGTAATCTCCATTGATTCTGTGTATTTAGTTTCTTCAGACAATTCTGTTGGAATCTCTCCCGTTTCTTCTGAAACAGCAAAAACTTCTGTCACTCCTGTAGTTGTAGAAATTTGTATAGCCTCCTTAACAGAAGCATTAACTTCTATCTCTACCATCTCAGGTTTCTCTGGTAATATTTCAATGGACTCTTTATAGTTTGTTTCTTCTGTTACTTCTTCAGAAGGTCCTTCTTCTACAATTTCAATAGTTTCCTCGGATTTCGTTACTTCAACTGTTTCTTTGAATGTTTCTTGTGGCTTTGGAGCCTCAAATTCTATTTCTATTGTTTCTGGCTTGCCAGAGGTTATTTCAATAGTCTCTTTGAATTTTGTAACATCTGTGATTTCTACAGGAATTTCTTTTGTTTCTTCAGTGACTTGAATTGTTTCTCTGAAGGTTTCCTCCAAAACCTCTTGAGGAGCAGGAGCTTCACTTTCTGTATCTTCTGGCATCTTTGGTGTTATTTCAATTGACTCCATGAATTTTTCTTCTTCTGTGATTTTCTCTGGAATTTCCTCTGTTTCTTTTGTAACCTGAATTGTTTCTCGAACAGTTTCTTCAGTTACTACTTGAGGAGCAGCTATTTCAACGTCAGACATTTTTTCAACAGTAATTTCTTTTGGTTTTTCTTCTTCTGAAGAAATTTCCTCCTCTTCTTTTACAACATCTAAGCTAACCCACTTATCATCATCAGATAGTTCTTCCACTGTGATAACTTTAGGCTTTGATTCTGTTGGAGCAATCTCTTTGACTCTTTCAATCATTTCTTCTATATCTTCTGGTTTTTCAGGGATTCCTTCAGAAGAAGCAGTGCTTCGAGCTACAAAACAGAGTTATATTATTACTCACCTTGACCTTGCTATCTACTATATTTTACCCTCACCTGTCTTTGTCTGGCGTCTTGTCAGTTTTGGATGCAGTTACTTTCATTCAAGTGTGGAGTATTTAGGACATTTTTTTATTAAAAAAAATTAAATAAACTATGCAATGTGATTTTGTAATGCATTTCCTCAATCAAATTAACAACTCTTTACATTTCTCACTTTTTTTATTTCTAAAAAATTATTAAAATGAGGTCAAAAACTTCAGTGTCAAAAATATGCCACACTTTATTTAGAAAGTAAAACTGTATCTCAGCTACAAAGTCGTTGATGCATGGGCCACAATGCAAGGGTAAACAATTCATAAAATCCAAGAGTCTATTCTCTCACCTCGGTCTGTATTGAAATCAACTTTTTTGTACTTACAGACCACTATCCTATTAAATTAGTATTTATGTCTGCAAGACAGTTTTATTCAAACATTTTATATTTGGCTATTTAGAAACAAATATTATCCATTTCATCAAAACCAGGAATAAAATATGTTTAGAATGAACAATTTTAGAGGACTAAGGTACAAAACCTCAACTTTCATGGAATGTTTAAATTATAATTTTGATCTGGAAGAAGCAGTCACCTCAAATAAAACAATCTTAGCAAAAAATTCTGATGCTGTTATCAGAAAAATGGAGTGTATTTGTTTGACGACAGACAACAAGTGATGACATGACACAAACTGATAAAATAGGAAATAAGATTTTGAATTTAGATAGGGATTTGAAACAAATTTCTGATCATCTGGAACTGTCTTCCTAATTGAAGTTCTTGGAAAAATTATTTTGAATATCCAAGAGAAAATGTAAAAGTAAATTTAATTTACAAAATTCACAACAATTGGTAAATTTTGTATATGTAGGGAAAAAATCCATATATTCTTCCATTAAGATAAAAAAAACAATTAAATATTTAAAAATGAATGTAAATAAATATCATCAGAAATTTGTTTGCAAAATGGTCAAATAGGCAGTCAATGGTCATAGGTCAGATCACAACATACTATATTAAATATGTATTATGGTGTAGGTAATGGTATTGGTAATAATACTTGGATAAATATTTGAAATGGTTTCCATGGTTTTGGTAAGAATAAGTGGTAGGACTAGTCTCATATGCATTTAACTCCATATCACTCTCATTTCTGAACATAGTCAAAGAGTTTAACCATCTTTATCAAAATATATGTCATGCTATGGCGGTTAAATATCATGTAAACACAGATAAAAAGGCTTTTCAAAACAAATTTGAATCTGTACAGAATAAAAAACAGTAAATGGAATAATTTCTGTATACTGGTGTGTTGGTAAAAGTGTAAATGAACATTTTGTGTGCTAAGGTTTTCTTTGTAGAGTTTTGTTTTTATGGTTGGTGGTCAAAACCAGGTAAACAAATCTATTGTCATGAAATATAATCGTCTACTTGTATGTATGCTAAGTAACAATTTCTAATCTCTTTAATCTTGAAAAGCAAATCGAAACATCAACAAATCCAAAATGAGTAACACACAAGTATTCATATTACAAATCATGACAAAAGATTATTGAGTATTCAACTTACGAAGTACTGTGACATAAGCTGTGGATCGAATTTTTCCAGCGACATTAGCAACCTCCACCCAATATTCGCCTTCATCCTCAGGGAAAATCTCCCTAAATGTAAGGACAGTTTGTCGCTCCTCGGTGACAATCTCGATACCCTCGCTGGGAGTAATCTCATCACCATCCAGGTACCATGTCACTGTCAGTGGAGGACGTCCTGTGTACTCCGCCACTAACTTAACAACCTTATTCTCCGTCTCGGACTGATCCGTGAGGGGGATGGTGAACATTGGAGCTTCCTGCTCTAATGTTGTCTTAAATGTTTCTTCTGGTACTTCTTCCACAGTAATATCTTCTTTGATGCCTTCTGGTTTGACCTCTATAGTAATTTCTTCCTTTTTGACATCTTCTGGTTTGACCTCTATTGTGATCTCCTCTTTTGTTACTTCCTGTGGTTTGACCTCTATTGTGATCTCCTCTTTTGTCACTTCCTGTGGTTTGATCTCTACAGTGATCTCCTCATTTGTTACTTCCTGTGGTTTGACTTCAACAGTGATCTCCTCTTTTGTCACTTCCTGTGGTTTTTCTGGTTGGAATTCAGATATTTCTATTTGTTCTGTCGATTCTTGATCAACAGTAGCCTTTGTTTCAACTGGAGCTTCTGTTATTGGTTTGGATTTTTCTGTTGGAACTTCAGAAGGTACTGCTTCTTCTGTTTTTTTTATCTCGACTTCAGTAAATTCTGGTTGCTCTGATTTTTCTTCTGCAACAGTTACTTTAGATTCAGTTGGTGCTTCCAGTTCAGGCTTAGTTTCTGTAACTGGAACTTCTGATGGCTGTGTTTCTTCTGGTTTTGCAACTTCAACTTCAGTTACCTCTGGTTGCTCGGGTGTTTCCTCCGATATTGTCACTTTTGACTCAATTGGAGATTTAATTCCAGGTGTAATTTCTTCACCGGGAATCTCAGAGGGTTTTGTCTCTTCTGGTTTTTCAGTAATAATTTCAGTAATTTGAGATTGTTCATGTGTTTCTTCTGAGATTGTCACCATTGATTCTTGTGGTGTTTCCTGTTCAGGTTGTGCCTCTTCTGTTGGGACGTCTGAAGGCTGAGATTTCTGAAAAGTGTACCAGAAATTTCTATATGTGTTATCTTGTATTATTCAATATATTAATTGAAATATTTAGCATATCATATAAGTTATCCTTAAAATTCTTAATCAGCACATAATGAAGTAAAGCTGTAATTACTACAATTTGATATTTCATTTTCTGGAACTGATGACAACTGTCAAAGATGACAACCATTAGTTAAAAATGCAATGTATACAAATTGGACTACTTTCATTCACTATATTATTAAGTTGGCCAAAATTTTGCCAAAAATTCACAGTTCAATTGGTTACAGTGTGTATGTAATTGCATGCAAAGCTCTGATTCCTTTGTCTGGTTTGGCTTTACTTTTGATCCTTTTTAGTGTTAACAGTTCTTAATTGTTTGAATCAGGTTTTGGATTATAAATGTTTTGGCCTTACACATCACAAAAGACATATCATTTGTAGAAATACACATCTGATGACCTATAATTGGTATTAATGATATAATTAATACAATTTGCATTTTCATATAGACTTCCAAAAATGTGAGGCACATAAATAGCATTTATATGAATCTATCGAAATTCCAGATATCTACTGTTATAATCACTTTTCAAATTTCATATTTGTAAATGAGATCAAATGATTGATGGAAAGAAGACCAACCTCCTCTTCTCCAGCTTCAGGCACAGACACAATCTCTTCTGATCTCTCTGTCAGTTCCATTAATGCAGCTTTCTTCACTTCATCAATGTCTATTTCCATACCATTAGATGAAAGTTTCTGTATCTCATCCATGAATTCCTTGGGGAATGCAGCCATCTCTGTATCAGAATCTACTGGTGGTCGAGGAGATGGTGTATCCATTGACGACATAAACGAGTCAGAAGCTTCCTCTGTGTCAGGTACATATTCATATGCTAAAATACATAAAAAAAAACTATTGCAAAAAAACATTTCCTTATTGAAGACAAAGAAAAATTACTGTTAATGTTGAGCTATGTGCCCTCTCTACCTTCATAATTAACTATAAAGTGTGCAATTTCAAGGACTATCAAGTTCATTGCTGAAGAATTTCCAGCAACTGTAAGATGATGAACACAGTAAATTATACTACTAAATGATTTTGCCATTTGATAAGGGACTCTCTGTTTTGAATTTTCCTCAAAGTTCGGTATTTTACTTTTTTCTATGATGAATGTTTATTTCTAAGTATTTCTTCAGATTATTGTCTCATGTATATCTTCTTATATTTCTTTATATCTCAATTAAAATATTTTTACACTTTCTTTCAATTCTAAAGGAGCCATATAATATAATATATTACATTTTTCTATTTCCAATGACTACTGTTTATCTCAGTAAACTGAATAGCATGTTTACATATACTTATTCCACTTTTGTCACTTTTGACAAATTTTGTTTCAATTTTTCTCTCCTTTTCTCATCAAATCTTGTTTGATTTTTGCATTTACTTAGTACTGCTTCTTTCAATATAAAACATCTTCACTTATAAAAATGTTTACTTATATATTACCCCGGCTATTAAGTATGGGTGGTTTTTCAATTTAAAATTTTTTGTCAACTTCTCTTTTTAATCTCATTGAAGTCTACCATGTTTTATAATAGAAAAGTTATATAATTCAAAATGTAAACCATTTCTAGCTCCCATTTTGGGTACTGAACTTTGTTTGCCAGATAATCAAATTTAAAATGAATATTTCAATAATCAAAACAATATCCATTTAAACTAAAAATAGGTAAAGGTATAGGTATCAAATTTGGCAGAAGAAAAATAGAAATAATTATATAACTGAAAATCAGGAATTATTGAACATTTAAAACCTTCTTTAAACATATCACTAAGACATATTTTTTTCTTACATTCCACTTCCAAGAAGCCCTTGGTGACAGCTTTGCCATAAGGGTTGACAGCCTCGCAGCGATACTCTCCAGCATCTTGTGGGAAAACTTCAACAATCAGCAGAGTACATGATCCTGATTCAGTGTCAAAGGTCAAATGGAAATCTTGTGTCTCATAAAGTGGTTTATCATCATGGAACCATTCAACTTGACAAGTGGGAATTCCCTGTAACTCACATCGGAATTTGGCCTCTTCTCCATCCATAACTTTCAGGGTTGTCAAACCCCAAGTGAATTCTGGTGGACTATGGCCTTCAGGAATTTCTACATCAAATATTTCCTGTGTTGTTGTGGCCTTATCTATCATTTCAGATGTTTCGGTAATCTCCTCTTGGGTAATAACAATTTTGGCAACACTTTCTTCTTCTTTAGAAGGCATTTTTAATGTAAGTTTGACTCCCTCTTTAGGTTTGTCCTCAACATCAAGAGTGACCTCTCCTTTGTCAGTTTCTTCTATTTCAGATAGTTCAAATGTCACTTCCTCTGTGACGCTTTCAGAGGTTGTTTCCATTAGAGTTGTTTCTGTCACCTCTGGAACCTCTTGATCATTAAGTTCAAAGGTCATTTCAATTTCTTCTTGAGGCTTTTCTTCTGTTTCAATTGTTGAAATTTGAATTGTTGATTCATCACTTTCTGGTAATTGAAATGTGAAGGCCTCTCCGATATTACCAACAACTTCAGTAGTTGTGGTTTCCTTGATAACTGTAGTTTGTTTTTCAGGACCTGGGAATTCTAAAGTCATTTCAAATTCTTCTTCAGGCTGACCTTCAACATTAAGAGTCATTTCTTCTGTATATGTATCCTGCGATACTGGTAGCTCAAATGTTTCAACACTTTCAGTACCAGTTTCCTCTGTAAAAGTTGTAATTTCTTGTTCAGTTGTTTCTTTTTCTGGTTGTATTTCTAAAGAAAATTCAACAGATTCAGATGGTTGACCTTCAACATTAAGAGTCATTTCTTCTGTATATGTATCCTGCGATACTGGTAGCTCAAATGTTTCAACACTTTCAGTACCAGTTTCCTCTGTAAAAGTTGTAATTTCTTGTTCAGTTGTTTCTTTTTCTGGTTGTATTTCTAAAGAAAACTCAACAGATTCAGATGGTTGACCTTCAATATTAAGAGTCATTTCTTCTGTATATGTATCCTGCGATACTGGTAGCTCAAATGTTTCAACAGTTTCAGTACCAGTTTCCTCTGTAAAAGTTGTTATTTCTTGTTCAGTTGTTTCTTTTTCTGGTTGCCCTTCCATAGAAAACTCAACAGATTCAGAAGGTTGTGCTTTGAAAGTGAATGACATTTCCTCCCCAGTTGTTTCCATGGCAACTGGTGCTTCAGTTTCCTTTGTTGTTTGGATGACTAGTTCTGTTGTTTCTGTTGGCACCTCTTCAAATGTTATATCCTGCTGTTTTGTTTCTTCCACATCAGTGGTTATAAAAGTAACTTGAGTGTCGGTTTCCTCAGTTACCTCAGTAGTTCTTGTTGACTCCACTGATGTAGTTTCTGTATCATCAATTGCAAAGGAAAAGCTGACCTCTTCCTCAAGTTTGTCATCAATCTGGATGGTAAGCTCCTGAGGAACTTCCTGTTCACTCTCAGGTAGTGTAACAGTTTCAGATGATGTTTCTGTAACTGATTCAACTTCAGACACTTCCATAACAACAGGTACTTCCTGTTCAGGTTGTTCCATTTTGATGTCAATCTGAAATTCTTCTCCAGGAACTTCCTGAATCTCAAGAGTTGTCTCCTCTTTCTGTACTTCTTCAGTCTCTGGAACTTCAAAAGTAAATTCTTCTTTGACAGTCTGTATAGTAACTTCTTCTACAGTCTGTTCTTTGGGTTTTTCTTCTTCAACTGGTTTTACAGGAAGAACGAATTGTACTTCTTTCATGGCTTCTCCCATGATATTCATTGTTAATTCTTCTATATGCTTCTCTCTCTTGTCAACTTTGACTTCTGTGACAACTGTTTCAGTCACTTCTTCCTTTTCTTCAGGGACAGGAACAACAATTTCAACTTTTTCTTCCTTTGTAAGTTGATCAGCTATATCTAACAAGATTTCAACTCTTTGTTCTTCTGGAAGTTTTTCCTCTGGTTTGACTTCAATAGAAATTTCATCTTTAAAATGTTTATCAACAGCAGGTTTCTTTTTCTCAATGGTAGTTTTTGATATCACTGTTTCAACAGCTTCTTGAATTTCTTTAGTCATAGGAATCGTAATTTCTGTCTTTTCATCCACAATAGGCTTCCTTTCCTCTGGTACTTCTTCCATTGGGATAATTTCTTCTTCCTGAGGTTTCCCTTCTTCTGGAACTTCTTCCATAGGGATAATTTCTTCATCCTGAGGTTTTTCAATTGTTTGTCTAATTTCTTCAATTTGTTCATCTTGAGGACGTGGTATATCTTTCATCTCAGTGACCTCAATTTCAGTCCCACTGACCTCTTTAACAACTTTAGCAATAATTTCAGTTGGTTTTTGTTTCATTGTTGTTTTATGAACTTCCACTTCAATTTTTTGTGCTGAAGGCCTTCTTTCTTTTCCTGTGATGATTTCAGTTTTATGAACTTCCTTTGATGGAATTGTAACCTGAAATTGAACTTCCTGTTGCTCTTCAGGCACAATTTCAATAGTTTCAGTATGTACCTCTGTTGTACCTTCTATCTCCTCCATAGGAACAGCACGGATTTCCTCAGTGGTAATTGTTCTTGTTTCTCTTGTTACTTCTGTAACATCCTGTGGGCCTTTAACAGGCATTTGTACAATAACTTCCACAGGTTTCTTTTCGTCTTCTTTGTTTACTGTGACTCTTGTCGTATGAATCGAGTCACCTTCAACAATTTTTGGAATGTCCTCTTCATCTTGGAATGTTTCTGTAGTAACCTGAGTGTATGTTGTAGTCTCTGTGATTACAGATGATGTTGTTATTGGTGCTTGTGGAAAGCCAATTTGTATTTCAAAGGCTGTTGGTTTCGCCGATGGTTGTGTGACTGTTGGCACCTTATCAAGAGATATTGTCTCAATATAGCTTGTATCCTCAGGTATAATAATGGGTTGCATTTCTTCTGTTGGTTGAATATCAATCCTGGATCTATGGCGCTCTAGGACAGGAATAGGTCTTTCAGTTTCTGGTGACAACTGCTGTACTTCAATGGTAGTTCTATGGTACTCTTCTGATGGAATTTCTTCATCTGGAGCTGAAAAAGGTCAAAAGGGCAGGTTAAGGTCAAGGTTAAAATAAAATAATGGTATTCCAAGGTAAACAATGGTTAAAATGAGATAAGAAGCAATCTAGGAGGATAGAAGGCTTTTGGAATAAAATAATAAATCAGATAAAAAAAGATAATTCACCATGTGCCTCCTTCACATCAATGTTGTGTTATTTTTTATTGTATTGAACCCATATTTTTATTTTGTAATTTCATGCATTATTTTTATGAAGATTTAGCTGAAATTACTACATATGCTTAAATACATCAGTTCAACCACACAGACTGTTATGTGTATTTCTGATATTACACAGCAATGTTTGGTCATACAGCAGTCTAACAGCTTTGAAACAATAGTTAAAATGTAAACTTGTTTTTTAATTCAATCAAAAACAAGCACACTGCTCCAATCAAAAGTAAAAAATAACGTATGGAATCATTCAACCATAAAACTGAACTCACCAACAACAACAAGTCGACAAGATGTGATAGACTCTCCATATGGATTCCTGGCAGTACAAGTGTATTCACCCTCATCCTCTGGGAAGACTTCCACAATAATCAGAATACTCTCCTTCTTGCTGTAGTCAATGATGATCTGGAAGTCATGACTTGGTTTTATCTCTTTTCCATTGTGGTACCAGATGATTCTAGGCTGTGGTTTGCCAAGGAACTGCACTCTCAGTTCAACTCTTGAGCTATCATTAACAGTTTTTGGCTTGAGAAGCTCAGTAAATTCTGGAGGGGTGAATTCCTCAGGTTGTTTTGGTACAGTCTCTTCTTCATCTGGTTTCTGATCAGTTGGCAATACAAATTCTACTTTCTTCACAGCTGTAAAACATTACAATTAATACAAATAATTCAGAATCAGTCAATTAAAGTATCTTTACCAACAAAGACAATGCAGGATATTTTAATGCCATTTGAAATGTTGCACCTCCTTATAAATTATACATTTAGCAGACTAAATTTAAGACTAAAACTTAAACTCTCACAGGCATGGCTGATTAACAAATGTCATTTGCTTTCTTGTTTGTCAATTATCTACTATGGTAATTTAAAACATTTTCAATTAAAAGACTTTTCTCTCTTGAGAGAGTATCAGCATGTATATCTAAGCAATGAGACAAAATCATATTCAACCCTATTTTAGGTCACAGAATTAATTTTGCAATCAACCATTTCATGTATAATACAATTATCTTTCAATTTATCAATTATTCATTCAGACAGATTCCAAAGATAAAAAAAAAAAAACAAAGTAAAATCACCTCATCAAATTTTGTTTTCAATAGCTCTCAAATTTCAAATTCTACTCTTATAATCTACACAATATTAACCACTTGCAAATCTAGTTGTTTGACACATAATTGGTTTTTGGTATAAGAAAAGGTGCAATATACTCTGGAAATACTATATGCATAAGAAACACCAGAAGTTATTAACAAAAACATGCTAGACAAGACAATATTTGTATCATGTGCTCTTGTTTTTTTTTTTAAATTTTGTATATAAAATAAATAGCAGATTTTTTCCTCTTTACATGTACATGCATGTAATTTTTTTTACTATGAATTTATAAATAATGAATTTATAAAGTAATGAAAAGTGATTCCCTAAAAGAAAGTTCATACGGCTCTCATGACAAAATGAAAATTGAAAAGTAAAAATTATTTTTCTCATTAAAATAAGAAATCAAAAACCCAACAGATTTCCAAACTAAATAAACTTACGTTTGATAACAAGAGTAGATTTACATGTAACCACGCCTCTCTCATTCTCTGCCACACAGATGTAATCACCAACATCCTCGGGATTAACATTATGAATAATCAGTGTTGTTTTATTGTTTTCTTCAGTCACAACTACTTTATCAGTGGGTTGAAGTTTGACCTCATTTTTATACCAGGTCACTGTTGGTTGTGGTTCACCTCTGACCTCAACTTCAAACCTGAAAATGAAAGTGTTATTGTACATATTTACAACTTGCTGTCTGATAGATATTTTATTGTTTTTTTATCAGCAGTGACCATCACTTTTGAGATTTTATAATCATCATGCTTATCTGACTGAACAAATACTTTATGTAGAAACTTATCAGTAAATGATTCTTACCTGGCTATATCTCCCTCAGGTACTCTAGTCTCAGGTATCAGAGGTCGTATGAACTCTGGTGACATTTCCATTCTAGTGACATGTCTGTCAGGGCCTACTGATATGTCCATCTCTTCTTCATCTTCTTCATCTGAAGTAGCTGTAATACAAAACCGTTCCCTAACTCAATTGATTAAACCAGTCTCCACATAAAAATATTTACCTTATTCCAATACAAAATAATCAAAATTATTTCTCCATAATATAATGATTTCCAAAACCCCTTTTTGTACCAATGTCCCAAGAAGGGTCGATCACTTATAAACATGTTTTATCCCCATAAACTAGTTAATATGCCTGTTCCAAGACAAGAAGTTTTAGTCCATGATTGTTGTTGTCTAGTGTTATATTAGTTTTTCTTTTAATGCCTAAAAGGCCTCTACTTATCTCTGTTATATATCACATTTGATTTTTACCATGGGCATTTCATAGCTACCTATAGTATGTTTTTTTTGCCCAGTGTTGAAGGCCATAACTCTTAAATAAAACAACTCTACATTTTAATATATTCCTAAATAATTTTCAAAAAACAATTTCTCAGTATACTTTTCATTTGAGAATGATGTTATCAACATTTTTACTATAGGTTGGTTTTCAGTATCATACACTTAATATAACACTTACGTTGGACAACCAAATTAGCCGTTGTTACACTTTCACCAAATGGATTTTTAGCAGCACATGCATATACACCAGTATCATCTGTGAAAACTTCTGGAATTGTAAGTTTGCATACGCCAGTGTTCTCCTCAAATTCTATTTTGAAATCAGTACTTGGAATGATCTGATGATCATCCTTGTACCATTTGACTACTGGTGTTGGAATACCAACCACTGTGCAGGTCATGGTAACTTCATTGCCATCTTGTATGATCTGTGGTTTCAGTAAATCTGAGAATTCAGGTGGCACTTCCTCAATAGCCTGTGCCTCCTCCATTGTGTCATATTCAGGAACAAGGTCTGGTTTACGTTTGGCTGGTTCCCCTATAGGTTGACCTCCAGTTTTGTCAAATTTGTCTGATAATTCCTTGTCAGGAATAACAATTTTCTTGGTAATCATTTCTGGGACAATATGTTCTTCCTCAGTTTCTGCTACATGTTTGAAGGGAGGTAACTCCTTCTTTGGTATTTTGGCTGGTTGAATTGCTTCTTCTTCAACAACTTCACCAACTTCCTCAACAGGTTGTTTCAGTATAGTTTTTTCTACTGGTTGAATTCTCTCCCTTTCAGGAGATTCTTCATGTGGTTTTTCTTTGACCAGTGGCTCAGGTTTTGGCCTGTCAATGATGGTGGGTGTGACTTCCATCTCTTCTACTTCATATGATTTGAGTTCAACAGGTGCTTGTGGCCTCTTTACAACCTTAACGATAAAAAAAAACATTAACGATCAGAACTGAATAATAAAGGACACATTTAAAAACCAAGTCATTTTTGTTGGGGCATTGTTTTTTTTTTTTATTAATTCCACAGAATTTTATATTGGCTGCATGTTTGTAGTTTGCTCTTTAGACTGCATTTAATTAACAAACTTTTAAAGAAGATTGTTCAATAATATCAACAGAAATTGGAAATAAATTAATCTGTACTGCTAAGAAATATGACAGAAGTTTTAATATTAACCGTTGTACTAGCAAAAGTCAAATTTCCTTTTACTAACAGATAAATATTACCATATAGTTTACATAAATTATTTCCAAAATAAGCATTTTACTACTAAGTTCAATCATGCTACTTGAGCACTGTGGTATTGAAAGGAAAATAAGTTCACTGGAGCACCATAGTTGCATTTAACATTACATTTTTTATGTAAATACCTGGGGTACAACCTCCTCTTCCTCGATATCCATGGTTTCCTCCTCTGTTGTATATGGCTCCACTCCTGTCTCTACAATGGTTAGGTATGACCTAGTACTTGCCTCACCCACAGGGTTCTGAGCAATACAGACATACTCTCCCTCATCCTCGGGGAAGACTTCTACGATCAGTAGATTTATCTCGCCCGTGTCAGGATTGTACGATATAACATACTCATCATCCTGGTCAATGTTTTTGCCATTGTGGAAGAATGAAATCTGTGGTGGAGGTTTACCAATGATTTTACATGGGATACTAAGTTCCTGACCATCAACAGCTTCTAATGATGGTAATGGTTTGACAAATTTGGGTGGGTGGAGAGACTCAGTTGGTGATGGCTGTAATTCTGCCATGTCAGTTGGTCTCTTTGGTATAGTTAGTTCCTCTGTTGCTGGCTCTACAATTTTTAACAAAATGTATTCAACAGAAATACTCTAACATTAAGCTTAAAATCAAAAATCAAACTAAAAACTTAAAAACTTAAAAATAAAACCTTTCCTATTATAACAGGTCCTGAATTATATATACAGATTAGAGAATTCACATGTACCGATAATTTATTAATTTGGTAAGGTCTGATAAGTGCTATTGTATATTGCTTTCTATCCAGTTATAACTCCAATGGATTTTAACAAGAGTAACATGTGATTGTTGTCACTCGTGGAGCAGAAACAACAGCAACTCTTTTCACAAAAAATCTTTTATTTTGGTCCTAGTGCTGTCTGTTTTAACTTGACTAATGATTTTTTATTGCCCTTTTGATATCTTCTCCCTTTTTTAACATTCAGTTTAGAATGTTTCCTTTTTGCACAAAGTTTTGATTAGACAGAGTTCTGCTAAAACAGGTTTCTCTGTATCATGTGTGTGTTGTACAAGAACATGAATATTTTAAATAATGAAGATTACTACCATTGTGTTTTTTTCAACTCAGTTTGATTTTCATATTCAATTTTGTGGGAAGTCTTTTAATTCTGAAGCTGGAACTTGTTAATTTCTATCATATGACATTTCTCATATAATGTGCAAAAAGGAAACATTCTAAACTGAACTATTATAATCACACATGCCCTTAATATCATCTGTAAACCTGACACCTATGTAAACTGAATGCCTGTCTAATCAGTACAAAATTTTTCAGTCCTAAAGGGGTTCAATTAAGTTCTCACTGTACTTTGATGCAAGACAATGTTACCTACCTTGTACATATAGTGTAGAGCTACATGTTGTTTCTCCTATCTCTGATACAGCTCTACATGTGTACTCTCCCGTGTCCTCTGGTCCTACCTCTATGATCAGTAAGGTAGTCTTACCCTCCTCATTCAATACTTCATAATGAGGTGATGGTACAACCTCCACACCGTTGATATACCATGTTACCAGTGGTGGAGGATAGGCACCAATCTTACATTCAAGTCTGAAAATAAAAATACAAATATTTTAGATCAACTTAATAAAATTTCAACATGGTACACAGTGATTTTCCCCCCGAATTTTTTGTAATGAGGAAACCTAAGAATTTATTGATATCTAATCTTTTTCAAACTTTACTTGTATTGAAGTTCAATTTTCATTATAATTATGTTTCACATATAACAATCATATTAAGTTTGCATCTTTTATAAGGGATTAAATTGTTAAAATATCTACAATATTGGATTTATACTAGAGAAAACAGCTGCACAGAAGACAAAGTATGTAGTCTCACCAAATTAATATGTCTGATCTATAAACCTATGCCTACCCCAGATATGTCTTTTTCTGGTTATAGTGAATACATACCAAGCTATGCCTTTCATCTGTCACACCTTAAAAAAACATTATGGTTCTATAAAGGCAACAGTAGTATACCGCTGTTCAATATGGAATACCTACCTAGTTATGCCTTTCTCTCTAACATACTAATGAACACCTACCTAGCTATGCCTTTCTCCCTTACATATATTTCTGGTTCTAGTGAACACCTACCTAGCTATGCCTTTCTCCCTTACATATATTTCTGGTTCTAGTGAACACCTACCTAGCTATGCCTTTCTCCCTTACATATATTTCTGGTTCTAGTGAACACCTACCTAGCTATGCCTTTCTCCCTTACATATATTTCTGGTTCTAGTGTACACCTACCTAGCTATGCCTTTCTCCCTTACATATATTTCTGGTTCTAGTGAACACCTACCTGGCTATGCCTTTCTCCCTTACATATATTTCTGGTTCTAGTGAACACCTACCTAGCTATGCCTCTCTCCCTAACATATATTTCTGGTTCTAGTGAACACCTACCTAGCTATGCCTCTCTCCCTTACATATATTTCTGGTTCTGGTGAACACCTACCTAGCTATGCCTCTCTCCCTAACATATATTTCTGGTTCTAGTGAATACCTACCTAGCTATGCCTCTCTCCCTAACATATATTTCTGGTTCTAATGAATACCTACCTAGCTATGCCTCTCTCCCTAACATATATTTCTGGTTCTAGTGGGGTTACAAACTCAGGTTTCACCATTTGCTGTATAACACGTTCCTCACGTGTGACAGTTGTGGTGGTCTCAGTCATTGTGTAAGTCTCTGTCTTAGGAACTATTTCAATGAATTTCTCTTTAGCTGAAAGAGAAAGAAAAATACTCAATAAAATCAATTCAACAACTAAATCATTTTTTTTTTAATTATTCATTCAATAAATGCTTTATTTAACTTGAATTAATGCTTTAAAATCTGATTCAACTCAACACATTTATTTGCACAGTAAAAAAAATTAAGAAAAATAGTGAAATAATGTACCTCCGTTATTCCCTACTATAAAGTATGACATTATAAACATTTGCTGTTGAATTTTTTGACTAAACATAAATCTTTTTTCTTGATTGGTATATTCTCAGAGGAAAAAAGAATTTACATTCATTTCTAACAGCTTTTAAGTAGAGAAGTGCTGATCCAACATGTTTACTTCATTTATTATTATTATACTTCATGTCAAAATTTTGATTGGTTAATACGAGGGAGACAATTTACTCTAATTTATTATACGGATGATTGTTATGTACAAGACGACATAGTTTATTACTTTGAATTTGAAATTTAATAGACAGTTATAACAGAACATTCAGTATAATAAATTAAATAACACATATCTGTGAGGGTGATAGAGCAGATTGTTATCCCTCGAAAAGACATTGTCAACCTTGGCTTCGCCTCAGTTGACAATGTTTTCTCGGGGAAACAATCTGCTCTATCACCCTCTCAGTTATGTGCTATTTATATATTGTTCCATGTGATGATTTCAATCATATTTACCTCATAGCCTTAGAAAAAACCATAATGTACTTACGAGCCATGGTAAGAGTTGTTTTACAGGTAACAGATCCAACTTCGTTCTCCACGTTCAGCTGGTAATCACCCTCATCCTCCTTCTGGGCATTGATTATTATAAGAATGACTGTGTCTTTTTCCCGTACTATGTTACGTCTTGGTGTTGGTACAATAGGTTGTCCATTGATATAGAAGGTACACCTTGGTGGTGGGTAGGCCTTGATGGTGGCTTCCAATCTGAAATTGACAAATATTACTGTATTTTTCTAAAAGTTTTGAATTCAAAACTATTATTTATTTTTAGCAAGGATTGTTCAGAGTTACTTTAATCCATAATTATGAAAAATTTTATCGCTAAAGATTTTAACTCACTCTAAATACTAACCACCTAAACAGTCATTAACTTTGGGTTTTGGTTAACACATATTTTATGTAAAAGTTCAGAAACTGTTTTGTTTTCTTCAAAAGATGCATAATAAACAGCTGCGCCATGAGCGCATGATACGCCCGTTGTCTTGTGTGTGAATTTTTATGCAATAAGCATAAATAGTTTCTGACATACGGCGTGACATGCGAAAACCCCCTTTTTTTTTTAACAAAAAACTCAATATCTCTAAATAAAATTTTGAATCAAAACCAAAAAGTATACAGATCTTTAGATTAATATAACTAAAAAGTGTGTAAAATTTTAAGCAATAATCATAAATCGTTTTTGAGATACGGCGCGACATGTGAAAACCCCCCTTTTAAAAAAAAAAAATCAATATCTCAAAAATACAATTTTGAATCAAAACCAAAAAGTATACAGATTTTAAGATTAATATAACTAAGAAGTGTGTAAAGTTTTAAGCAATAATCATAAACTGTTTTTGAGATACGGCGCGACATGTGAAAAACCCCTCCCCCTTTTTTAACAAAATACTCAATATCTCTAAAATAAAATTTTGAATCATCACCAAAAAGTATACAGATCTTAAGATTAATATAACTAAGAAGTGTGTAAAGTTTTAAGCAATAATCATAAATTATTTTTGAGATACGGCGCGACATGTGAAAAAAAACACACACCTGTTTTAGTAGCTAAGTCCTGTAACTCAAAAAGTTTTAATCTTATTTTCACCAAAAAGTATACAGATCGTTTGACCATCATAAGAAACAACTATTTTAAGTTTCATGAAATTTGGATAAGTCATTCTCAAGTTACGGTGCGACATGTTTTGCGGACAGACGGACTGACACCGGACATTTGTATACCATAATACGTCCTGTCAAAAATTGACGGGCGTATAAAAACTTTAAAATTTTGAAACAAAACCTTGAACTTATGTGATGACAACATTTAACTCCTAAAAAACTTTAAAATACACATTGCTGAAAGGAAAAAAATGTCTTTGAAAATCATTGCAGAAGGTTTTGTACTATCAAAGTAGATAACTATTTTAATTCCTTAGCTCAGTATTGAAATTGTCAAGAAAAATGACTTTCAACAGATCTTAGAAATATTAAGAACATACTTGGCTGTTTCTCCTGGTTGGAACTCTGTAACTGGAGAAAGAGCTTTGACAAAGTCTGGTGGTGTTGTCTTGATTGTGGTAATGTATTTCTCCTCCAGAAGTCTGGCTTCTTCAGTGTCTGTAATTATACAGTATGTGCAATCAGTATATTCATAACCTTTAAACCATATAACATGGCATAATTATAACTTATCATACTAATACCTGCAACTTTCATCACAAAAAATCTTATGATTAAAATTAATTGTTATATATACTAGAATGTTCATGAAATGGAAACATTTTTCTCTTTAATATTTTGTGAAAAAAGTAGCAGCTACAGAAAATCGTTTGGTCTTTAACATGATGTTGGTCCATTCTAGTAAAGCTTCTCCAAATCATAATTTATTGTTCAAAAGGACAAATGGATCAGACACAGTTCTTCAACTTAGTAATGTTTTCCCCAGATCTAATGGTTCTAAGGATTCCTGATGAAGCAGTGAGGTGAGAGTTTTTTACTCAATGTTGAGGTCTCACTGTGACTTTGAGATGAAGAATAGCAATAAAAGCGCTGTTCCTTTGCTTTTTTTGTTTTTTTTGTTGTGCATTTACTGATTTTGTGTCATGGATGGATACCTCATATCCTTTGTTTTTCTATTCAATTCAGTAAAGTACTTTAAATACATTCAATGTTAAATATTGTATAATGACTATTTTTCTTAAATCTATATATAAGACGGTAGCTGAGTGCTCTAAGTAGTCAAGCTACTGTATCACTAGCCTGTCAACACTGAGGTTACAAGTTCAAATCCTGCACATGGCAGGTACGATCGACTCCAATCTCAATGGATTAAGATTGTCAGTTCTCCCATCAAAGGTTGGTGGTTCTCTCCGGCTTCCTCCACCAATAAAAACTGACCGCCACAAAATAGTACACTAGTGCTGAAAGTGGCTTTAATCACCAATCAATCTTTCATATAATGTTTTATCAATTTTTTACTTTGTCTCCAAATAACTGTTTTCTGATTTACTTTTGATGTTTCTTAGGTATATAATAAATAATCTGAAGTGACAATTATCAAAAACAGTAATAATATTTATCATCTTATACAATTTATCAGCCTTGTTTTAAGCGATTTCATTTTTTTTCCTACATCATTCAGTTTCACTATGTATGGTGTATTGGAGGCAACATAACTCACCTTAAACGCATTCAAGTTAGAATTGAGCAATTCTTCTCACATGCAGCATTCACTGAAGAGGAAATTTCAATCACACGACACAATCCATGCAAATCTGCACCGTTGGCTAACTAAATCTTTTTACATGGCATGATTGTTAGTGAAAACACAAAGAAAACACTACTTGTTAGTAAAATATATATATTAGGTAAAATAATTCATTCTTGTTTACTGTAAACTGCTGACAAATATGACAAAAGATCTATATTCCAAATACAACTAATAAATAATTCAAATTATAAAGCAATAAATGACAGATGAAACAAAAAGTTAAAATTCTTCAAACTTTGAAAGTTCTATTGAAAATTTGTAGATATTTTTGTCAGCAGTTTCCTTTGGATAAAATTGTCTGTAAGGCTGAAAGGAAAGCAATTTGTAAATCATAACCTTCTAAATTTAAATAACCTGGAAGAAGATGCCATTCCTTTTAAATCCAATAAAACGGGATCAATTTTATAAGAGCAGTCATTCTCATCGCCCATATTACAAACTCAACTCTAAAACAGATTGAATTCTCTTTATAATAATTGTGTTTTTATCATTCTTATGTGTAGTGGATTTAAAAGCAATGACACTTCTGCATTTCATGCTACTCATTCAATTTAATAGGAAAAATATTTTTTCCTGAATTCAATGTGTTTTGCTTCAAGGATTGAAACTGTATATTTTAAACCATTCAAACTCATTCAGTGTTCAATTCTTTGAAATTAAATGAGAGTGCCTGGTTAAATATTGCTAAGTTAATGACAGCCATGCATTAATTCTTATTACAATTCTTTGAGGTATTTGACAGACAGAACACAATCAGGAGAACATCCCAGCATGCCACTGTATCACTGCATCTGTAATAGACTGATCATCAAACATGCTCACATTCTGTTAAAATAATGGATGTTCAATTTAATTTTCAGAGAGCCAAATTAACTGACACTTGAACTCTTTTAATCTTAATATGATTCATAAAAAAATTGTTAACTTAAGAACTGGTCAAATTCATGCCATTCAAGTTAGTTTGGACAAAGAAATCATGCAATATTTTCGATCAAAGTTGCTTTTATTTACCATTTATAAAAAGTAGTTTTCTTTAATCATTACTCTGTAAAATATACTTCTACCCCTTTTATTTTTGTAGAGTTACTTCCCTTGTTAAATCTCCACTTACCTTGTACATAGAGCTCTGCAGAACATTCTGTTGTTCCTATAGCATTCTTCAAACGACATGTGATCAGTCCACTGTCCTCTGGGAAAGACTCTTTGATAGTTAATACTGTACTGTTAGGGTTTCTCTCAATCTGTAACAAGTTTCAAAGATAACATGATAGACCCTGTATTCTATATATGAAACTGACAAACATTTATTCTTGTAAAAAATATTCTACATCACCAATACAAAATTGTATATGGTTACCTTTAAGTTATTCATAACTTTTTAAAAGAGGCAGGAGAATAAGACACAGACCTTGTTAATAAAACATGACAAGTATAACACACTGACCTTGTAAATAAATCATGACAAGTATAACACAGTGACCTTGTAAATAAATCATGACAAGTATAACACAGTGACCTTGTAAATAAATCATGACAAGTATAACACACTGACCTTGTAAATAAATCATGACAAGTATAACACACTGACCTTGTAAATAAAACATGACAAGTATAACACACTGACCTTGTAAATAAATCATGACAAGTATAGCACAATAACCTTGTAAATAAAGCACGACAAGTATAGCACACTGACCTTGTAATTTCTGGAATCCTGAATAACCTGTAGACCATTCCTCAGCCATTTGATCTCTGGCTGTGGTTGTCCAGAGAACTGACATTCAAACTTAGCACCACTTCCTTCCACCACTAGTGTGTTGGTGATTGGTTTAGTAATGCTTGGTGGTTGTAGTTTCTGGGCAGTAGTTGGTTGTGGCTGCTCTGTCTCACTCTCCAATCCTAAAAACACAATATCTTGTATTTTCCATTGATTTAAATTATGCATTTCTACTTAAATCTTGGAATGTTTATTTCTTATGTCATTAAGAAATTAGAATAGTGACAGAAATATCAACCAACTAGTTCCATATATAGTTATTATGATTTATAAAACTTCAGCTAAGAATTATTGTATTCTAAACTTGTTACCTATACAAGTTATATTTCACTTGCAACTTTTCTTTTCTTTAAAAGGAGACTGATTAATTCCAATTTCCAATCCAATATTATAAACCAAATAAAATGAACAAAATTGTACTTTTATACAGATTTTCAGCATGTAAATACTGACTTATTGAACAGATTTCTAGACATGTCAAAATAATTCTGGTCAATTAAATTTGATAAAAGATCATACCATGAACTTTGAGGAAGGCTGATGAGGTTACTTCCCCTGCTTTGTTCCTAGCAACACATCTGTATGTTCCTGTGTCTTCAGGGAAAGCTTCCAGTATGTTAAGGCTGTGTGTCCCTTCTGGTGTTGTTTCCATCTGGAAATACTTGGATGGCTTCACAATCTGGTTGTTACGGTACCATGTCACCACTGGAACTATAATCCCAAACAAAAACCAATTTTAGGATTTTATTAAGACAGAAATTGGGAAAAATTAGTTTTGGAGATATATTTGTAGTAAATACTCATTGGAGATCATATGGGATGTATAAGGAATCTTTTTTGGTTGTCAACTATCATTAAGTTGGTATCTCATTAAAGTTTTTGCTAACATTCAAACTTTCTTAAAAGTAGATTAGTAATATAATGTTTCACACATGTACTTTTTCCGTAAAGGATTCCTACAGTATGATTCTTATTATTAAGATATAATCAAAATTGCATGAAAAAGTTTAAATTTTTGAAATCAAATTAACAATTTTTACAAAAAAATCATTACATGGTTTTTACAAAATATATGTATACAGAAACATGCATGATATTTAAGTACCTGGGTAGCCTGATATCTTTGCAACAAAAGTGGCAGGTTCTCCCTCATCAACTACATTATTCTTTGGACCTTCTACAACAGTAGGGGCCTTTACTGGTTCTATGGGCTTTGGTGCCTCTAATGTTTCTGGTGGTCCAACTGGCACTGTAGAATTTTTTATAAAATGTACTGAGTTAAAAAAAGTCCTAATAATTTTGTTATCAATTTATAAAGAAAACTTGAAAGATTTGATAATAACAGTACCAGAAAGAAAAAGTTCTCTCTATGTATTTTAGCATCCCAAAACTATCTATAAATGGAAATCTACAATCACTTTCACACTATCATATAATTGTAAACTAATTACAAATATATAAATGGTCTTGAATATGCCAAACTCACATTTTCTCTTATATAAATTCAAAAAACAAAATTAGAAATCAGTTAACAACTTACATTCTACATTAAGTCTAGCTGTACATGTAGCCTTGCCAACTGGGTTCAAGGCCACACAACTGTATTGTCCAGCATCTTCAGGTTTAACCTCATAAATCAGGAAGGTGTTATTCTCATCTTCCTCAATAAACTTGGTTCGAGGACTGTCTGGGATTGAATGGCCATCCTAGAACATATTTCAATGTTTATGAATCATTTCAATAGAGCTACAGTGACATTCACATTTTAACTAGATACTTCTATTGATAATGGTTCAAATAAAAATTACAAGCCAAACTGATTTACCAATTCAGATTACAAGCATAAGAATGACTATTTAGAGTGCAATTTTTGTTTTCAAGATTATGTCAATATGAAAATTATATAAGAGGTAAAATCAGTGTGACAAGAAATCAAATGGCAGACTTTTTCTGATGAATGAAAACTACAAAATATCTTTTTTATTCCAAATGCTTAAAATAAAATTGCTTATTCATTTAAAGATCTACAGAGATGTTTTATAATTGACAAACCTTTTGCCACTGAACAGTTGGTTTAGGACGTCCAGAAACTTGACAATCAAATGTGGCTGGTTCTCCCTCTAGTGAATTAGTATCTCTGATCAGACTTCTGAACTCTGGGGGCTGGTCTCTTTCTGGTTCCTCTTCTTCTACAATTAAGACATTTATCTTCAGTATATAAAATATTTTAATTACACATTATGGTACAATTTTAAAATTTACATTTCCAAATCCAACATACACAATGAGAAATCATTATTCTATGAATTTCCTATATTAACTTAGAATAGGATATAAAAAGGTACTTTTAAGGTACTTTAAACTAATTTTATATTTTTTTTGGTTATTACCACACCGGTATTATACAGTATTGTTTGTATAACTGAATTATGATTGTATCTTTGTCATTGCCCCCTGAGGGACCTAATAATTAGTACAGATTTTTAACAAACTTTAAAGTCCAAGCAAGCTAACTTTAACAGATCCAAAAATTTGATCAATGGAACAAACATAAAATTCTCGACATGTGAAGTACATTGAAAATTAACTGAAAAAAAAAACCAATTTGTTAAAAACTATTTTAGCTAAAGTCATTAAAATATAACTTTGAATGTCATTATTTATGAAACCTGTGAATACAACTTCACTATGACAAATGTGATCAACATTCTATTGTACCTACTTTAAACTTTGACCTTTGTTCTTACCTATGACGGTGAGTTTAGCTTTACATTGTACTGTGCCGTACATGTTGTAAGCTTTGACAGTAAACATTCCTGTATCTTCTGGGAATACTTCAGGAATACTGAGTGTGCTCACGGTCTCTGTTGTGTTTATCTGGAAGTCATGTGATGGTTGGATCTCAAAGTTATCCCGATACCATGATATGATTGGTGGTGGGAAACCTTTATAGTGGACCTCCAACCTGTAAATTGTTCAAACAAAATCTGAACTAAACTGTTTTAAATTTTTTTTTGCTTTAATATTTTGAGAACAAACTTATTTTCGAAATAATTTAACTATATGGCTATATAAAAATCTATATTATCTTATTTTTCCTAGTTACACAAGTAAAAGAAAATTCAGATAGAAATGTAAAATAAAACTTACGTGACAGGTTTTCCTTCCGTTATTCTGGAAGGTCTGAGTGGCTTGGTAAAGACAGGAGGTTCTCGTCTTTCCAATGTAATAAATGTCTCCGACATCTTGGACTCCTCTGGTTGCTGTTCTGGCATGACAGGAATAATTTTAGCTCTCTGAATGTCAATCTGTATTTCTGGACGATCTTGTCTGACAGCTCTGGCTGCTGGTATTTCTTGTGGAAGCTGTCTGTACTGACTAGAAATGCTGACATATTCGGTTTTTCTTATTTCTTTGTCATGTTTCATTTTGACTCTAGTTTCTGCAGCTAAAACCAAACATATAAAATCATTAACATTTACTGTTGTATCATTTGTAACGATTTTTTTCAAACAACATAAAAAGCACAATTAAACAATAAAAAGTTTATACATTAGAACAGATATTCTTAACATTGAAATGAAACATGTAAAATAGGTAACTTATAAATGTAATCTTTGTATGAAATTTTCACTATTTTAAGTATCATTTTTTAAGTAATCAATATAATCTATCTATAACTGTATATCTTAACATAATTACCTCTTTCAATTTGCTTAAGTTGGAATTCAGTAGCTCTTGGTTTTTCAAATGCCTTTTGCAATTCAGGTGTTCTCAGTTCAATCTTGTGTCTTCTGTCTAATTCAATTTCAAGCTCTCCTAAATAAATGTACATATATTACATGATATAATCATGATTCTTATTACAGTAAAAGTAAATTTTGGATTACAATAGAAAATATTAATCCTTTTTGCTACAAGTGCAAAAGTTTATAGTATACATTTTAAAATTATATATTGAATAGTACAAAAGAAAATTTACTACATACATTTTATTTTAATATGTTATTATAAAAGATATTTTTATCATATTAAACTGTAAAACTAATATTCTAAGTATTTGATAACCATCATATATCCTACCTTTAGGAGCTTGTCTGAGTTTTGACCTCCAATCATCCTTGGGTACCACAGACAAGGTTGTACTAGCCTCGGCTTCACCTTCAGAATTCTTTGTGACAACACGGACTTGTCCTGCTTCGTATTCCCGAACTTTTAGAATTGTCATGTAGTGCATCATACCATCGTATCGTACTTGGAATCTTGATCCCTGTTAATAAACAGAAGTATATGCAAATATAATTTTTACTTTTAGAATATTAGCAAGCAATTTCATGACACAATGTTAGTGCATTAAAAAGAAACAGTTCTCATTACCAAATGCTTTTTTATAGTTTGAGGAATATAGACATGAACTAACAAGTTATCAAAAAATAACTAAAGCAGTGACAAGCTGGTGGACATAAAGTGTTGTTTGTAGGGTTGTGTTTAAGTATCATTGTAAATCTCTCATTAATACATGCTTGAATTATTGATTTTCAAAAAATGTGAAGATAAAAAGGTTTTGCTGCAGATATTTTTCTTAACCTACAGCCAGACATCTTTAATTTATGACACTCCAAATTAATGACAACTGAACACTTGTAAAATATTGTTTCTTAATTCATTACAGGTCTATAGAAAACTTGTACTTGATTTCCATAATAATCAATGTGACAAATACAATTTACATTTTCTTGTAGGACATCTGAAGTGTGTTTCCACATTGTTATACATGTACATAAATTTTGACCCTAAACCTGTCATATTCTTTCAACCTTCAAATTCTAAATTAGAATACTCACAGCCATGATCTGAGTTTCGTTGACCCACCATGTGACACGAGGTCGTGGGTGGCCACTAACTTTGACCATGAATTTAGCTGGTTCACCCTCAGCGACTTCTATGGGTTCTGGTTTGAGATCTATAGATGGTGGGTGTCGTTTCTTCTTTGGTTCAGTCAATTCTTGTTCATCTAGTATCATAGGACTGTAGGGAAATAAAGATAAATTTCAATGTTTACATCTAGTATCATAGGACTGTAGGGAAATAAAGATAAATTTCAATGTTTACATTATAATCAAGTTTTATCACAGAACAAGTGCTGTCATTTCTCGTTCTTATCTTTCTATTTAAAAAAAAATTAAACAAAACTGCACAAATGGATTGTAAAAACAATTTTAGATTTTACTCCTAAGAAGGTTTTCATCATACGAGTTACCTTTGATAAACTGTCTGTTATTACGTTACATCAAGTCAACATTACATACATTTTTTAGCATTAAAACAACCTGCTTTTTAAACTATTTTACAACAGCTAACCATAATTGATCATATTAAATACTTACGTTCTCCAGTGTTCCTCCATTTCCTGTAGTTTGATAGCGCCTTCTCCTGGCAACTGTGTGTCAGAAATAACTGCTCTCTTGCCTATAAAGATATATAACATTGTAAGAACTTTATCCAGGATGGTAATGGTTATCAGAGATTTACAATGTACAGAAGGAAGTTTGAAATTTCCCTTTAAAGAAATGTTCAGTTCATCAATTGTTTGCCAGACAGTGCCATACAATGTCAACAATTCTAGTGAATAACAAACCAGGAGTTCATCATTAGTTTACCATTCACTACAAAAATATCAGGAATAAAGTAAACTGGATAATTATACTAATTTGTAGTGAACACTTACACTAGGTGCCAGACAACTACTATAGCAGGTGCTTAATCTAGCCTTTTTAACTCTTAATCTTACTTACCTTTAACCTTGACAACACATGACACTTCGTCTTCACCATATTGGTTTGTAGCTTTACATGTGTAAGTTCCAGAATCTTCTGGGAAAACGTATTTGATGTCCAAGACAACAAATCCAAAGTCATACAATGGTTTAAATCTGTGACCTGTAAAGCAATTATATACATCATTTAGGTTTTTTTTCTTATTTCTGTTTTCCTGCTCACAGAAGAGCATTGAAATTGAATAAATATGAAGCAATATTACTTTCAAGTGCAATCAATGCTGCATACTTTATTGTTCTTTATTAAATTCAATGAGACCAGTCTAAACTAAACCTGTATATTTTTCTTTCTCTAATTGTTTGACTTTGGGTTGCTATCTCAGTGACATAAACTCCACATCTACTTTATTCAAATGTGCATAAACATAAGATCTCTCAAAACTGAAATCATGTATCAGGACATATGACGAAAATTTTCCAGTAATTTTAACTTTTTCAGACTAAACATTTGTAATAGATCTAAATAAAATGATCAGTCCTATATATGTTTGGTTGAGTAGGATTCACTGTGAAAGTATTATATCTGGACCATGTACTGTTTGTTGTTATAATTTGAACATCTATTTTTTAGCATGAGACTGGTGTTGGTGGCCAGTCACACATTTGGTCTGTTGTATTGTCCAGTCACACATTTGGTCTGTTGTATTGTCCAGTCACACATTTGGTCTGTTGTATTGTCCAGTCACACATTTGGTCTGTTGTATTGTCCAGTCACACATTTGGTCTGTTGTATTGTCCAGGAATTTTGGAGATTGTGTTATTCATTTTATGTAAAATATAATACAATATATATAAAGGAGTATCCTTTCAAACAATTTCACCCCAGTTTACAATAAACCTACCATGATGAAGTGGTTCTCCATCTTTATACCATTCTACTTTCATCAAAGGAGCACCATAAGGTGCTAATTTGCATTCAAAGTGGGCTTTGTCATTCTCCTTTAGGTTTGTCAGGTCTTTGAGAGGCGTCTTAAACTTTGGTGCTTGTTGTTTATCTTTGTTGTAAATGTCTTCCTCAGCTGGTGTCTCACCTTCACGGCGAATGAATTCACGTACAGCGCTTTCTCTGTCCAGATCCCTGTAACATAAAGGAAAGTTATCAATACATTAAGTGTTTATACTCAGACAAAATCTGTTTGTATAAGTCTGTTTTACTGTTTCTTTCCAACGCAAATATTTGTTTTCCCAATACTTTTTGATTTTCAATAAAAAACAAAGCTAAAATATAAACTTTTTTCTGGAGGAAAGGCTAGACTATATTGGATAAATTATAATGTGGCCACTTAAAAGTTTGGAACGGACACTTATATTTAAATATACAAAACTTCCATAATCTAGAGTAAAGATGGTAAAACCTAATTTCAAAATTCCAATTTTTTTCTGCAAGTACATAAACTGCAATATATAACATGCACTACCACAGCATTCAAACAAGTCAACAAAACTTTTCAGAGAAAGTGTTGAGACAAATTTTGAACAGGGTTAAATCATTGTTGTATCATCAAGATGAATAAGAATAGATGGGACTTGTTTTAAATTTTTGTACAAAGGTGGTGAAAAAAGGCATTTACTCTGGTCAAACTATAAGTTATTTCAAGAATGTGAAATAAAATTAATAAAAAATAAAGACAGTATTTTACTATCCTTATGGTAATTATTACAAATATGATTTTTTCCCCTAAACAATTGTTTTAATTTTCAGAGCATAACAACAAACAGAGGATGGACATCATTTCAAATAAGAAAATAGAAAACTGAGGGGTCAGTGAAGGTACCCAGAAGTATGCAATTGGGATCACAAAACATTTTGGGGGAAGAAGTACCATACTATGTAAGATGTAAAACCAAATTATAGATACTCCTCAGGACAAGTCAAATGACAGGAAATGGTCAAATAAATACCACACTAATGGAACACCGATTATGGTAATACATCATAGTTGTCAAAACAGGTCAGATGCATGTAATAGACAAACAATATCAGGAAAATCAGGGTGATATGTCAAGACAGATCATATAGAGGAAATGATCTAATTTAAATCAGAGCAATGTATAGTGACTTTGGTAATTAGACAGATCAGAAGGAGGGAATGGTTTAATTAACATCAGACCAATGCATACTGACTTCAGTAAAAGAACAAGATAGAGTCAGAAAGAGGGAAAATCACGACTATCAGACCTGATTTCAATTTTTTTCATGACAGGTGTTCTTATCCTCAGCGATCTTCTGCATAATTAAAAAAAAAATACACATATAAAATCATTCTTTTATTCATGCAATGTTAATTGTAAGCTAACAGTAAGTAAAAAAAAAACATGTCAATATAAAAGTTTTTGCAAAAGTAGTAATAATAGAGCCTACATACTATCCATAATCATAATTTTTTTTTTAATTCAGATTTGCACTATTCTATAAAACTGAAATATCATTCTTTTTAACATTTCAAATATTATTAAAAATAAATAATTAATGAGTAAAATAAACTTTTGGAAGAGAGTCAAGGTAATTCATCTTTATACAGATATATCAGGTAAGATCCCTGCAATAAAAAAACAACTAATTGAGATTAAAAAAAACAAAAACAAAACACAAACACAAACATGCACAAATTGGGTAGCAAAAGTGCAAATAAATAAGATCATAACAATATCAGAATCAAATTTACATATAAATCAACAGAATCCACATACAAAGTTTCACTCCTGGAAGCCATTTCATCAAGTCAAATTATTTCAAATACATGAATCATTGTTTTCATCAACCAATATAAACTGACTGTGAACAAAAAACTAATATGATACTTATCAAGATCGAAACAAACTCTGACATATCAAAACATTTTATAATCAGTCAGAGTCCATCTTGAAATGCATCATACTTTGTCTGTGGATAAATTGGTCTGCTAGTGCAGTATCAATTACACAGTCAGTTTAGCATTCTACAAACAGGAAAGCAGCTCAACACTCAATATAAGCAGGAAACCAGCCTAAAACTTAGCAGCAGAGAATCAGCATCACTCATTTCTAACCTCAGGTAGGGTTTCTGTTCAAGTTTTATTACAGCTTCTTGGACAGTATCTGTTGTAGGTGTCCATGGTGATGAAAACACAGCTTCCAAAAACATGAAATCTTCATCTTGAGGATAAGGGCAGATAACTTTTTCTGTGTCTAAATCTGACAAAGTCAGTTTCAGTTCTTCAACTGGTATTACAAGTTTAGGTGGAACTATAGGAAATTTCTCAAGAACAGTTCTAGTTGATTCTTCAGTTTCATATACTCCAATGCCACCTGGTTTTTCAGCAGACATTACTCGTGTTTCAGTGTCAGCAGATTTCCCTGGCTTTGGTGGTACAAGTGGTATTGTTAACTTTTTCTCTGCCAGAACCATCCCTTTCTGGAGAGGTCCTGGAAACAGCTGAATTTTCTTTTCAGTCACTTCTCTTTTTTCTTCTGGGTATTTTCCCTTGCCTTTAACAGTAACAGATGTTTTATAGGTTTCATCTTTTGGTTTTGTTTGTTTTCCCATGGCTGACACTGTCACAGTCTTATCCATCTCTGTATCCCTGATGACCCATGGAGGATATTCATCCTCTGGTTTACCTTGGACTTGAGGAACGGTTGTTACAGAGGTCTGAAACTTTTTCTCAATCGGTTTCCAAACTTTCTTTTCAGAAGTAACAGATGTCACTTTATCAACCTCTGTATCCCTGACTACCCATGGTGGATATTCCTCTTCAGGTAGGTCTTCAGTCTGAGGAACCGTTGTTACAGAGGTCTGAAACTTTTTCTCTACTGGTTTCCAAACTTTCTTTTCGGCAGTGACAGATATCACTTTATCAACCTCTTTATCTCTGACTACCCATGGTGGATATTCCTGTTCAGGTTTACCCTGCTCTTCCGTCTGAGGAACAGTTGTTACAGATGTCTGAAACTTCTTCTCCATTGGTTTCCAAACTTTCTTTTCTGCAGTGACAGATGTCATTTTATCAACCTCTGTATCCCTGACTACCCATGGTGGATATTGCTCTTCAGGTTTTTGCTGGGTTTCAGTCTGAGGAATAGTTGTTACAGAGGTCTGAAACTTTTTCTCGATCGGTTTCCAAACTTTCTTTTCTGCAGTAATAGTTGTTGTTTTGTCAATCTCTGTATCTTTCATCCATGGTGGATACTGAACTTTTGGTTTCATTTTTACCTCTGGTTTTTTACTGAGAGAGGTCTTGTACTGTTCCTCTAGTGACAAAGGAACTCTTTCTTCAGTGACAGTTTTGTCAACTTTTGTATCTTTAACCCATGGGGGATAAGTAAGTCCAGGTTGGCTGATTGTTTCATCGGGCTTTCTTTCAACTGTGACTGATGTTTCGTACAATTGATCTGATGGCTGTGGTTCTTTCCTCCCTTCTGCCATAACTGTAGTGGTTTGTTTAATTTGAGTTTCCTTCACCCATGGTGGGAAATCTATGTGAGGTTTTTTCTTCAATTCAACTGGTTTCTTTTGCATAATGACTGATGATTCATATTTTTTGTCATCTGTTTTCTTGACCCATGGTGGGTAAGTAAGTCCAGGTTGGCTGATTGTTTCATTGGGCTTTGTTTTAACTGTGACTGATGTTTCGTACAATTGATCTGATGGCTGTGGTTCTTTCCTCCCTTCTGCCATAACTGTAGTGGTTTGTTTAATTTGAGTTTCCTTCACCCATGGGGGGAAATCTATATGAGGTTTTTTCTTCAATTCAACTGGTTTCTTTTGCAAAGTGACTGATGATTCATATGTTTTGTCTTCAGTTTCCTTTACCCATGGTGGGTAGGTAACTGCAGGTTGGCTGATTGTTTCATTGGGCTTTGTTTCAACTGTGACTGATGTTTCGTACAATTGATCTGATGGCTGTGGTTCTTTCCTCCCTTCTGCCATAACTGTAGTGGTTTGTTTAATTTGAGTTTCCTTCACCCATGGGGGGAAATCTATATGAGTTTTTTCCTTCAATTCAACTGGTTTCTTTGGCACTGTGACTGATGATTCGTACAACTGATCAGATGGTTTTGGTCCTTTCTTACCTTCTTCAAAAAGAGTAGTAGTTTGTTTAATTTGAGTTTCCTTTACCCATGGGGGGAAATCTATGTGAGGTTTTTCCTTCAATTCAACTGGTTTCTTTGGCACTTTGACTGATGATTCATATGTTTTGTCTTCAGTTTCTTTGACCCATGGGGGTAAATTTACACCAGGCTTTTTCTTTGTTTGCACTGGTTTCTTGGCCACTGTGACTGAAGTTTCATAATTTTTGTCTGAAGGTTTTGGTACTTTTCTTTCCCCTGTGATTGTGGTAGTTTGTTCAACAGTAGTATCCTTAATCCATGGTAGATAAGTACTAGAATCAACTTCATCAGGGCATTTTGGGATTACCATGGTAGCTTCATATGTCTTATCAAAAGGTTTAGGACCTTGCCTTTCACCAGTGATCTGAACGGTTTTCTCAACCCTAGAATCCTTTACCCAGGGAAGTACAGTCCCTTCCTCTGGTTGTCTTCCTTGGGCATCTAATGATACAGTGTATGTTTTGTCAAAAGGTTTTGGTCCTATTCTCTTACTAGTTACAACTGTCCTTTTCCCAACAGTAGTATCAGTCACAGCCCATGGTAGAGATGTGTCTTTTCCTTCATCTTCTGATTTTGTTACTGATATAGATGTTTGATATGTTTTGTCTGTTATTTCTGGGGCTTTATGCTTGCCAGTAACTGTCACTGATTGGTCAAGTTTTGTCTCCGTAGAAACCATCCAAGGGGGATAAGTCTCTTGGCTACAATATCAGTAAGATAGTATAAGAAACAATATTGAATACTACAAAATAAAATTACTGTCATTATTTACCCTTTTTAATTCTTTAGATTGTAAATTTAAAGTTGAAATATATAAATTATATACTTTTCAACTTATGTATTTTCATATCTGTTGACATAAAATCTATATCAATCTTATAATATTTCTTGACAGTGATTTTATTTTTTTCTAAATTTGTTATTTTTCTGGTGCTTTATAAATTTAAGTACAGATTCCATCTAATCTACTAGTTAAAGAAAGAACATGCAAGGCTTTACTAGAAGTTAAAGTTTTACAGTGAAATGGTAACTAAATCTAATGACTCAATAAAATGTAAAAAAAAACATGCTAAAGAAATATTAAATAAAAAACAAAATGCATAAATTTAAAATAAAATTTAAAAAATTTTTTTTTTTTGGAAAACGATGTAAAATCATAGATTGGGAATAAACTTTTGACATAAAGGGGAATAACTCAGACCTTGGAATCTGCTCTTTGGGTGGTGAAGGCTTCTTGGCTTTCTTTTTCTCCCTCGGAGACAATGGTTTGTTATACCTATATTGTAAGTCAAAACGTTAAGTACTGCTCTACATATATATATATTTCTTGATTAAATCAGAATGAAAGGAGTGAAATAAAGTATTTTCTATATAAAATTTCTACTTCAAATATCACATGCATTAACTATTTCATCTGTTCACTATATAAATTAAAATTGTTGTATGTTAATTATCTAGTGTCTAAAAAAATCAATCCAAAAACTCTGAGACATTAATACTTTTTCCGCATAGTTTGTTAACTTATTTCTTTTTTTGAAAGAGGGAATTTCCATAAAAAGAAGGAAATTAAATTCCATAAAATGTGAGATAATTCACCTGGTTTGTTCATATTTTGTCTGTAATGAGAAGGGAATCTCTGGCTGATATGGTGGCTGTAAGTCATCATTTCTGAAAATTTCATTAAGTAATTTTTTGTAGAAACAGCAAAAATCTTTACATTTTCTTGTAATTTGAACCCTATCCTTTCAGACAAAATGTATTTGTAAAATAAACAGGTATAACTCAAATTACTGATTTTTCAAACAACATACAGTTTAATGAAACAGATACAGATTTATGCATTATGAATCCAAGTCATACTATAGTATTTAGTTAAGTTTATAGTGTTCAAAACTTGTAAGTGTAATCTTCCTGCTATTCATGCTAAAAAGTATTTTTTGTAACATTAACATGATTAAGTTCTATTACAAGAAAGACCCTATTCAACATGCTGTTCAACATGTCACACCCCTACCTGTCAGACTCATCCTCAGTAGTGTGAACCAGTCTTAGGGTACCAGCTTCAGTATCAGAGACATAATGTATCTCTTGGACTGGTCCTCTTTCCTGGATCTCATAATGACTACAAAGCATTATGGGATATTGAAATTATTCCTGTTACATTAGCACATTTCTTAAAATCCAAAATCATATTCTTTTTCAACACAAAGCTCTTTTCTATCAATTGTCTTTAATCCATTTCAAATAGAATGACAACAATTACTTTCTTAAAACATTTCTAACCTCAAATAGAGTAAAGAACTGATTACAACTTTTATAAAATCATCATTCTAGCAATAAGATTTGCAGGATTCATTGGATAAGTGAGAAAGAAGTCCTGAGAATAGAAAGAAAATGAAAAAAAATCTTTCCTTTATCAATGACAATTAATCAATATAAACTATTACTTGTTTAGCTCAACACTGAATATTTGATGTACACTATTCATAAATTAACCAAAAAAGCATTGTTTTTCCAACGTTTATCAGATCTAGGAGCACAAAACAAATCTAAGACATGACATTCTCAATACATCTTAGGTCTAAATGTATATCATGGCATTCCAAGTCCTTAGTTCAGATTAAAGTATTTGTCTAACATGCTTGTTAGTCAAAAGTAATGGTGGGTTCATCAATTTACATAACATTACTATTAAATTCAGTTTGAAAAGCAAACAAGGTTTAAATCTATGCAACATACCTGAAATCAAACCAAACGTTATCATTTATATTTCAACCAATGATCATGCCAGGTCAAATAGTGGGGAGGGACATCAAACCTCAAATTACAGTAAGACCTATGTGCTTACATTGGTTAACAACTAGGGAAACCTAAAATAAGTTCACAAGGATGGTTTCAAAACATTTCACTGCAAAAGGAGCATCTCAAAACACAAAGAACTGACCTATCAGAATCAGTATACTGGTAACCTTCTGGAGGTTGTATCCTAACTACATGTTTAACCTTTGGTATCTGGGGTGCTGCAGAAGGCTTTTTAAGGGCTGGTTTAGGTTTAGTTTCTGGTGGCAATGAAGAAGCTTTAAGTGGATTTTTTTCCACTATTTCTTGCCTCTTTATGAACCTAACTGGCTTTGGAGCTAACTTTGGCATCTTAGGTGCCTCCAAAAACATTCTTTTCTCTGTTCTGTGTTGAACTCTGAAAAGTTTATCACCATTTGATTTTGACAATTAAATCTATCCCCATAGTCAAGATATAATCTCATTTATAAAGCACACAGTGGAGATAAAACTGTTAGCAGTTTCAAAATTGAACAAATAATATTTTAAAGGAAATGCACCTGGGTCCATTTGAATTAGTGTCCTACATTTGATTATCAGTCTTCATATTAGTTTCCAGTTTCTTCATGCTTTTACAACACAGAAACTTACAGCGATTCTAGTACACATTTCAAAGTTATAAGTAACATACACTAGTTAATTATTTTTCCATTTTAGCTATTTAATTATTTCCTTATGTGAGCAAAACAATTTTAAGAAGCTACAAATACAGCTAATATTCAAGTCAAGAGAACAGAAGCTAAATTATTTTTTTTCAGCTGATTAGTCCAACTATTATATAAATTCAGCTTGCACATTCAAGATATTGATATCTCTATTAACCTTTCTTCCTCTGGATATTCATCAGGAGCCATTCTCTCTAGGTCAATAGGACTGTTTAAGATAATTATAGTGTCAATGTAACGTTTATTTAATAAATATGTTTTACTCCCCCCTCCTGTTCTTTTATTATTTTTTTTATTTCTGGTTGTCCCAGCTGGAGTATAAATAAACTAAACCCAACCAAAAATTTTTCTTTAATTTAAATAGTGATTTCATTTCACTTCTCTTTCATAGAAAGCTAATATGGAACAATTCTAAAAGTAACTATCACTCAGTATTTTTTCCACAAATTACTTCAATTTATGGTTTTTATTTGGAACAACATGCAACAGCAGCAGAATCATGCAGTGTACCTTGATCTGTCTAGTTCATCCTCTGACACAAGACGTAGATATCCTGATTCCGTGTCTGAGGCATAACTTATCTGTTGTACTGGTCCTTCCTTCTCAATCTCATAACTAATAAAATAACATTTGCAGTTGTTATTCATTGTCTTCATAATTTTGTGTTTTCTTCAGAATGAAAATTCTGTAATTTTGAAAACAAGATAACTTTTTAAAAGTAATTCATGTCTTAGCATATCAAACTGATTTCATGAATTTTTTATAAACTTTTTTTACTAATACTTTTTTAGTTTCATTGACTTTTCTGAAAATCCTCTTGAAAAAGGCGTATTAACAGGAAGCATGCTGTGAAATAGTATAATAACCCTGGAGGAGATGGAAGTTTGACTCTTTTCTTGGCTGGCTTCTGTTGTGCTACTGGTTTCTTCTCTGGTAACAGTTTCTGTTCTGGTACTGGTTTACGTTCAGGTGATAGTTTCTTCTCTGGTACCCATTTCTGTTCAGATAACAATTTCTTTTCTGGTACTGGTTTACGTTGTGGTGCTGGTACTGGTTTTTGTGCTGGTATTATTTTCTTAGGAGTGTCTAATTCATCCTCAGATACAAAACGTAAGTATCCTGATTCTGTTTCCGAGGCGTAACTGATTTCCTGTACTGGTCCTTCTCTTTCTATTTCATAACTGTAGTCAAAGAAAACCAGTTATACATTGTATACATACATTGTATTGTGATTTTATTTCAAGTGAAATGAGGAAGATAATGAAACTTACAAATTTAATTTTCAAAGTATAAAGGACAAACTTGCTAGTCATACACAGATCTCCATTTATATAAAACCACAAAGTTTTATTAACATTTACATCCTTTTCAAAAAGCTTGAACATTGCAATTGTTTATCATGCAGATAAAAAGAGATTAACCTTGGAGGACTTGGTAGTTTTACTCTCTTTTTAGATGGTTTCTTTTCTGGCACCTTGTGTTTAGGAGCCGGTGGTGTTGGCTTATGGACTGGAGCTGCTTTAGCTGGTGGTATTGTTTCTTCTGGTGTCTCAAACATTCTTTTGGCATCAGCCACTGACTGAGGCATATTCTCTTCCTCAACCTCCATTGGTTGTTCTGGTTGAGTAGGAGGAGCATGAGGTCGAGGGGCCCAGGCAGGGCTTACCTTTTCCTCAGGAGGCATAGCTCCAAGTCTGAGAGGAAGAAAATATCATTTTCAAAGCATTCAAGAATTGATTTTAAAAAAATGTACTTTTAAAGTTTAATCAAACATGTTTCTTTGTATATTTCAATGAGACTTGTTTATTTTCCATAATAGCGTAAAAACTTCAATGTCAATTTAGAGAAACACTGATCCATCTTCTAACAATTCTTATTATTGGTACTCTTCCTTAACAATTACATTACTATTAAACAAATACCTCAAACTATAATTCAATACATTTTATTCTATTTTTTTCAATCTTAAATAGTATTTATACATATTTCAAGAACATGTCATGCTTATACGAAAAAGCACACAAAAAACAGAAAGGGAAAAGGAACAAAAAAGTGTTGAATTGAAATAAGAAGGATAAGCACACATATATATAGTATAATGTAATGAGAGAACTTGGAATTTTGTTTTTCATAAAATCTCTAAGAAACATATTTTATTATGAGTTTTCTTAACGTCTTGTTTTAACAATTTAAAGACCACATTTTCTAGCTACATCAAATTTGTCTAACCTTCTTCGTTTAGGTATAGGTGATGATTCAGCCGACATTGTGGCTGGTGTTGGTGGTGGTGGCCTTGGTGGTGCCAATGGTGATTGTTCAATTAACTTCTGAGATGGAGCAGTTTCCATTGGCTCAGTATCACTTAACATTCTAAAACAGGGTTTTTTTTAAATACTTTAAAAAAATCACTTAAATAAATTAACATTTACTCGTCTTCAAAATTTTTACATAGTGAAAATTACTCTACTGGGACTAATAAATAACTTAATTGATAAAAAAAAAAATCATTTTAAAATCAGGAAAATATTAAATCAATATCCCATAAATTTTACAAAATTCATCTTAAAAACACTTAAGATTTTCAATAATCAGACAACAATAAGTTCAGTTTAATAAAAAAAAAAAATATTTTCATATCAATATTAATATTAAAATTCTGTAGTAAATTCTATCATCAGTTTTAGGACTTACACCTAAATTAGTTGTTTTTTTGGACAAAAACATCTCCAAGCAAATCATTCATTAGTAAAAAAAAAAAGAAGTACAGTATAAACTCAATGAATAAAAGCAATATCTATACTTCAATTTCAAAATTTTGTACTAAATTCTATCATCGGTTTTAAGACGAACATCTATATTAGTTTTGTTTTTGACAAATCATCTCCAAGCAGATCATTCATTAGTAATAAAAAATATTAAAATAATTCTACGATCTTTGCCAAAGAGTTAATTTTATTGACATAATCAGTTTAACTGATTCAGATTTTACAGTAATGAAGAAAACTAGACGCTACTTTCTGTAAAGGTTTAGAGGACTATGGGTTATTTTGCCTATTTTTCAAGTTCACATTACACATTAGGAATTGTAAACAATGTAACATGCTGTTAAAGAAACTGTTCATACATGTTAAACATAACCCTCTTTTCCAGGTCATTTTCACAAAAAGGCTTATTTTGATTTGGTTAAAAATGGCAGGCTTGAATTGCAAAATAAATCTAGAATATAGTCTATACAACTTTTGGAAAAGTCTAAAATGATTTTCTCTAATGCTTCATTTGATTCATATTTTCAATGCCTTCCTTCTTTTCTACCACCAAATATTTTTCCATTTAAGATCAATTTTTTCTTTTTCTTTTCTAACTGCAATCAGGAGTCAATACATGCAAATAAACTACCTTAACAACAACACAAATCACTAGCATTCAACAGAAATACAATAAATCTAGTCCAACTGAAAGGCAATCATTGAAGAAAACAAGCAGTCCGGGACAAAACAGGAATCAAGATCATGCCTAACAACAATTGTAACCTCTTAGCTTCCTCATCAGGAACCAGTCTAAGAGTAGCACTAGCACCCTCTGTTACATAGGAAATCTGTTGTACAAAGCCCTCTTTTTGGATGTCATAATGTCTGTCAAAAAGGAAACAAGGTAAGATTAGAAGGAAAAAAGACTGAATTTTCTTTTTGTCAGCTTAAGATTTTCATCTAAAGCTGAAAAGCTTACATTTTTCATTAGCTGACTACTGGTTGCATGTAGGTAAGAAAGAACAGTACCAATGATCTATTTTCAGCTATTCTTTGTTTATTCAACAAATGCTAAACATTTAATCCATCTTTCTTCTCTCCACTAAATAGAAGAGTGATATTTTACAAAGTACAAGATAATTTACATGTCTAATTGCCCTTTTAGTAAAGTAACTTTACTAACTATGCACAATGTAACAGAAAAACAAATAATTTTATGAAAAGAGTATTTATGATTTCTTCAACTCATTTATGTACAAACAGCAAGTAATTCTTACTATATTGTACTACCACTAATAGATTATTGTTCACTATAAATACATTTGTAATTGGTCAATGTTCTAAGTAACAGATATAAATTCATTGGCCACTGCTTTGAGTAACAGATAAATACATTGCCTTATGTAGGAGCCAAAACAATTCCAGATCCACTGGGATCCAACCCTGGAAAAAAAGAAACTCATTTGGGGGATTTATTCATGCCAAAATCTTTTCTCTTTTTTTTCTAAACCCAAATGAGCTTTTAGAATATTAATCTTGACTTACGGTGGTGAATCTGTTCTTGGTGTGACCGGCTGTGGTTTTGGTGTAGGCCTAAGGACCACAGGTTTAGGTGCAGGCTCTGGCACTTCTTTAACTGGGGATACTTGTTTCTTTTGAATGGTAATTTTCTTCTTTGGCTCTGGTTTCTTACCCTCAGCTATAAATAGTTATGATGTAATCATACAATTAGGATCTTTACTATCAAAGGCTTTACCAGCCGTATACACAAATATTTTTTCAGATATTTAAAAAGTTCTCTCATTGAAAATACAAATAACATAAATATAAACACTAGTTCACTTTATTCACCTATCTACCCCCAGAATTTGTTCAATATCTTTTAAAAACAATATCACTGTTGAGGCAAAAATTTAAGTATTCAAAATCTGTTATTCCAAGGCACATCTTTGTTTTTTATTTTATTAGAGATATTAAGAAAGACGTACATTTGACTGTCAGTTTTCCTCTAGTTGTAGCTGTTCCAGCAACATTAGCAGCAGAGCACTGGAACCAGGCAGAATCAAATGGTTCGACTGTATCAATTGTCAGTGTAGATCTGCCTCCTTCTGTATCAATCCTATCAAATCGCAGGTTTAGTAATAATGAATTCATTTATAATATATAATAGAAAACAAAGGATATGGAGTTTCCATCCATGACATAAAATCATTACATGCACAGCAAAAAAAAAACAAAAAGCAAAGGAACAGCACTTTTATTGTTGTTCTTTATCTCAAAGACACAGTGAGGCTTCAACACAGGGCAAAAAAAACTCTCACCTAACGGCAAGTTTAAGACAGCCCCTAGCACTGGTTTGATCGGAATTTTTTTGGCAAAGTAAAAGTAAAAAAGGTAAAGTTGTAGTAAATGGGTGATATAATTTTGTAAGAAATATGATGCTCAGGATTTTTTATCAACTATACCCAAGAAAAAATACTTCAAATTCTAAATAATTCCTTGTTTTTAATCTTAATCATTTAGCACACAAGTTGAAGTTGAAAATATATCATTACAAAGATGCAACTCACTATTTTCACTAAGAATATGTTAATTCATAAATGTATTTGATGTTACAATGTATTCATGTTTCTAAAATTCTTACCTGTAAGGTTTGTTCGGGATCAACATCTTGCCATCTTTCTGCCAACTTATCATTGGCTGAGGTATACCAATCACCTGACATCTCAAGGTCACTGGTTGACCTTCTCGGATATTAAAGTTCTGTATTCTTTCTACAAATCTGGGCGGTTGCATTTGTTCTTTTTCTAAAAAAACATCAGAAGGAACTGATTAAAACCCAATGACTTTTATATTCAAAATTCAAAGTTCTATTTTTAAAACTAAAATTACAACTTTTGAATTACTTTAATTTTTCCTCATTTACAATTTAGTGCTTGTCATTTGCCCGAATATGCTCAGACACATACATATGATTTTATGACATTACATCAATAAATCAAATAATAAAAGAAACCTACCTAGTATTTTAAGCTCCACTGTAAATGAGTTTTCACCTGCCTTGTTATTAGCCAGGCATGTATAATGTCCGGAATCATTTCTGGAAGCAGCCAGAATTATCAGGGAGTTCACTCCATCTTCATTCACCACAATCTATAATTATAAGAAATAATTGATACAGTTTAGCTATTATTTACTATTAAACACTTTCTCCTTATAATCTTTACAAATCCTTTCTTTTAGTTCATGAAGTCTATGTCATACATTTATTTTCTGAATTTGTGTTTACTTATTTCCTTAACACTGTGTTGCTCAGTCTTTGAGTTTTCTGTGTGATGTTTTCCAGAGTGTTGTTGGTTTCTTTAATTTTTTTATCATGTTTCTGTCTGTAAGATCTGATCTGGTTGTAAGGTGTGAACTCTATTGCTCATCACTGAAGACTATACCTAATTTAAAAAAATTTGATTATGCTGTATCATCTGACCAAACTTGATTTTAATCATTTTTATTAACCATCTTTAATAATCTATTAAGGTTAGTTGACATATTTATAATTTTGCTGTTGACCTCTTACCTTGTGTTGGTCATCATTATGAACCTGTACATCATCCCTGTACCATGTCAATTCTGGAGCTGGTCGTCCAGAAACAAGGGTATCAAATCTAACAGTGTTACCCTCTCTGACCTCCCGGTCTTCTGGGACTTTCTTAAACAGGGGTCTAGATAAGGCCTCCATGATGCCTCCCTCTTCTTCTGGGCGCTTGTCCTTATCTTTGTCACTGAAAATAAAATAAAGATTATTATCATTATAAACTTTCAATTCAATTGATGAAAATAAAAAAATTATAAGATATACATTCATGAGTCAAAAATGTATAAAAGCTGTATTGTACTTTTCAATTTATTAAATTCTAAAATTCACTCTAAAAATCAAACAGTGATATAAGTTTAAATACTCCTTTATAACAATACTGAACTGCTGCCATATAAAGCTAAATAGAGGTATAAGTAGCAAATATTTATTACACCATCATTTCAAGTTTTTTAATTGAATTTTAAAGGGAACAATAACTTCTATAAATCATTGATGTTTAATCCACCAAACCTACGATACTCATATTAAAGGAGTGAAAACAAACATCAGCCTTTACCCAATCAACAATCAACAAAACTCATACAGTATAGTAAACTATAAAAGACCAATGTGAAAAATTTCAAATTAGAAAACCAACATCCTAATTCATACTAGATGTACAAAACAAGATTTCTGACAAATCAAAAGTTTTCAATATTAACAAGTAATATTGCTATGACACTTACACTCCAAGAATTTTGTCTAAGGCTTCCTTTCCTACAAATGATGTGGAATCAATATTTCCTACACTATCCACATACAGTTCACTAGAACATGTGTCTTTTCCTGAAGAGTTCACAGCCAGTACTGTATAATGTCCAGCATCTTCTGGTAAAGCCATTCTGATGCGTAATGTACTGTAGCCATCTTTATTATATTTCATCTCGTAACGAGTGCTACGTTTTATTCTCTGGCCATTTTTATACCATGCTACTTTTGGACGTGGTCTTCCTGTGATGCGACAAACAAATGTTGCATCAGATCCTTCAAGTAATCTAAAGTCTTTGAGTTCCTGCACTATTTTGGGTGGTGCAGGAGCACTTGGTTGTACTCTGTCTGTTGTCACATCAGATTCATACTCAGATGTCTCAGTCTCACTGGAGAACTTGATATGGCCTTCTTTGTAAAACTGTCTCTGCATCAAACTTTGTTCAAATCCAGTTGGAGTAAATTCCTGTCGAAGTAAAATTTTCAAATAAAACACTTGAAAAAAGTAATGAAAAATCAACAAACAAAAAAAGATTTCACAATATTTTGAACTGCAGTCATATATTTTCAAGCAAAGACATTCTGAAAAATCTTTTTTGTTGTATGCAATGAAATCTTTGAAGAAATCTACTGTTTTTATTGAAGAAATCATTGAATTTTGGCAGTTATCAAGTCTAATGATAATGTACAAACCAAAGTAGATGTTACAATAGGGACTTCTCTTTCCTGAGACAGTCTATATTGTATGTTGCTCTCAAGAATTTTTTCAGATCTTGGAACAAAGAAATCTGATCGTTTACGAGGTTGTGCCATCTCTTGCTGTTGTTGCCATGGTTTTACTGGCGGCTGATTGATATCTGGCTGCTGGTACCATGGTCTTGTTGGCTGCTGTGTCATTTCAGGTTGTTGTTGCCATGGTTTAAGTGGTTGTTCTGTTACCATTGGTTGCCATGTCTTTGGTGCTGGAGGTGGTGGTGCCATTTTTTCTGTAAATAAAAAATGGATAAATACTTTGGAAATTTGATTTCTAAGTTGAAAAACAACAATGGTAACTGAATTATGAAAATTTAAATCCTCATCCAGTCTGGAACTCTTGACATGTAAGCTTTAAGAAATAATGATAATAAGTGTTAAAAGAAATTATACATGGATTTGATTCAATGCCTTTCAAAATTTTATCATAAGTTTACTTTTGTGGTATGATTTTAGCTGACAAAGTGATAGTTCAAAACAAATAAAAACTTTCCTTATGTAAACTTTACCTTTAAGTAGTATATGCGCACCTAAGGAAGCATAGTAAAATACCAAAAAAACTTGTATACAATACCTTCTGGAGGTGTGTCTTACCTTCTGGAGGTGTGTCTTACCTTCTGGTGGTATAAGTGTGTCTTACCTTCTGATGGTATAAGTGTGGCTGTGGTGTCTGTCTGTCCCATTAGGTTGACAGCAGTACATGTGTACTGTCCAACATCATCAGGTTTACAGTTCACAATAGTCAGAGAAATTCTTCCTGTATTCTCATCTATTGTTATCCTGTATCTGAAAAATATTATCCCATCAATTGCATTTTTCAATCACACTTTTAAAATACTGAAGAATGTAATTATATTTTACCAACAACAGATAATCAAAAGCATACAAATATTCTAGATAATTACATTGATCATTGATATTCCAGAATAGATAAAATTAAATTAAAGTAACATTAGCATCTAATATTTTATCTTTAAAATATCTATAAAAACTGCCCAATACTCAACAGTATAAATTATGTTGAAAAATTAAGATATGACAGTATATATATAATCCCTCTTAGTTATTTTCATAATTCCTAAAGAAAAAGTATATGTATCATATGTCACTGACAACATTCTTTCTAATTAAAACTGTACTTTTAAAATATTTAAATATCTTCCATTTGAATAGGTATACAAACCTTTGGCTAACCCTGATTGGGAATCCACGTTTTCTCCAGGATACATCTGGGAAAGGTTTACCAGTTACAGTACATTCAAATACTGCATTGGTGCCTTCTTTGAGTTTTTGGTTTTGAGGTATTTGTGTAAAGCGTGGAGCTTCAGGCTCAATCGGGGATGGAATTCTTTCCTCCCTTGTTGGTGCTTTGTCTGCTTTGAATGCTTCACTTACTGGTGACATGATTGGTGATCCTGAAATAAAACAGCGCAATAAAAATAACTATAATGAGCTACTATGTCAGTAAAAAGTACCAAAGTAAAACAGAACACCAAGTTTGTGTAATACATAAAATAAAATATATAACATTTAAAATTTAAAAATCAAAGAAACATAGCCAAATTTCACCTAAGGAAATTTTTCTTTTTTTTCAAAAATTGTCTGAATAATTTTTTTTTCAATTTGTAAGATAAAAATTGTTTTCTTAAGCTTTGTATAGTTTAAAGAAAAATAATCCTAAATTTACACAGTTTGTTTAAACAGAACAGCTTTGAACAGCCATAACACATTTTTGAAAGCAATTCAATTCTTGGACACAGTGTGTATGCAAAATTAAATTTTTGATTTGTATGATGAACTTACTTTGTACTTGTAGATTGGCCAGTGTTGTATCTGACCCGTCAGCATTGGTAGCAATGACCTTAAAGACACCAGAATCTTCTGGGAATGTCTCGGCAATGCTAAGTCTGCATACTCCATTGTCATAGGTTATCTCATAGTCTGGAGAGCTTCTGACAACAACATCATCTCTGTACCATTTTATAATGGGTTCTGGATGAGCTTCTACACGAGCTTCAAATACAACAGGCTCACCTTGGTCTACACTCTTGTTCTGTAGAGGCTGTAATCCAAATTTATTTTTGTAAACATATTTGACATTGAAATTGGTAACAAACCTAAAATGGTGTATCAGGAAATCTGAATCACTAACTTTTATTATATTTTTTATATGAACAAGGTATAACAACATTCTTTCAATTAATATGTGTTTAAAAAATACCTTTTATGATATTACAAAAAACAAATTTATTTGTTGGTTTGGTATGAAGAAAATTGTCTACAAACTTTTACCTGAGTAAATCTTGGTTTCTGTTTAGGTGTAACTTGTACTGGTTCTCCAGCAGGTAGTCTGAAGGTTTGCTCATAGGTAGGCATATCTGGTTTCCTACCAACTTCCATTTTGACTTCTTCTCTGTACCTCTGGTCACGAGGTGATACTTCACGGGGAGATTCTGTCCTCTTGACAAAGTCTGATGGGAGTTGTAGTTTCCTGACTTTTGGTGTTGGCTCCTCTGGAGCAGATCGTGCTGCAGGAGCTCGTTTAGGCTCAAATCTCTCCTCAGTTACAGGCTTGGCTTTATCAGGAACTGATTCTTCCATTGGAACTGTAAACAGATTTTATTTGTAATTACTACACATTTTACTTTCAACACTGAAGAAGTTTCAATCATAATTTTTTTTCACAGTTTCTTTTTTTTTTTTTAATTTAGGTTGAAAATTCAGAGAAATTGCAAATCATGCAAGTGCTGTAAGACAAATAAAACCTCATGTGAGATGAACTGTAAATGGGCATATACAGAGTTAAAAATCATGAAATAAAACTGTATGATAATGATTACTTAGAATATAACTAAAAAAATCTTTCATACAATGAAATTCTCACATGATATTATCATGCATATAAGCACACAGTGTGGAGAGAGAAATTGTGTTCACAAAGACATCAGATAAATCACACTGATCACTGCTCTGTAGTAAACCACTAGTAATTAAATGCATACCTTCAATCTTAAGATTAGCTGTACATTGAGTTTTTCCTGCTGGATTTTTAGCTTCAACAGTGTACTGTCCAGCATCTTCATAGAATACTTCAGGGATGAACAAGGAGTGTACATCATCTTCCTGGACAAGTTCAAAGTCTGGTGAACTTGTGATCTTAGATCCATCTTTATACCATGTGATTTCTGGGGGAGGTTGTCCAGCAACACGAATAGTGAAACGAACAGGTTTTCCCTCCTTAACATTCTGTGTCTGTGGTCTCTGTATAAATGATGGTGGTACCATGGATGCTAAAAAACAATTAAAATCAAAATGTCAACTTAATTCTTCTGCAATTTCCCAAGTTCCTCTTTCAACAACTAATAAAGCAATTTAAATTTTCCTTCATCATTCGATTATTTTCCTGCTCACTTGATAAAGTAATATATGTTAATTTCTACATCTTTAAATGAATTCTCAATTAATAATAGTTCCAAAAGATTTATAGTGAAGAATTCCTATGATTTTTTATCAAATAAAATTGCAAGAATAATCTTTTCTCATAATAAAGCTTACCTTTGACAATAAGTTCTGCTGAACTTGAGGCTTGGCCAGCCATGTTCCTTGCTGTACATTTGAACTGGCCTTGATCTTCAGGGAATGCCTCAGGTATATTGAGAGATACACGTCCATCATGGTATGATATCTCAAAGTCAGCCTTGTCTGTAAGTTCTTTTCCTTCACGGTACCATTTGATACTTGGTTCTGGTTTACCTAGAAATTTATATACATATTTTTTTCAAATCTATGTATCAATTTTTCTTGCCAAAATCCACATATTAATGATGACCATGAACAGCTGTTTAAGGTTCAGTGACAATTTATATGTATATTCAGGAGAAGAAAATGTTAATGTGATATGAAATTGAATTCTGCTTTGTACTAGAACGGCATGATGAGCTGGATTTTAAATGTGCAAGTTCACAAGGTAACAGTCCCTACATAATTTTGACTACAAGCTGAACAGTCTCTGCACTTAATCCTAAATGCTGCTTGCTAATTTTCATGTCTGGTTATCACATATCGATAAACAAAATATAATCTAATACAACAAATACGGAACTAAAGATTTATGAGTAATCCTCTTGGATTCTCTGTATAATCTGTCAAAAAGCTAATATATACATTTATATATAGCAATATATATTTATATATGAGATTTTATTATGAAATATACTGTCCAACTCAATATAATAAAATGATCTTTCTACTAAGATGAATTTTATTTATCCAGTAAAAACCATTGCACTTGATACAATTTTACCATTTTTCATTCAACTATAAAGGAAAGCTGTTACAGCCATGTAGCTCTATTAGTTGTCCATCATTTTTAGAAAGCTGCCAATATAATGTCTTCAGACTTACCTGAAACAACTCCTTCAAATGTGACTCTAGTTCCTTCCATAGTTTCTATGTTTTTCAAAGCCTGCACAAATTTGGGAGGTACAGGTACAGAAATTGTCAAATCTACTGGCTGGAATTTTGGTTTCACATCAGTCTTTAGTGTGGTAGCATGTGTTTCTCTGGTCTCAATTGGTCTCATTTCATACTGTGGTGTTACATCAGTGATTATCCTTGTGCTATGTTGTTCTGATGATGGTATGTATGTTGGTTGTGTCTCCTGTGTCTCTATGACACGACTGATTCTGGTTTCATGAGAAGACACTGTTTCTGTTTTTGATACACGTCTTGTCCTACAATTAATTGTTAGTTAGATGCATTTTATTATTGACTTAATATTAAAGCAGAACTAATATAACTTTAAATTCATTTCAATTCAATGTATGGAAAATGATACTGAAATTATTTACTTTTACAGATTTGTACTGAAATACAAATAACTTTTAAACAGCTTAACTTCTTATCTACCACAGGTACCTTTACAGTTCACTACTACACACTGCTGATTAGTTAGCTACTGCAGCTGAATTGTAGGTTAACTAACAGAGATAATTTGCAGTGAGAGAATTTTTCACAAATTGTTAAGGCTGTGTTATGAGTACTCTAATTAAATATTTAATTAATCAGTATTTATTGTATATTACTTGAAAAATGAAACAAATACCAAATCATTTTTTTTCATTTCCTTATCAAGCTTGAAAGCTGCCGTAAACAGACGTAAAAAATTTCAAAGTATTTGTCCATGTTTGGCTTCTTCATCCTCGGAAGACATGCAATCTTTGTCCGACAAACTAAACTATCCCTTCCTATATTTCCAATTTTGCTTTCTAATTGCATAAATCCTTCAAATTCTTAACTTTTGCTATCTGATTTGTACAAAGAAGCCCATTCATCCGCCATTGTTTTAATCACATTCCGAACACGTGTAAATTTCATCATAATTAAATGTAAACACACACAATTTATAGAAAAGGAATGTACGAGTTGAAAGATTATTCATTTGTAAAACTGAATTTCGTTGATTCATTTCGGGATTCCCCAACAGTTTTGTCCAATCTAAAAGGTTTTAACAGTGGTATATTTTACGGAAATATCCGTCACCGGGACTGCACAAGTGTATGTTTATAGCGGATCTATCAGTCACTGCGAATACACACTTGATTATGCAAGTGGATTTATCAGTCACTGCTGACAGAACGATGATAAAAACCGCGTATATATATCCGTCAGTGGTAGATAAAGAGTTAAAAGAGACATCAACATTATAATATCTTGCATTGAACAGGAAATGAATCTTAAATTATTTCATGTTTGTATATGAATATATCCATATGAATTATTGGTTTTAGGCGTTCCTGATGAAAGTAAATCCAGAAAAGTCCTTTAGACACACCAAATTTATCAAGTGTTATTTCTATCTTATTACTTACATTTCAGAACTTCCAAATATTCTGGTCTTAGGTATAGTTGATTCTTCTTCAACAAAGAGATAGGCAGAACAGGTTGCCTTGCCCAGAGGATTTTCTGCTGTAATAGAAAACCGTCCAGAATCCTCATCAAACGTCTCTGGGATATGTAATGTATGTCTTGTACCTTCCATTCTGATGATATAGTCACGTGACACAATTGGCATTCCATTGAAATACCATGTGACCTTTGGCTTCGGACTGCCAGATATTGAGCACTCAATATTCACTGGTTCCCCAGCATTAACTGTCATATCATGGAAGAGTCTTTGGAACTCAGGAGGGGATTGTTCCAGTTCTTTCTTCACTAACTTTGTCTCCTGAGATTCTTTGGTTTGAATCATTTGTCTCATTTTCATGACTTCGGATGTCTCCATTGGTTCTGGTGTTGTTTTTACAGAGAGTTTAGCATATGACTTGGCTTCTCCCACCATATTTACAGCTTTGACCATGTAAGTTCCTGTGTCTTCAACAAAGGCTTCTGGGATTGTCAAGTTATGTACATCAGCAAATGCTGTCACCTGCAAAGGATAATGTTTGTTAAATTTCACTATGTAACTTTTATCATTACAAATCTTACTTTGATAAATACTTCATAATCAAGCAATTCAGTATGTTTGACTTCGACTAAGCATAACAGACAACTCAAAGTCAACAAAAGTATGAGGCATATAATATGCAAATCTGAAATTCATTGTAAATGGTTAGCATTATTTAATTTCAGTACCAATCAAGTGACAAAGCATTAATTTTCACTGGTTTAGTCAAGAGGAGATAGGACTTTACTCTTACAATGTCCATAATTAAGACCAGATTTTAATCTTAGTGTCTAACTGATTAATATGTTTGTTGTACCTGATAATCAGGTCCAAGTTCTATTGGTTTGCCATCCTTGAACCACTGGACATCTGGGATTGGATGACCTGTCACCCGACACTGTAGACATACACGATGACCAGATTGGACATTCAGATCACGCAGTAATTGTGTGAATTTTGGAGGTGTGGCCTCATTTACTGAAGCATCACTCAATTCACTCAGAGCTAAAAATAAAAACACAGAAAATGATTTCTTAATTGGAGCCTTAATAAAGATTTTATTTTTTACGAAGAGAATACATATACATTTTGAACAATGATATATCAAAATAAAAACATAGATTCTGTACTTTCTATTTTATCATCTGAATCACAAATGAATCTGAAGGCTATTATACCTTTGATGTATTACCATGTGCCATTATTCCCTTAAAAGGCTATCACTTTATCATTACAGTTAAAGGATTCTAAAATAACCTAAAATACAAGAAACTAGTTTTTCTGCATTAATATAGCACCAGAAAAAGTAGGACTGTACCACACTAGGCCTGTGAATGCTGAATTTAAGAAAGGTTTCCAGATAACAAGCCTATCAGCTGAACTGTGGGCTACAATAGTGTTTCTAAACTGTATAAACTCATCTGAAAACTTGAAAGAAAAATTATTTTTTCCACAGCTTAAACAAGTAAATTGTGTGTATAAACTTACGTTCTACATGTAATTTAGAAACAGTTTGATCATTTCCGTATGGATTACGTGCTTCACATCTGTATACACCAGCATCCTCCAGGTATGCTTCCTGGATACTCAGTGTACAGCGATCTCCTTCAAACAACAGCTGTATGTCTTTGGATTCCTTTACAGGTTTATCATTGTGGAACCATACAACCTATAGATGTATATATCTTCATAATATTTCACTTATACACACAATCTTTAATTAGGAGAAAATGGTACCATACATGAAGATTTTTTTTCTTATTTATTTGTACATGTTCAATAACAAGCTAACAGAAATACATAATTGTACATAAAACAGACTAAAACAAATACTAAACTCTATGCTTTTTCAATTGAGAAATATCATGATTTTTCTGAATTTGCTGTCCCAAATGAGTAAGTGGCAGATTAAAAAATCTCACGAATATTGTTATCCCAAGAACTTAGATCCAATTAAACAATATCTCTAACCTGTCAATTAAAATTCAGTGTTTATCAAAATCATTAATTTTCTTGTTGGGAAATTTGGCTTACAAACAAATATCATTCAAAACTATCTTTTTTTTAGAAAGAATTATTCATACATCACATAAGAACATACCTCTGGTTCAGGATGTCCAACAAGTACACAGTCCAATCGGACACGGCTTCCTTCCATAGCTTCTCTAGCTGGGGCAAGTTTCTGAGTAAAACTAGGAGCCATTGGTTCATTTTCTGCTGAGGCTTGTGACATATCCTCAGCAGCACTTGAGTAGAAACTTTCTACATTAACTTGACATGTTTTCTGTATTTCTCCTGCAGCATTCTGTAGGATGACAGTATATGCCCCTGAATCCTCAGGGTAGGCTTCTGTTACTTGTAATGTGGTTCTGTTTATTTCTATTGTGATCTATAAATAAATATTACACTTTAGTGTTTGTTTATAAGCTTGATTTATCATAATTTAAGAGGTGCGTATCTAATTTACATTATATTAAACATTATTGATTTGCAGATTATTTTTTTTAAAAGAAAAAATCCCTAAAAGAGATTTTTGTACAATCACGAAATTGGTTTCTTTGAAATAAAATAAATCAAAACTACTGAGTTGTGAAGACCCATATTGGAAGGTGTTTTAACCAAAAATGTAATCCATAAATCCCACTGATTTAATTTACCATTATCAGAATCATAATAAATTTCAATCTAAAATTTCAATTGTTAAGCTGGAAGATCAAGTATTTTCCTGCAAAACAAACATAAAACAAACTGTTTTGAAGTTTCTTCCTCAACTCAAATGTTTGTAAAGTTTTAACTCAAGTTAATGAGCTACACTTACCTTAAAAACAGATGATGGTACAACTCTGTCTTGACCTCTGAACCATGCAACCTCTGGTGTTGGTGACCCTGAGAATATGACCTCTATTTTGAAACCTTTGCCTTCTGGCATGCTTATATCATTGGTCATCTGATGTATCACGGGTCTATCTAGAGCTACAAATACAAAGAAATGTATTACATGTAGTGCAAACTCATTTCTAAATAAACCATATTTCTTATAGATTGTTAAAAATAAATAACGTTCAGTTTACATAATTTTCTTCAATCGCCAGTAATTTGAAACAGTGTGAAAAAGATAAAAAAAAAACTATTAAAGATATAAAAGAAAGTATATTTTTTTGCTTTAGTTTTTTAATATTTCTTTTGGATATTTTTTATTTTCAATTTGAAAAAAACACATGTTTTGCACTGAAACATAGCTAAAAACAATATAAGGAAATCCTTTCAAAGTACAACATATTAAGACGTCTATATAGCAATTTATTAACTTACAAATATATAAATCACACCACAACATAAAATTTTTCAAAAAATTTGAAATTTTAACATGCCTCCTTTACTTTGAAGGATTTAAATAAATGGGAAGGTTTTTGGCAAGCATACAAAAAATTACAACATAAGGGTGGTTAAAATCAAGCATATGGTTCATGCTTTAGCACTCTGATGAAAGTTTCATGGCTTTACCTCAACTAATGATACCAACAGCTCTGTAAACAACTTTCAATAAAATCTGTCAGCCATGCCTCTCAAAACTCAATTTAAAAAAAAAAAATCTAAACCTGAACAACAAACAGGGTTGAAAATGGATCAAGCATGCCTGGTCACACAACATGCCTAGAATAGAATAGGCGCTTACGGACTACATTAAGGCGGGCAGATGATGCAGCCTCCCCTCCAGGATTATTGGCCCTGCATGTATATCGGGCACCATGATGACGGCCTATTTTGCGGATCTTAAGACAACATGTGCCATTGATCTTAGTCATAACATATTCTGGTGAATTGTCAATACTTAAATCGTCTTTTTTCCATGATATGGTGGGTGATGGGATACCAGTCACATGACATTCAAATGCAAATGGGGCATCCTCTAAAACATCAACTGATTTCAAATTCTTTGTGAAATCAGGTGGTATAATTTGTTGGTGCATTTCTGAAATAGATTTGATCATTCAGGATTTGAAAAGGTTAGAATATGTTTCCTTACACCAGAACACTTAACAGGTTGTCCCTATGCAATCTTACCCAATGTTTTGAGTGTTAATTTATGATTTACTACTATTGACTGACTTAACTTTTGATATTTTTTGAGAAATACCAATTTTTGTAAAGTCGATTTTTTACGAAAGATTTATGTATAAATTCTATGAGGGTTTTTAACTTTTAATAATCTCATTTTATGTGTTCTAGAAGTGCACATCTTTTTTTAACTAGCAATGAAGTAGGATCAGTGTATACAGTAACTGTCCTTGTTATATTTCACTATTACCTTTCTACTTCCAATATTCAAATAAAAATATTAATTTTTCTAAGTGTAATATCCACCATCTGACTCAGTACCTAAGTCTATTTAATATCGGCAAATTTGATTTTAAGACAAAACAATATACAGACCTCTAACAGTAAGATGAGCTGAAGATTCTGCAGATCCAAGGTAGGTATTAAATTTGACCGTGTATCGAGCAGTGTCTTCAGAAAATGTCTCTTCTATGGTGAGTGTGGCAATGCCATCACTGTATCGAGTCTCATAATCAGGACTGTTTAATGGCATATTATCCTTATACCATATAACAGTTGGTTGTACGGGAGTATCCACATGACTTTCAAATGTGAATCTGTAATGAAAAACAAATTAATTTTAATGTGGAAATATAAGAAAACAACCAATCAAATGTGCAGCTGTATGATAACCAATCAAGAGTTAAAATGCATTTAAATATGTCATGTCATGAAAGAATCAATAGCGTAAATAGTAAGTTGTATGAAAGTCAATAATAAACTTATTAGTAATGTATGCTTAAAGTTTATTACAGCAACGGCACTATTATATAAGTTTTTTATTAATCTGTCAGTCTGCTTTAAGTAATAGTATATCCATCTAATGTCATAAATAATAACTCCATTAATTCATAAATAATACTTATATCAAACATTAAACTCCGTCTGGTGAACCAACGCCTGTGTGACTCATTTCGATTGAGTCCCTGAAGTGGATACCTTGGTTTGCAGGGTTGTCAAATTATGCAAACGAATGCAACATTTAAATAAAATTTTGGGTATTATATCATATATTTTATTGATGATCTGGGTGAGCAAAGAGCCAAAGCAAAGTACTTTTCTCCATTTTGTTTCAATAAATTTAGAGAGTAGAGGGCTCTTGAATCATCTGGAGCTATTATAACAACAAAGGAACACTCCACTTACTTTTCTCCTTCTACAACTTCAGCATTCTGTAAATGTTTCAGTATTTTTGGGGGTGACCTCTGTGCTGAGGCAGTTACCATGACTTCCATCGGCTGAATTGCTTGTTCAGCGACTGGGGGACCAACCTTCAAAACCAAAATATAAACGATGTAATAAATGCTGATCAGGATACAAAAATGTATAAATCAATAGAACAAAATACATTTTAATATTTAGAATAAAACAAAACTATGAAACAAATTTTTAATTGCCATAGAAATAAATCCAATCTTAATCAATCAAGTATGGATTTCGTAAAACCTTATTATTAGGATTTCCTAATTTCTAAATTGACTTACTGTCTTATAAATATAACTATGTAAGTTCCAAAATCTTGAATTATTTCAAAATATATCTTACAAAACTTTGATCTAGGTGTCACTTTTTTAACTTTAATTCTATTTCAGTTGTGTTCATTATCTAAATTAGAAAATCATCTAGTAAACAGCCTGGCTTATCTGTTATGACTTACCTCTCTTTCTTGGAGGTTGTGTTTAATATTAGATACTTGATTACTGGCCTGCTGGAGCGATTGCATCAAGTCCTCATTCTGTGCAAAAATATCATGCACATGACTGGGGCCCTCATTGCCTACAAAAATAAAATCATATACATAATGAGGGATTTCAATATACTTGTACATGATTAGGGCTTTCATTTACTTCAGCTACATCCTATCTAAAATTTGTCTCAAACTTTCAAAATGAATAAACCTATTTGTTCCTTCTGGCAAAGTTGACCTTAGATGAATTTGTCTGATATTTTTAGGTTTGTTTTGGTCATATAGCTCCTGACATAAATTTGTTAAGTCTTATTTTCATTATTTTTGCTATAGATATTGAAGTTTTCATAGCTAGTTTACGTTTGTAGTGAACACAATGATATCAAGTGTCTTTCCTTGTTTTTTATCAGACCAGAACATGTCAACATTTGTAAATTTAAGGAAATCAGCTTCACTTTTTATGCAAAATTGTAGAATTAATTGTCATCAACTGTAAAAAAATTTTGCTGCACAAGTACCCACCATAAAGCTCTACAGCTAGCTCAGATAATTTTCTGAGTCTCTCTTCTTGTTTGGGTTTGCCTTCCTGCAGGAATTGGTCCATCGGCTTTACGAGGTCATCAACTTCCTGAGGGGTCTTACACTGGACGATTTTACGGCCAATGTCATTTAATAAATTATTTCCATCTCTCAACCATTGTTCAGTCTGCAAAATATATCAAGTTTTATTCTAATTAAACTATGTAATATGTAATTCTTTTTTACATGTATAGTTATTTTTCATATCTAATTGACTTGTCAAATATTGTACCAGTTGAGTTTTTAAACATTTAGATTAGACTATTTTCAAATTTTGAGAAGCCTTAATCAATAATATATCCTTGTAAGAGACAACTGTAATTTGTTGTTAGGTTGCTGTCTTATTAACGTACATCACATACAACCCATTTCAGTCAATTTTGATTAATGTATGGAATAAGAGTTACTTTAAATTATACAAAATTAATGGTCAGACACATTTGCTAAAATATCAGTAGATCTTGTCACACGTATATTAATCACCTAATATCTATTCTAATTTTTATTATATAACAGTATTCCTTAACTGACACTCAAATATCATTATAAATACATTATTGTGGTGTAACAAAGTTTGTTCAATAGTTCTGCCTGGTATTTCTTTCAACTGCATGATAAATCAGGTTGAGAGAAATAACAAATGAAGAAGGACAGTGATCGAAATGTCTAAAAAAATGTTTTTACACTATGATTATGTAGAGTATATAAAAATAAGGAAATGTGGTATGATTGCCAATGAGACATTTATCCATCACAGTTCAAATGATGAGAATGTACGCAACAATAGTTCACCATAGGTTTCCTTTCAGAGTTTCTGCACAACAATTCATCATCAATACTAGCAAATCAAACAACTCTTTCTAAGCATAAAAGGTTTTTGATCAATATCTAAAAAACTATGCATACTTTAAAGTAAAGTTTAACTCACCTCTTCAACAAGTTGATAATAATCGATGGATGTGTCAATCATCTTTCTGTAATCACGTACACTCATATGGAATGTTGTCCATTTAGTGTTCAACATATCAATTTCCCTGCCGATGTGGGCGGAGTCATAATGATGATCCTGCACCATCAACTCGGCGGTACTTGTAAATTTGTTGATTTTCTTCTCAATTAACTGCAAAAAATATTTTCATTGAGTTCAGCAAGCAATATCGCAAAAGTATCCGATTTTACCAACTGATAATTTCCTAAATAAAACTTTGCTTTGATATAAAAAAGAGTTTTCTATTAAAAGATGCTGTAACAAAAAGGAAATTACCTTCAAGTTACTTAAAGTGCATGGTTTGTGTTGAAAAATTAATGTGAAGTTAGTCTTTTTAAAAAAGGTTGATTTATATTGAAGAACAAGTTTTTTTTATACAAAGTACAATTAACAAAATATATCAAAACTTACCTCAACTGTCATCTCAAATTGTTTGAAAGCCTGTGACGTCATTTTGGATGCTGGCAATGAGTTGCCATAGCTTCCACGTCTGGCTTGTAAATGGTGATGTAGTTCGTCAATCTCAGAGTGAATCTGCCTGAGATCATAATTAAATTGGCAGATCTGGAGATTCTGTTTGAGGCGTTTTTCTTGGTCTTCCCACGCCTGATTCCACCGCTGTTTATACTCCGCTGTCACGTTCAGCACTCTCTCTACATCTTCTTGTGCTGCCGCTTCGGCGTCCTGCAATGGAAAATGATGTTTTAAAACACAATAAAATGCTCCGCAGAGCGCAGCTTGATACGACCGCAGAGGTCGAACCCTGAACAGTTGGGGCAAGTATGGACACAACATTCAAGCTTGATACAGCTCTGAATTTGGATTGTGATTAAATATTTGACACAGCATAGGTTTCTGACACAGAATGAATGTGGTCTAAGAACTTAAAAATTTTAAATTGGACATTCACCTATTATGGTCCAATATCCAAAATCTAAATACATGGTTAGATTCAGCATATCAAAGAACCCCAAGAATTCAATTTTTGATGAAATCAAACAAAGTTTAATTTTGGACCCTTTTGACCTCAATGTGGACAAAGTTGATAACGGGGCCAAAAAATCAAAAATCTAAATACATGGTTAGATTCAGCATATCAAAGAACCCCATATATTCAATTTTTGTTGAAATCAAACAAAGTTTAATTTTGGACCCCGATTTGGACCAACTTGAAAACTGGGCCCATAATCAAAAATCTAAATACATGTTTAGATTCAGCATATCAAAGAACCCTAAAAATTCAATTTTTGTTAAAATCAAACTAAGTTTAATTTTGGACCCTTTGGACCTTAATGTAGACCAATTTGAAGACGGAACCAAAAATTAAGAATCTAAATACACGGTTAGATTCGGCATATCAAAGAACCCCAATAATTCAATTTTTGATGAAATCAAACAAAGTTAAATTTTGGACCCTTTGGACCTCAATGTGGACCAATTTAAAAACGGGGCCCAAAATCCAAAAACTTAATACACGGTTAGATTCAGCATATTAAAGAACCCCAAGAATTCAAGAATAAAACCCCATTGAAATTGATCAAGAAATAAGCAATTTATACGAAGTATCTTCTTTTGCACAATACTGTGCAATTGAATATTTCTTGCTATTGTGCAATACTGTACAATTGACAATTTCTTGCTATTGCGCAATATTGTGCTATTGGATATTTCTTGCTATTGCTCAATACTGTGCAATTGAAGATTTCTTGCTATTGCGCAATACTGTGCAATTGAAGATTTCTTGCTATTGTGCAATACTGTGCAATTGAAAATTTCTTGCTATTGCACAATAATTATTATATAATAATTTACACATCCTGTTTGGTGTGTATCTCCTACCATATCATTATTATTTGCTTTTAAATATTAATCAGAAATAACCAACTTAAAATGAAAAATTTTAAAAGAAAAAAAAAAGGAAAAAAAGAAAAAAAAAAAATCCCCCCCCCCAAATTTTTTGAACCCCCTTATGATTCATCACCCCCAAACTCAATCCCAGCCTTCCCTTTGTGGTATGGTACCTTGCAGTACAATTTCAGAGAGATCCATACACTTGAACACAAGTTATTGTCTGGAAACTAGAAAAATGCTTATTTTTGGCCCCCAATTCCTAAACGTTTCGGGCAATTACCCCCAAACTCAATTCCAGCTTTCACTTTGTGATATGGAACCTTGTAGTACAATTTCAGAAATATCCAAACACTTACACACAAGTTATTGTCATGAAACTAGAAAAATGCTTGTTTTTTGCCCCTTTTTTGGCCCCTAATTCCTAAAATTTTGAGGCAATTACCCCCAAAATCAATTACAGCCTTCCCTTTGTGATATGGAACCTTGTGGTACAATGTCAGAGAGATCCATACACTTACATACAAGTTATTGTCTGGAAGTTACAAAAATGCTTATTTTTGGCCCCTAATTCCTTAACTGTTGGTACCATAACCCCCAAAATCAATCCCAACCTTCCTTTCGTGGTATTGAACCTTATGGTAAAATTTCATGGAGATCCATTCACTTAAACTAAAGTTAGAGTGCGAAAACCAATGTGTCTTCGGACGACACCAGACGACGACGACAACGTCGATGCCAACGTCATACCAATATACGACCAAAAAAATTTTAATTTTTGCGGTCGTATAAAAATCAGTAAAGTATTATATTCCAACATTATTTTTCTTTCATATGGTACGAATATCATATTTGTCACTAAGCTATCAAATAAAAACTTTTTTTCAATCTATCAAGGTTTATTCAATATCTATTAACATCCTTGGTTTTTTCTCCAAATTTAAGCGCCTCTTTTCACAATTTTGATAAAGCATTTTCTCTTAAGCTCTAATATATGGATTGATTATTGTTTGCTTTATGAAACTTTAGTGCAAAAGTCTGTACTGTGGAAAGAGTAATATTATTAAGAAAACAATTGGTAAAAGATTTTTTTACTTACAGTTTGTCGTACTCTGACAACAATTTTCTCTCCTTCATCAGCGGTGTAGTTGATAAGACTTGATACTTCTTGTTTTTTACGTTTGTGTTCCTCCAACATTTTCTCTGCATGTGTTAAATCTGCCGGCAAGTTAGACAGACTATATTCTTGTTCAGTCTTTTCTATCAGTTTGTCCAACTGCAGAGAAAAACCATTTTATAACAAAACACATCAAATTTAGTTTATAGGTATAATTATTTTAGATTCTGCTTTAAAAATATGCATTAATTTCAGAAATGTAGATGCAGAAAACATATTTCTTTGGTTTCATACACATAAACATGACGACATATGCAACACTGTGCCATTGTTTTGTAATAAATATTTAAAATTAGAAAAAACTTCTATGGTAAGTTGCATATCATCATTAGTATTGTTCCTTTACTTATGTCTATTTAAATCTATAATTGTTATATGTAACATGCCTTTTTAAAGGCCATTGATTGGTTAAATAAAATATTTGTATTCGTATTTATATTCATTTACAACATTAAATACAACATTCTATATTCTCTTATTTACTTAGCCATTGTATCTTTATTTTCTCTTATCAAGGCTAAATGAATAGTTGATATGTTGAATAAAAAGTATATTTTTAACACGACTTGGTTCTGTATTCTATATATTGTAAATTCAGAAATTATTGCGAGGTTTTTATTAATGGGAATAATGCAACTACTTGAGTATCGAAATAATAAGAACTCGTATTCAGATATAAAATACATATATCTTTATGTTGTTTTTCCTTAAATCGCAACAATTAAACTCGCATTTTTGTTAATTTTTCAAAAATCGCAATAATAAATGCATGCAATAATTTCTGAATTTACAGTATATTTTAAGAATTGTACTTTTTGTTTAAATTCTGAAGCTAAAACATGAAAAAAGCTTGTAAAAAATATCAATTAACCTATTATGTATCGTTCATCAACATTGCCAATTTGACAAGTATATTAGACATTACCTGATCAAGATTTCTGAAGAATTGTATCGTCATTTTGACCAGTATATGATACTCATGTATTCGGGCTTTAAATCGATGATAGACTTTAGTCAGTTCATTCATGATTTGATCCAGTTGACCTCTTGTGTCACCTTTCATTAGGAGCATCTCTCCTGTTGTCATATGGTTTTCCAATTCTTCTAGCCCTTTCTGTAAAACAATAAGAAAAGAATCTATACCACTTACATTTACTGTTTCCATGGTAATGACATACTATACAACTTACATTTACTGTGTCAATGGTAATGACATACTATACCTCTTACATTTACTGTTTCAATGGTAATGACATACTGTAGAAAGGCTTGTATAGTTCGCACTGGTACATAGTCCGCACCCCCTTCTCCCCACGAAATTTTAGGTAAAAAAACTTTTTGTAACTGTTAGAAAAGGTCTAATGAAACTCCGGTAATTTCAAATCCTGTGCGGTTGTTTGCGGTATTTTCTTGGAAAAATCTGTTTTCCATCATCAAACAGAAGCTGAAACTGCTTGTAAATGATTCTAGAACGCTTCATGATTGTTAAAATAAGTTTAATTCACTTAAAAAACAATTTAGAAACCTATGTTTAAACAGGAAGTTTAAAAAGCATGTGTAAAAGAAGAAATTAACCGGTGAGAGTCGAAATCCGTACATAACAGATATCACTATAATAAGACTTTGAAAGTAAAACAGTTCCATCCTTTTGTAAAACAGTCTTTTAATATATCTATCACATTAATGTTTGAAGGGTCTTAAGCTAATACAAACCATATTAGTCAGTATGAAACACCAAAACGGAACGAACAATAACCGATTACGTTTTGTAGTTTACAAATTCTAAGCTGGTTTACGGTTGTTTTTTTCACTATGTTTGTATCGTTACAATCAAGCAGATACCAGTTTATTTCAACCAATGCATTGAAAAGAAACGAGAAATTTGTAATGAAAGGTTTAGTTTTTATATTTATCAGTATTAATTTGATATTAATAGAAATAACTTATTAATATGGATGAGTTAAAATTATTAGTTTGAAAAATGATAAGAGCACCCTCTACAATATAAATAACAAAGATGGCGGAACATAAACAAACCACCTCGCCCGCGAAATTGAAATTTGTCTCTTATTTCTTGCTTATTGTACTCTATAGTCCGCACCCCGTCTGGAAGGTCCAATTTTGGAGAATAAAACCGCGGACTATACAAGCCTTTCTACGGTACTATACCACTTACATTTACTGCCTCAATAGTAATGACATACTATACCACTTACATTTACTGTTTCAATGGTAATGACATACTATACCACTTACATTTACTGTTTCAATGGTAATGACATACTATACCACTTACATTTACTGTTTCAATGGTAATGACATACTATACCACTTACATTTACTGTTTCAATGGTAATGACATACTATACCACTTACATTTACTGTTTCAATGGTAATGACATACTATACCACTTACATTTACTGTTTCAATGGTAATGACATAATATACCACTTACATTTTCTGTTTCAATTGTAATGACATATGTTTTGGATAACCCTAGAGCCTTTGACAACAAATTCCTTTAAATGTGAAACAATAAGAAATTTAAGGAATCATTCCATTGTTAATATAGAATAGTTTTTCAATAAAAATGATTGATCTATAAACTTTATCTATCCCTTCTCATCATTACATTAAAAAATTAAGTGAAAATCTTATGGTTCTATTCTGAGGCCTTTCACACCAGTTTGGTAGTCATCTCACAAAAACTAAAAATTAAACTATTATCTTGAAAACAGTAAAGTCCATACCATGTACAAAGGTTCAAACTCTTGGCATTTTATCTGCATTTCCTCAGCAGTAGCTGATGAGTTGCCAAGGTAACCACCAATATTTGGGAAAAAGAAATCTTTCTCCATCTTCATACACTTGTCGATAGACTGAAAGGTAAAAATAATTACAAATTAATCCTACCTGAAAAACTGGACTGAATTCATCCAGACATTTTTCATAATGTTTAACTGTTTCCACCGAGGTTCCAAGTTCACCAGCGATTACGGGGAAAAACTCATTCTCAACACTCATCACCCAATCTATTGTCTGAAAAAGACAAGTCACCTTAAGATTTCAGACGTATATTTCTTATGAAAGTTTACGAAATAACTTTCCTAAGCAACTTTCTGGATGTTAAGAAAGCAACCATCAATCAAGCTAAGCAACTTTCTGCTAAGAAAGCTAAAATCAATCAGGCTAAGCAATTGAGAACATGGGATTTTATTTTACCATTTTGCAAGTCTTTTTTTTCTGTATATTTATTTTTAGTATAAAAAAAACTGTGAACTATACCCAGTGGAAACAGTTCAAATATTCAACTTAAAGCTACAAAACAATCTTTTGTATAAACATTATTCATTGCGTTCATATACTGTCATATATCTGAAAATGCAACAAGCGTTCAAAAACTACAGTAAATTCAGAAATTATTGCGTGCATTTATTATTGCGATTTTGTCATTTTAGACTAAAATGCGATTTTAATTTATGGGATATTGAGAATAAATCCTGTTTAATTCATATAAAAAAATTCAAAATGCGAGTTTAAATTATTGCGATTATAACCCTGTGGCATTTTCGCAATAATAAAAACATCGCAATAATTTCTGAATTTACAGTACATTCACAATTTCTCCTTAGCAGAAAGTAAATTTCATACACTTTACTGTATTCACAATTATTCAATCTTTTTATCTATTCCAATCAAATTTACTACAGTACATTTTGTCATAAAAGTACAATTTCCATTTGACTGATAATTTACATCTAAGTGAACAAGCTAGTTGTAAATTGTAAAATAAAAAGAAATGTGGCTGTATATTAGTAGTGAAATTTTACCTTTCTGGCATCTTGTATAAATTGGTGCCATTGGGTTTTAAACTGCCGGCTGGAGGATACTTTCTGTTGCCATGACTCCCATGTGGTTGTCAAAGTCGTCATGGTTTCTCGTGTTTCTGTCATGATTCTCTCCACAATCAATACAGCTTGTTTAATGTTCAATGATGAATCATCATTGATCTGCAAAAATTGAAAACATTCATCTGAATTATTATTAATTTCCATCAGGATTTCCACATATTTTAAGATTAAAATTGCAGTGTTTCACAAAATTTCTTAATTGTTTAAATGTTAATTTATGGAAAAGTTTTCCAAAAAATATAATTTGTTATGTCTCATCTTCCTACAAATATCTTCATATAAGGGTGTGCCATTTATACTTATTTTATAGACTTTTGATACATATTTGATTAAATTACTGACTCTTCTTCCATTCTATCCCAGTAGAACAAATATTTTCCCAATTACCCAAATACATCAATTCTATCAACAGTGGTATAAAATATACAGCAAATAGGCATATGTTAGGTGATGAAGTGAAATATGTACTGCTCTTAGTAATATCTTTATACATTGCATATAATTGTGCACATATGCCACTAAATTAGTGTTTTGAATACAGCATTACAAATCAACAAAAATAAATGAAATTCAGTCTTTCTGTTGACATAAAGAACAATATCTCTATCATACAATCAAAAGGGAGGAGGGTTGTACTAACTGTGGAGGTTTTGCTTAGGAATTCTCTTCCTTTGTCATCCACTTCATGATATTGTTGTGATGTGATGTTCCACAGTTCTTGTGTGTGCTGGACAGCTGAGTCTGTCAAATCTTGTAAATGTTCCTTTTCTGATTTCAAGATATGCTCCAAGCCTCCAGCATTATTTTGGAACTGAAAAGATATTTTAAACTTTACACCATTCTAGCAGATATTTACGAGTATCAATCTATTAATCAATATTTTCTGTTTGACACTTAATTTCCACTTTGTTACTAACAGCTAACATAAATTCTTTAAATACACTGAAAATTAGAAATAAACTTTTTGTGAATTTTGTAAAAAAACAGACTTAACATTATCTCATTAATAAGGGTATGAAAGTCATAGTGAGCTGATATTAAATCTTTTTTTGATAATTTCAAGACCCTATTAAATGTGACTGGAGATGACGAAGGAAGCCAAAACAAGAGTTTATTTTACTTTGAAAGTCCACAATGTAATTACTGTTGATTTACAGTTAGTTGATCTTTGAATAAAATTAGTTAGTAAACAAAAAACATAAGTTGAACAAAAAGTATCTTGAAGTCACCATACAGCCATTTATCAAGCAAGTATTATCAGATTAAGTCACAGCATTAATACTGTTCATGTTTTATTTTTAAACAGATCACTGTCAAATAGTATACTAACCTGCTGTACTTTCTTGTGGAATGATAGATAGACTAGAGACAAGGTTATTCTGAATTCTATGACACGGTGAATTCTCTGCATCTGTTGGTGCAGGGTGTCAACCTTCTCTGCGGCATTATGAGCTTCCTGGTCCCCTGACTTGACCAGGTTAACTCCTGCCTCAAACAAGGCCTCTAAATCTGAATTCTTGTCCTGAAAAACAATTACATAAATTACTTTTATGCCCATTGACTCACTCCTATGTCTTTGTCTTATTGTTTTCTTTTCTGCCCAGTGACTTACTTTAATGTCTTTGTCTAATTATTTCATGCCCAGTGACTTACTCTTTATGTTTTTGTCCAACTGTTCTAAGCACAGAGACATACTCTTATGTCTTAGTCAAATTGTTTTATGCCCAGTGACTTACTCTTACGTCTTGGTCTACTTATTTTATCCCCAGCAACTTACTCTGAGGTCATAGCCAAATTGTTTAATGCCCAGTGACATACTCTTATGCCTTGGTCAAATTGTTTTATGCCCAGTGACTTACTCTTATGTCTTGGTCAAATTGTTTTATGCCAATCCACTTACTCTTATGTTTTGGGTCTACTTGTTTTATTCCCATCCACTTACTCCTAATGTCTTAGTCAAATTGATCAATGCCCAGTGACTTACTCTTATGTCTTGGTCTACTTATTTTCTGCATAGTAATTTACACTTATGTCTTGGTCTACTCTTTTTATGTCCAGTGACTAGCTCTTATGTTTTGGTCTAATTGTTTTATGCCCAGTAAATTACTCTTATGTCTTGGGTCTACTTATTTTATGCACATTAGCTAACTCTAATGTCTTGTTCTACTTGTTTTATGCCAAGTGACTAACTCTTATGTTTTGGCCTAATAGTTTTAAGCCCAGTGACTTACTCTTATGTCTTGGTCTAATTATCTTATGCAAAGTAACTTATCTAATGTCTTGGTCTACTAGTTTTATTCCCTGTGACTAACTCTTACGGTTCAATTTATTGTTTAATGCCCAATAACTAACTCTTATGTTTTGGTCTAATTGTTTGAAGCTTAGTGACTTACTCTTATGTCTTGGTCTAATTGTTCATGAATTTCTAGGAAATCCTCTGCTGATTCAAGGCGAGTTCCCAAGTCTGCATGTCGACTGAGAGTAGCCTGACCTATTTGTAGGAGCCACGTCTGCAACTGCAATTGAATAAAATGTATTGTAGAAATAATGAACTTTCAACTTTTTTATTTTTGCCATTGGTTTTTTGAATTTTAGAAACTTATTTTAGTGTTTTTATTTTTTCACTACCGTATTTTAGGGAAATTTTTTTTTACATATTTTTTAAGAGCATACACCAAAATGTTGCAATTAATTAATAATGATAACAGATTTGGTTGGTGCAATAGGTTTGTTGTGTCATAATTTTCTTTTAAGTGTAAAAATTATGAAATTTCCCATAGGCATTTAAATTTGTGAAAAGGATTTTGTTCCATAGACATGTTTAATAAAGTGGGTTGAAATGAAGGTTTTGATCAATTACACATTAGTTCAATATGTCTGGACCGTCATTTTTTTTTCATTTGTAACATATTACAAAAATAGAAAAATATAACAAAACTGGCCAATATTTCCATTAATTTTCTTAAAGTTTTAGATCTAATTATATGTGACAAAACATATTAATTAATTTAATACTGGTATCACAAAAAATACTAACACTGGTAAATTTCTCCTGGAAATGTAGATAGGCCTGGCTTCTCTCCCACGCCTCTGCCCTTCTAGCCTTGCACAGGGACTCCAGTCTTGTGCAGCGGTCTTGCAGTTGGGCAAGCTGTAAAATTAAATCATAATCAATTATTCTTCAATAATATTCATCATTCTTTTATGCAAAGATTACATGATTGATTGGTGATATTGAACCCCTCTTTCAGCATTCTTGGATATATCCTGGTGGACAGTTTTTATTGCTGAAAGACAAATGTCTTGAGAGAACCACTGACCTTCACAAGAAGATTACACAAAAGAAATTGAGCCAATCGGGGCAAAAAATATGCCATTAAGAGAAATTTTAATTTGTAATCAGGAAGGAAAAATTAATACTCTGTAATAAAAAAAAGAACTCAATTATTTCTTAATGCCTTTTACCCATATGATAACCCCACAACCTCATTGGAAAGAACAACTGGACAAAGGTGGAGATAGAAGTGGTGGTTGTAGTAAAATCCAATACTTACTAATCGTCTGATGCCATCAGCTCCACAGTCGTCCCTACTGACCCTCTCAAGTAGGATACGACCATCACGTAGAGGTGGAGATGAGATCTCCATGATGGCATTAGACAATTGTGAATGCCTGTCTGCTAGCTCTGCACTGTTCCTAGGTAAGTCCATGGTGTTAAGCTGAACTTCAACCTGGTCCAATCTTGTTAGAGCCTGTAAAAAAACAGTGGTATTCATCATATACTGTAAAACTGCAAACAGCTTAGAATTATTCTTATATAGGTCAAATGCTTTAAGCTGTTATTTTCCTAGTTGTTAAAAGTTGCAAAACATTTTTAGGATCCATTAACAGGCTAAATGGGCACAGAACACAACAAACTTATTAGATATGATAGCAAAAGTTTTAAAAACTCACCGATTCTGTTTGTTCAAAGAATGATGTTGCCATAGTGATGTTCTTTCGTCGTGTGTCCAGTCTGATCATAAAGTTTTCACATTCTGTGTCAACTGCCTGTAGCCTTTGTCTCACGCCCTCGACATCCAGTTTGGACCGGCGGAGAAGCTGGTCAGCTGTTCGTACCAGCCGCAAGACAGTCTCTTGTATTTCCTGAAAGTAAATTTTATCCAAATATTACTAATACACAAATATCTTTATAACTTAAAAAACTTGCAAAACTAAACATGAAAATTTACATAGACTCTTTTATTTCAAGACTAATGGTTCAACTTCTTTTTTTGTTTTGTTTTTTAATGAATGACTGTAATATTTTTTCTGTCTATGAAGAAATAACATAAAAAATGTGGTGCACACTGAATAACGCGCGTAGCAGGTTATTTAACAGTGTGCACCACATTTTTTATGTTATTTCCAATAGACGGAAAAAATATTACAATCATTCCTTATAATTTAATGCTAAATTCCATTTTTAAGGAGTAAATCATGAAAAAAACGTTGATAACGTCACGGTCGCATGACAAAATTATGTCTATGAGCTGATAAACAAAATTCTCTCAGCCAATCAGAAGACGTGTTACATCCAAAATTAAATTATAATCTAATCACTTAAGGTTTTTGCCTTAGTTTGATAATTTTTCCAAAATGCAGCACACAATATCTTCCTGCTGGAACCCACTTAATATTTACAAGGGCAGATATCCAGATAATCACTGAACATCCATATTCAAACTTGTGGAAACTTGTAATTGTAACTTTGAGATAAGAAGTTAGTGTGCACCCCCAATCCCTAGAACATTGTTTTTAGGGCAATTTCTGTATGACATTAAACAGAAGCAAAAATTGGAATTGTACCTTTAAAACTTGTCAAGTCATTAATGCTATAATATCACAAAAGTTTGTGCAATCACTTTCAAAAACATTTTTTACTCTCAGTATGTGTATTTTTTACTAGTTCCTTTTTTTAAAACAAATGTTAGCATATAATTGACTTGACCACATTTATGCAAGTTGTCTCAAAATCTTGGAAGAAGTTTTAGCATTTTTTATCATAACTGTAGTGAAAGGCATTTTTAATACTAAATTTTCATCAAAAATACTATTTGAGGTTAGTTAGGCACACTGCTGTTCATAAAATCTGTGTGTAATGTAAACTATAATAAACTTACTTTGGCTTGTGTCTCAAATCTGTAGTGTTCTTGTTGTATGATCTGGGAACGTTGATGACAATCACCGAGATCTGTGTTCTGGAGGTAACTGAAACCAGTTTGCCGGAACCAGTCAAGTATCTAAAAAGCATTTTACTTTTTACTGACTCAGTTTAGGATTAAATTCTTCATATTAAATATCAAATGTATCTAATGACACTACATATTTGAAATGTTGATACAAAATTGCATAGATAATTTAATATTTTCTATATCACCATCAACAACATTTTTAACTTTCTTCATAAATCCTAGTCATGGTCATATAATGATTCCTAGAAGGGCTACATGTCTTTTTTATTTTCATGTGTTGTTAGGATTCTGTCTTATTGACATATACACAATGCAACCTTTTTGTTCATAACTTGCTAAACAAGTAATTATCCATTTTTACTTTTTTCTTCTACAAATCACTGATTTCGAATCATATCTTCATAAAGACGACTTACTTTGTTGACCTCCTGATCAAGCTGGCACAGTTGTAAACATTGCTCCAGTTGTATCCGGCGCTGTTCCCATATTTCTTCGAGTCGTCTTCTTCGATCTTGTAGTAGTTCTAATACATGTTCTATACCATAGCATGCCGCAGTTGTGGCATGTCTGTTTTGTAAGTCCGCATGCATACCCATATCTTGGATGCGTCGTACTAGTGAATGTCCTATGTCGTGAGTTGTCTTTGAAGATTCGAGGATACCTTAAAAAATAATGCATTAACAATGATATGATCAAATCAAAACACTGAGATTAAAAAATTGAACCTCTTAAAACATTTCCCTTTACAAATCCTCAAATACATCGAACATACATTTTGCTACTGTCTTATAATTTGCACCTCAGTTTTAAATCTTATCATTTCGTGGCTTATTTAGAAGAAACTGATGGTAAACATTTTTCTTTTTCAAATTAGTAGGAAATAGTTTAATACCATACAGTGCTTACTTAATGTTAACTCTTGGATGATGTTCCATATTAGGCCTTAGTCTTATTGATATTTTCTTAAGATGTCTTTTTATTTATAAATTTTCATAATAGTAATTACTACATTATATAATAAATCATAAGATCTGCTTACTTCTTTTGATATCTTGGTGTTGTTGAAGCAAACGGCGAGCTGTGTTGACATCTTGTGTCGGGTAGGTGGACGAAAATTTGCTCTGTGCTTGCTCCATCTTTGACGAAAACTGAAAAGATCAACATGAGTTAATAAAATACAGCTACATTTAACAATATGAGGATTACATCATTTAATTTTCTTTACTGTGCATAAACTCTAAAGGATGTTTAAACAAAGCAAACATTTTAGCTGTCCACATGACTGTTCATCATCAATTAAGATAAGAACAAGTGACATACAGATTTACTTGAGTCTAGTTCTCATTAGTACCCCCCCCCCCCCCCCCCCCCCCCCTTCTCCTCTTATCCAAAATTTCAAATATGGTTTCAGGAAATATTTCATGGTAAAGTGCAGGAATCCCCAAAACTTGAATCCACCATTTATATCAATTTTAGACCCATTAATGCAGATATCAATTTGCATTATAACCAAATGCATAACTAGACTAAATACGGAAAAAAGTTATCAAAGTTTGAATGAGGTCTATTGAAGTTAAACAGATGGAAAACATAATGCTATGCTGAATAACTTGTACACAATTTATTTATCCATTCAAATTTTTTGTAATATAAAACACAGGGGTGTGGAAATGCTATGCCGACTCGCCCGACTTGTACAGTTGACCGACCGGGCAAGCAATTTTTTGTGTCTTTGTTGCCCGTGGACATGTAAAAAATGATGCTTGACATTGTTGATTTATATAATCATATAGAAAAGTCCCCAAAATCCATTCACAAAAGTAGAAAAAATATCAAATAACAAGCTGAAAACAACATGTTTTAGTAAAACTCAATGATCAAGACAGATCGATTATCAAACAAAAAAAATAGGTATGCGGATCCGGGTTTAATTCATATTCTGTGATTTTTTCCCATTGATCCGGGATCGTTGATCAGGTTATAGCAGCGGTACACCGGAAATGGTCATTATTAATTTCGAAGACTGATTTCTCAAGAATGAAAACTAAATGACCGGTCGAGTTCGATAAGCATCTTAAGATAGGTCATTGCTCGGAAGTTGACCAACGGAAAAGAGGTGCCTCATAAAAAATAAAATTGTTGAGCAAAGAACTTGGTTTTCACAAGAAACGGAAATCAGAGGCGGCAAAGCGCAAATATCATGAAAAAAAAAACAGAATAGAGGATTTTAAAATTCTATAAAATTTTGATTTCGCTTAGGTATCTAAAATAAATCTCAAATTTACAATTGGTCCACCAAAAGTTTTTTTGGGGGTAAAAGGAGGGGTGCAAACAACAATTCAGTAATTCATCAATTATTTGGTTTTCATCCCTTCATTAACTTTAAAACTTCGCACTGGCTCACAGTGAAGAAAATATAAGCCATGATATAATCTCCCAGGTTCATGTAAGCTAGCATTGAAAAACATTGCAATATTGGCCTCTAGATTCTTTAATTTAGAGCTGTTTTTGGTTTTTTTTTTATAGCTCATTGTGGTCTATATATACTCCACTTATCTTTTTATCATTCTAATATACAAACAAAGACCATGAATACCAGGGCAAGAAATTTTTCTTCCGGACAAGTAAAATTTACAATTTCACTTGCCCGGGGACAAGTGGTCACAACAAATATTTCCACACCCCTGAAACAATTTAGCAGCTGGCCTATTTTTTAATAACTCTGATACATATATGAGCAAGATTATAAATTGAGTCTAAAATGAGAATTTTTTATATAGAACGTGGAGAACATACATCTGCTGCGCTCTGATGGAAATGAACGCTGTCATCTAGAAGTATTCCTCTGTACTCCAATTTGTTGTTAAGTTCCTTCCATGCTTCACCTAGGGTGTCAGCCATGGCTGCGTAGACTTCCGTTTGCGAAGTATTTTCCGCTGCGTACTGGTCTGCGCTTGTGAGTATTTGTTTGATTTCTTGTTCTTTTGCCTGCAAAGACAAAGGTTTAAAATTTCTGTAAAAAGTATGCATGGAAACAAATATATTCAAAAAAATTACAACAACAGTGAACCAATGCCTGGTAAATCTTCAATACGATAGAATCCCTAAAGTGGATACCTAGGGTATGCAGGGTTGTTATGATAAAAAACTTTTACAAATATATTGAAAGTTCAAAATCGGCATGTACATTGTATCTCCCCAAAAAAATTATTGACTTTTCCCAAAATTAACATGTGTATTGTTTATCATGTTTATTGCTGTGTGAAATAAATATTACTTCTGTGGATGTTGTTTTATCATAAATCTAAATATTAGTTCAGGGGGGAATAAATTCTACAGCTCAAGACCTTCATTAAATGTAATTTAAAAAAATAAATAACTAAAGCAAAATTACCTGATTGTCCATACTTAACAACAAATAAACTATTAAGGGACATGAATTGCTCTATACTGTCTAGCTCTCCTTTTAACAAAGATTTTACAGACTTATCTAATTAGTAAAATGTGTTAATTCTATAATGTATTATTGATTATCACCACAGGGAACTGTCAAACTATTTATCAGATAAACACACAAAACAACACCCCTTCCTCAAAAAGTGATTTATTCACAAGTACACAGGAAACAATTCCACTTGTATTTGATATACAAGTAGTTCATTTCTTATTTAGTATTGGTCTTCCAAAATATTTTAAAGATATGAATCATTTACAATGAGTACAAATATTAATTTTTTATAACTTGATAAAACGTAAATTCTACTACTGTACCAAGTTAGGTACAATATATTCCCACTCAATGCAGTTAAAATGTTTAAATTTGAAAACATAGAGTGCTTTAAATATTTCATTGTAGAGACATATCTTATTACTGAGATGCTGTGGTTTCTATGATAAATTGGATGTGTTTCTCATATGTTTTTATTTACTTTTTTTTTCAATTTATGCATTATAGAATTTACCAATTTGTTTTATTAAATATTGTCTATGTTTATTAAATATTGTCTATGATCATAAATCTTTTTATGCAGACATGTTTTACTTGAATACAATTTCATTTATGTAAAAGATTAAATGATACACAAATCATTACATCAATAAATCTGACAGCTCACAGCATCAACAATAAATAACATTCTTTACTATTTTTATCACTGGCACATGCCAAAATCTATTCTTAGCACAGCAGCAGAAGAATGCTGCCTAGCAACCAGAAACTGGATACTCTAAAACTGGTAACCATATTAAGAGAGCACATGATTATTCTGATTGATAAGCATTACACAATAATCATTTTATATCATACATAACAATTACAGGATCTTGAACTCTTACCAAATTTTCTATACTGCTTAATTTCATAGTGCTAAATATTTTTCAGTGCACATAAAACTCATATATTCATTGATCTTGAAAAATCCTCGAGGAAAAATCTAAGCTGTTGATTAACCCATTTTTAAATATTTTTTTTTAACTTATTGAACATAGTAGGTAACAGTATATTTTGTACACCAAATGAGGATAAAAAAAAACTTTTTTAGTTTGAAAAATCTGATCCTGTAATTTAAAGCACTTAAAAAGGCCTGATATGAGCATAATACACTGTGTGTTGACTTAAATAATTTAGAAACTTTACCTACATTTTGAAATATTTCAATATCAAGTAATATAATGATTATTATTCTTATTTATTACAAAGAAGGGGATTGCCATATGAATGATTTTATAGTCCTGAATATACATGTAATATTTGTCAATGGACACACCAGTCTTCACTCACTGTTTTATGGATAAATAAAATTTCAGCCTACTCACATAATACTCAGACCAGTCTAGGCTCAGACCAGTTAATTCTAGGCTCAGACCAGTATTTTCTGGTCAAGTCTGAGAGTTTTTTATTCTCCATAATGACAACCAACAACAATTCTCAACTATGTTTGAATAATTATGCACCCCCCTATTTCAATTGCTGAAATTAAATATTATAAAAAAAACAAAAAAAACAATTGCATTGATGCTATTATATATGATGTTTACAGAAAGAGTGGACCGGTTTTTCAAGGTAAGAATGAAAACTGTCTATTTTACAAGTGTAATCATTACACACATGTCACTGGACATTAAGTAATCATCAATCAATCAATCAATCAATCAATCAATCAATCAATCAATCAATCAATCAATCAACTTAAACTAAGATTTGAGAAGGCAATCAAGTCATTTTTTTTCATACAATTTTAGTTTATATAAAGACTAACAATAAGGTCTTGTAAACATCACCAAATCCTGAAGAAGTTTAGGGTAGACTTCTTCATTAAACCTCAAGAAAGTCAAAATAAAAAATTAAACTTCAAAAATGACTTCAGATGCAGGATCTGAATTATTCAAGCAGACAAAGTACACATATTATTTATTTAAACTTTTTTTAGACAAGTTTGCAGTTTTTAAGAATATTACCTTCCATCTCTATACATATGTATATAAAAGATTAATAAAGTTTATGTTTTTACTTAAAATGTATCTCTCATTTCAACAAGCGAATAAAAAGTTTAGAATATCATAAAAACTTACCGCTACCAAATACGAGCCACATTGGCAGCATCCATTAAATTTTCGTAAAATCTTTTTCATTCGTGAATTTAATCCTACATTCTACAAATCGCTCTAAGTTCTTACTGACCAAAATCTTCGCATTGGAAACCATCAAAACATTTTATCAAATTCGCACAGCTGATTTGAGATAAGAGTAGCAGAAAACTTTATTTACAAAGATGATGTACCCTGATAACTTTGGGATTTAGAAAAAAGATAACAGATGCTCCATAATCATGGGGGAGGGCAAAGCTCAATTTAAAACAAAATTCAAAAGAACTTTTTTTATCATCCCCATAGGTAATTCTTTATAAGATTAATCTATCATCATCTGTAAAAACCTGATAAATACCATACAACATTTTAGTGTAAATTAAAACTTTTTCATTCATCCCATTAACACACAATATGAATTTTCAATTAAGACTGTTTATATAAATTTTAACCCACTCTTAAAGCATAAAGGAGCTAAAATATACAAATATCCATCTAAAGATTGCCTATATGAGCATATATTATGAGTTGCTTTTACACTTTTGTCCCTTTATTTTTCAGAAAGTGAACTCAGACAAGTTATCTAAACATCTCCCTTTATTCATATTAAATACAGTATATGGCTATCTGTTAACACTCTAGAGCCTCAATTCTTCATATTAACATCCAATACCTGACTGATGAAGATAACTCTATGTTTATAACAACAATCTTAACATAGTGGGGTGTTAACCGCCCTTCGCAACAACTAAATGCTTTAAGTCAAATGGTACTATTAACATATTCCTCTAAAAGCCTCAATATAACACCTTTCATCGAATAATCCTCCCCTCTGACTCTGAACCAAGGTATAAAATGGAACTGATGTTGTTATCAAAAACTTAACACCACCCTCCTCCCCCACCCCCAAAGAAAAAAAAGAAAAAATACTTGGTAGATTATTTTTCAAATGAACTTGGATAGAAAACAAAATTAACATCAGGATTGGTCACCAACAATTTAAAAAAAATTTTGGGGTAACCTCTATTCCTGTCCCCATTGTAACCTCCATAAAATAATAACACCAGTCTTATTTTGCTGTTAATCATTATAGAAGTCAGATAACCAGTTCAATATATTGTTTTTATCATAATGATACATTTACATTCTATGAGGCATGTTAAACAATCTACCAATATCTTGGTTAACCCTGGTGTCTGACTGTTTAGATATATATAATTACCTCAAAAAATTCATAAACTTCTGTTTTTAAGTAAATTCATAATATTTTCTTTCCTACTAAAGAGTTAGAATTTCATGGGAATCTGTCTTGTAGACCTTATAAACAGTTTGTTAATGGTTTTTATGTTAAAATTTGTAGTAGGGTTGCGAGCTCACAAACATGTTTAACCCTGTCGCATACTTTAAATGCCTGTCCCCAAGTCAGGAGCTAGTAGTTCAATGCTTGTGTTGAATCATTATTCATTAAATGTTGTTAGCTGTTAGTTTTTTCTGTGGTGTTGGTTTGATATTTTGTAACCACAAGGCCTTTTATAACCACTGGGTCCATGCCACTGCTGGTGGACATTTGGTCCCAAAGGGTATCCCCAGCCCAGTAGCCAGCACTTGACATATCATTGATGTTCATTTTCTGTAAATTTACTGTACATTACATGTTGAATTATTATAAACACTAAGGTTTTTCTACCACAAGGTATAGATTGCCTTAGCCTTATTTTGCACAATTTTTTGGGAATTTTCAATTTTTAAAGCTCTCTAACTTTGTATTTGATTTGACCTTTAACTGTTTTGATTTGAGAGCCACAAGACTTATGTCATACTAAAGTATAAGCCTGGTATCTTTGGTGAGTGTTTATATAGTTGACCATACAGTATTGGTTTACTTAGTTTAGAAGGCCTAATAGCACCTTGTTTACATCCTTGTCCTTTGATCTTTAATGGAAATTTGTCACATTGCCAATAATACCCATCTATTTATTCTGCTACTGTTGAAAAAGTGATTGATTGCTCTTTGCTTAATATGCAGTGGAAAATCTGGAGGTGGTTTAAGCTCAGATGAAGACAATGAAAAACATGTATTCATGAATATTAGAAAACCACACATCTTTTTCATTTTAACCTGATGGTTTTACCTTGAGTTTGTTAAGCATTTCATGATGTTCTTGTCTGTATTGCAGGGCCTCTTCCAAGGTAGAGCCGACTTCCATTAGGTCTGGCTCCATCTGATGGACTCTCACACGTATCCATTCTGCACCCTATAAAATAAACAAAGTTAACATTAGGAAAATAAAAACCTTCTGGCTCATTCGAATTGCTGCTTTGACATTGCAGCCATTCTTCTTTCTAGAAATAGACACATTGAAAGTGAACAGTTTAATATATTTGTATGGTCAACATGGTCAATGAATAAAATAGTGGATAGAAAAAGTCAATAACAATTCTTATACATTAAAGTTTGGTCCTATTTGATATAGACAGCAGGCATATATGGGTATGCTTCCGAATAAATGTCAAAGTTTTCAAAGCTTCTGTGGAGGGCTTTGAAGCTGACCCTGTGATTGATCCGTATTAAAAACTTTAGATTTGTTGGATATTTCACATTTTACTAGAGGATTCAAATCTGAAAATTTTTTGAAAATACTTTCATCAAACCAGCATTCTAGAACTTCAAGTTACGTGATATATACTTTTAACAAAATCTATAATACATTTAAAGAAGAGGGATAAGTTTGTCCAAGATGCCATGGAAGTTTTCATTTGTTTTACTTATTTTCTATTAATTGATATAGACTGTTAAAGATGTATGAGGTCAATTTCAATTAGAAAGCAACCCATTAACAATAATTTAACCTACAGAAGTGGAAAGGTCACCTCAATAATGCTTGTGATGTTTTAAGGGAAATGAAGGGATAGTAGGAAATAGATCATCCCATGGATGTTCAAATTGGTCAAATATGTGTAAAAAGTGTAATTTTTCAACAAAAAGTTTATTGTTCAGTGTTTGTCTTTTCCTCAGTGCAAGCATTTCATGTATTTTCAGGATGAAAGTAGGCCCACAAAAATTTCCAAAAAGTTTTTCTCTGCTCAGCAAAGAAATTTTACTATGGCTCCCTCTTTCATTGAAACTATGTGCATGGTGCCTCTACAATAGACTTTTGGAAGTTTAAAAGAAAAAGTATGACAATGTCTACTTAGAATAACAAAAATATTATTATCAAGACACCTCAGGGGTTCAAATTAGTGTGGGTCTGAGGTCCGGGACCTGTCTTTTCTGGGAGGGGACTTTTCATATGTGAATTACAAAAGTCATGGACCTACCATTCTTTACACTGATGCTTTATAAAGGACCATTGAATTTCTTATGGTGGACCTTTCACTGAAAGTTTCAAAAGTCCTGGACCTTTTATTATTCAAAGCAAATTTGAACCCCTGCATCTCAAAATTGTCTGTGTAAAATTTTGGTTTTTAAATAGTTTACAATCCGATTCTAGTTCCATATGAGGAAATAATTTCTTGTAATATTTTGTGTAGTTATAAATTGAGCTGTGTCAGATAGAAATCAACCTTATGAAATGAATATCAACACATCTGTAACTGTTTGAAAATTGAGTGGAAATAAGAACCCTACAAAACAGACCAAAATTCATCTTTTATTTCGTATTTGAATGTTATCACATCTATCAAAGTCTTATATACATGTATGCACATGTATATGTGCATGTGCATAAGGTCGATTTCTATCTGATACAGCTCAATTATTATTTATAACCTAAACAACTCTAAATCAAAAGACAATGCTACAGATTGTAGTAAATTTCAGGACCCAAACAAATGGAAATAAACAACAAAGAGTCATGAATTTCACGACTTATAATTTATTGTTTGATTATTTTCAAGACATAGTCAAATTTAAAGCTAAAATGAGAAATTGGGTTGGGCAGGTAACCAAGTGTTGAAGTAGGTGATTCACAAGAAAAGATAAGATAGATTTTGTGAATCACCTGACTGAAATCAAGAATTTGCAGATAAGTGGTTAGCATGGTAACAAAATAAATAAAGAATGCTTTTGTTTTTCTTATTACAATTAGTTGATCAGAAAGCAATCATTTGTAGACAATGTTATTTGTTGCTATTTTCGTTTATGCCTGCTAAAAATAAAGCTGTTACACAATTTAATCACTCCTATCCCAAGCCTATCAATTTTTCATCAAACTCAATAACTATTCTGTACATGGTAATAAAAAAATCTTAAAGCATACTTCAGTTATCCTAAGAGCAATATTTTGTGATTTGTATAAAATTGCAACATAAGTTTGCTGTTACACTGCTGTCTCTGGTTAGTAGAAATGGTTGAGAACTATTAACCTGTTGCATATTTTATGTTCCTGCAGAAACAATGCCATGTTCCAAGCTGATAATTTTTTTTTCTGTATCTTTTTACCAGGGAACTTTTGTAGCTAACTTTGTTTGGAAATGCATTCACCCATTTTTCAAAGAAAAAGTTCCTTTATTGCTGTTCTTCATCTTGGAAGTTACTAGAAGGTTTTCAACACTTATACTCTTTAACAGTCAGATGACATCTCCTAGCATTGACTCAAGTGGTACTATTGATATTCATCAATAACTGCTCCTCATGTCTTTGAGTAATATAATATATGTAGCCTTAGATAGTCAGAAGTCATAAGTTTTCATTAGATACAGTTGGTGGTCATGAGTATTAATGACTAGTTTTTTACTATATGTAACATGTAAAGTCAAACTTTAAAAAAAAAATTCATGCAAGACTTGGAAATCTTTGAAAAACTTGTGCAAGATTTCGAATCATAACAAGCCTCATCATCTAATTACTCTGGTCTTGCACTCATTTCTGTGTTCAAATTCTTTATTTCCTTTTGAAAATTCTAGCTTCTCAAATGCTTTAATCTCAAAAACAATCACATGGACCCAAAATTTTGGTTGCAATATACATTCTCTATTAAAAAGACTTTACTTATGAAAATGGTATGTTTTTTTTTTTAATTCAGCATTAAACATCATTATAAAGGCAAATATCAGTCTCTTAAGTCAATTTTGCTGTTCCATTACTGACGCAAAAATGCTACCTGTTTAATGAGAACCACAAAATGCAAATTTGAAAGGTTTAATGATCTCTCTCGTAAGACCAGACCTTCAGCAGAGAAAATATAGCCTTTAGAATAATTAGAATGGCCTGGACTCTTGAAATGTGACTTACTTAATTGATAAATAATCTAATTTAAATGTCACTGAGGGCCATAATAGAGTTTATGGACCATGCACTTACCTATCCATAAGTATATAGATCATATGGATATATGGAGCATGTTTCATTAACTGACTGTTGATGGGTTCAAACAAAACCATATAATTGTAGTTTAACCATTAATTTCTCAATCACATATAATATGTTCAATTTTTTATTCAAACTGTACAATAACACTTCAAAAACATCAATGCAGTTGCTTTTTTCTGGAACACATGAATCAAAATTTAAAAAAAGTATTAATGGTGAAATTCAAAATTTTAAGCCATTTTATTGAAACAAAACTTCGAATTTTTTTGGCAAAATGTACTGATAAGATGATGAATATTCCTCAATTTTCACCACGATGGAACAATTTTAAAGGTCCACAGACAATAATTATTGACCGCCTTATACACTCAACATGCTCAATAGATAAACAGAGCCATTAAAAGTACTAAATAAAATATTTTTAAAGAATTAGACTCTCAAATAAGGTTATTGAGGCTTTTGAAGTTCATATGAAATACTGGTAGAGGAATATTCATTCCATGAATTTCTATCAGGTTTCATAAAGAATAAAGAAGATCATCACAATCAGTTATTTTTTGTCATCTTAAAGTAAATAAAGCACCTCAGTGCTTTGATTTAGACTCAGAGGAATGTAAATATGTTCAATGGCTCTTTGCCAGTTCTCCTATTTCTGCAGAATATTTCACACCCACAAAACAACATTTCTTATCTAATCTTTATTCAATATGCAAAAAATAAATGAAGCACATTTTCCAGCCAAAATAAGGGGTGGATCTGATCTGTTTTCAATATGAGTATATTGTAATTACAAATTATAGATATCAACTTTTTGGATCCCTGTTGCAGATATATGTTGTACAGTATCATATGAAGACGCAAATATATTACACATGGCTGGATGATCAGAGTATACATCTGTATACAATTAATCATGGACAGATATGACCAATCACTTATACCCCATTAATAAGCAAGAGATTGGTACTTTATTATGATAAGATGTCTATGTCTAAGAAAATTCAACAAATGAGGATATGCAAAACTCCTACCATTCAGCCCCTTTATCAGGAACCCTGCCCTAAGAAAAGCTATAATTTCTAGATTCTATATATACACGATTAGAAGGGATCAGGAACAGCAGATATTATAGCAATCCCATTCTAGTCATGCCTAATTTATTCTTACTTGGTAGAAATTGTAGGGATGTTTTTATTGTCTCCAACTATTACACTTCTTATGGCTCTTGTGATGTCACTCCTCATTCATATTGAGGTTCAGGCAATTTATTCTTTTATCATATTTATAGCATGATTGCATACCAACTGTTTATAATTTTGCATTTGAAACTATGGATAAAGGTCCCAATTTTTTGTTACTTTGGCAGGAGTAAATGATGAAGCCATGACAAAGATCAATTCAAAATAGCTTTCTTTTCTTCAACCACGAAGATTAATACCAATGAAAATAAATGAATCCACATTATCCTTAAACATACCTACATGTAATCTGGACATATGTTTAGAAATAAGTCACAATAAATATTCTATAATTTTGATACATTGTAATAGAATTTTGAAAAAATTTGCAAATAACAGTAAAACCTACATATAAATAAAAGATCCTTGGGACAAGATAAGATTCACCTTATAAGCTAGAGATGTGACCTTTGAATTGAGGTTACTGCATTGAGACAAGAAGTGAGGGGCCCTGACAAGACAGATCTATTCTTTAAATACATGTAGGTGACTGATCTTTTTAGCAGGTTCAACTGTATTTTTTTTGTCTTTAAATATTTGAATTAGTCCTGTGATTTCTGGAGAATTGTTTAACATCATTTGTACATGTTATGCAAGCTTAATTTTTTGGTTTACATGGAAGGTGAAGACTGGGGAGGGGAAGTGATGGGGACAGTATCGTTATTCAGTCCAAAAGAAGCAATATATAGTTTTACATTAGGGTTAT